TTCGGGTTGAAGGGGGTGGTTCACTGATCAGGACATAATTATTATAGGGTATACACAGGGCAACGAGTGGGGGGGGGACAGTATTCTCAGGATGCTGTAAAATTGACGGACAATGTATATCTATTTTTTTATGGTCGAAATTTTTTTCACTGGGGGGCGAAACTTTTTGCATGTGGGGCTTAGCCTCGGGCCTGAGTATACATGACAAAAATTTATACTGCTGTGCATTTGGGTAGATATGACATTACCAACAACTAATTCTAAGATAACCCTTATTGATACCTGGTGGAATGAAAACAATAATTGATTTTTCGTGTGTTTGATTGATTAATTAGATATATCACACACGAATTTATTGTTCCTGTGTGCATCAGCAGGTCGTGTGTCCAATGAATAATTAAATGTGTAAGTTTTGTCAAAAATAGATAAACAGTATATGGAGTACAAACAAGTAAAATCATCCACAATAACAAACAAAATCTCAAGTGTAAAATTAAATCGATTTCCATACTTTATTGTTCTGCTCTCCTTTGTATAGTACTTAGTTATCAAGTAATAAGTGAGCCGTATCTTTGTTCTTCTAAAGCCATTATATTATAATGAATTAGTAAAGATATATTATGCAAGAGCTAAATCTGTCTATTGCAGGTCTTTATTTTGACTTCAAATATTATATAAAATATCTAAACTATTATCTAGACACCTATTCACATGACACGACTATAATCAATTCTCTAGGTAATTTGAATGAGATTTGCTATTTTTGAACTACTTTAGTAATAACGTTCTGCTCTTTATCTAAATCTTACATAATGTCAGTGTATCTTTAATACTTCTATTCCATACACGTATTTGTGTTAATCTCCTGCCGAAGATGCGCTTGTGTAGATCAACAATACCATTTTAATTTTATATGAAAGAATTATTAAAGTCCGAGCCACTATTGGCACTGTCTTGCCAAAACAAGAACTGACACCCACCACAACCTTACCATGACCACGGGGCTGTAGGCACATAGGCGCTGACTGGTTCACATTGCTAATCGCGCCCCAACCAGAAACAAAACTGAGGGATACAAAGTCTAGAGGTTAACGTACTGCTATGCTCCCTCCAGTAAAATAAACGGCATATTCCTGCCTTCATTGCCTTTAACGTGAGAAATTCGATGAGCACCCAGAATGATGATAAAAAGTTTGTTAAATCAAATCTAAACGATTGGGCATATCAAACAACGACCCCATCTTCGTAAAATCCGGTAGGTCCAGAAAAGTAGGACGTTAAACCCCATTGGATTCATTCATTTACGGACATATACATCTTTTCTTTCTGACAATAAATTGAATTTTTGAATCCCCTAATGTAAGTGTAAGTAAGATATAGGTGGTGTTATATATTCCACAAATATTTACCTAGGGGGTTGGATAAAACAATTTATACATAGAAATACCACCTCTTAATTCAAAGTAAGCTTTATAACAATTTACAAAGTATTAACTTTCCACTGACCACTGGATTGTATTTATTCTTTGTTACAAGTGAAGACCACCCTAGGGTCATAATTAGAAAGTTAATATGTTTTGACCTTTTAGATACGTTCTTAGTACTGGGTATAGCCATGATTGCAATGCATTAGTTAGTATGTTTTGGCCTTTTTTAGACCGGGTAGAATCTTCATTGCAAATCATTATAGACTTATATACATTTAATGTGCGTACACAAACTGTTTGATTTTGATTAGTAGGAAATGTTTTGCTCAAACCAATTGCTTAAGCTATCCATGCTTAAATAGAGAATGTGGATAAGCTATGTTCCAACTCGCTTTCATCCACCAAGGTGTGCCACAGGGCTCTGTGATTAGATCACCTCTTTTTGTTAAAACTGAAGATGCCACGGCTACCTAAAGCGAAACTAAGTGTTTTGTTGATGAAGACTGGCATACGCCATACAGTGGGATATGAAGGGAATTTTGCCCGGATAGCGGCGGTACGGTCTACTCTTCAAACTGTCAAGAGTTCTATTACGCGCAAGGTAACGTGTACGCGAGACCTCGATGTCTCGTCTCTCAATCCTGAACCATTAAAGTTGAAACATACTTAGTTGAGGGAACCGTCTTTCCATGATGCCCAATGAAACGGTTAGTTCTTTCATTTATAGTAAGTTTTAATTCCACTAACATACCTACCATTTCTACACCACCTGATGCAACTAGTATAGTATTTGAGTAGGTCACTTTACTGACAATCCCCATGACATTTCTAACAATTTAAAAACAAACATTACAAATAAACATGGGAGGTAGTAGATGATTTTTTATTCAAATAAAAATACCATACCTCGCTCGATCCTATGATGCAATCAAAATACAAAATCTGAAATACAACATAATGAAATATATATAAAATCTGAAAGCGTAACCATTCGAACCGTATCATTAAAAATGTGTTGGATCTACTGACAGTTGAATTAGAAACTTTAATCATACCCAGAGGCTTTATATACGCCAACAACAATAATTTGTCTGGAGGTCGATTCCTGCATTGGCCGAGAATGTCCATCCAGATTTTCCGGCGTAGTTCCACTTGGCAAGGACAGCTGTCTAGTCGTTCGGATGGGACGAAAAAATTGAGGCCCGGTGTATACAATGGCGTGCACGTAAAAAATCCCTTGAAAGTTGGAATTTGATATAAGAGTAGACCGGGCAAAATTTCCCTAATAGCACACTTTAAGGTGTATGCCCGTTTTCATTAGCCCAGTTCAGAGCAGAACAGTAGAACGTTAAACTCCATTTCATTTCATTTAGAATAATTTGTTGATGACCTCAATCTGGTTGATAATTCTTCCTATCTGTGTAATATTGGATGTTAAAGTAACGATACGTTATTTGCTTAATTCACGCTAACATGCACTCTCAGGTTGATTATTTAACAAAACAACATCAAAATCGAATTTAAAACAGGTGCAGCAATTTGGTTCACGGCGGTAAAGATGGTGGTGCTCTGGGTACACAATGAGCGATATAATATTCAAATTGAATCAGTTTTAGACTGATTTTGCTATTAGAGATTCATCGTTCACAATATTGTAGTTTGCAAGGGATTCTATTGCGCTAAAATCGCGAATAGAGTTTTTAAGGGCTTCAATTTGAAGAAAATTTAGTTTTTTTTATGTAATATATGTAGATATATGGATGTATATCTGCTTTAACACTCCTTGGAAGTCATTAACACACGAACCTGACTACATAGTTTTAATATTCCATAGGGGATTTTTCACGCCCCTTTTCAAGATAAGCAATGACATTATTAGTTGTTAGACATCACGCTTCTTAGATTAATTGTCGTCTGCTAAAAGTAAAAGAAAAACAAAATGTCTGTCAATATTGAAACAATAGTCATTCATGAATATATACATGTAATAAATACACAAAGATGAGGTTTTTTTCTGGCTCATGGTTTCGTTATTCAACATAATTTGCATATCACCAACACCCCTTAAATAGATATCTCAAAATGTAACTTAAAAATAAACAATTCTAAACGAATTGTTTAAAACCTGTTCACGCCACCATCTTGACCTTTTCAGAAATTTTGACATTAGCTAGACAATTCTTGGGTATGTTTGCTCGCATTTTAATTAACACTTATCCGTCATCTTTGATCCCTGTTTGCTGAACCAACAACATGTTTAGATCATCTTGCCATCCATTACTTCCGCTGTATCCCTCGAAGAGAACATTAAACTACGCAGTAAAACGTATATATACGAGGAATTTCGAACTGAGTACAACTCTACATTTAAAAAAAAAGTAGAAAAACATTAAATGTAATACCACGCGAAACACTAGGAATACGGAAACCAAGGACACAATTTTTCATTATAGCACTTCTGAAATTCTCATTTATCATAACCCAGGTTGGTGAAGAAGAATAAGACTTAAGACGTTAAACCCCATTTCATTTCCATTCGTTTTTTTTATCTTTTTAATATGCAAAATATTGTTCGAATTGCTTGAAGTACCCCACCGATTTTTCTAACAGGTAGCCTTGAGGTCGGGTGTTCGATCCCTGCATTGGCCGAGAAAGTTCATCCAGATTTTCCGGCGTGGTTTCCCCTTGTCAGTGATGCAGGACGGAGGGCCTGACAAGAACAGCTGTCTAGTCATTCGGATGAGACGAAAAACCGAGGTCCCGTGTACACATTGGCGTGCCCGTAAAAGATCCCTTGACAGTTGGAATTCGATATAAGAGTAGGCCGTAGTGCCGCTGTCCGGGCAAAATTTCCCCCATAGCACACTGTATGGCGTATGCCCGTCTTCATTAGCCCAGTTCGGAGCAAAACAATAGGACTTTAAACCCCATTTCATTTCATTTCATTTCATCGAAATAACGTCAAACAAAACGTGAAAATCATGACCCCCGTTTTGGCCACACTCCACTCCACCTACATGATCAAAGATATTGTTTGGGAGCTTCCGATTTTATCAAATTCTCGGGTAATTCGCCAAACCCCACGCCACACTGAACCATTTTCCTGCTAAAATTATCGGACACGCCCCTTGTTACAGCCTCCGACAGTCTTTGAAAGACATTTAGTGAAAGCGATATATAACTTATTAAATCAGAGGCCGGAGAAGCACACAAGGAGCAACAATCTAACTTTTAAACTGTTAATTAGTTTATTGTTATCCACTAGTATATAACATTCTGTAACATGTTTGATTGTATTCATTGCTTGATAACGGCGAGAGCAACCTCAATGAAACGTTGCAGTTAATAAACCTAGTGAATATTATCCATAAAGCTGTCTGTTGTTAATATCGGCCCCAAACCATCTTTGACGACCAAGAGCACCAACCAACATGGAGTTTTTAGAGGTTTTTAAAAAGATCTTTTTCTGTTTATTTTCAGTTGTTGTGCTGTTAGATGTAGAAATTGTCTCATCTTTTGTGAATGTGTCGTGTCCACCGATTAGTAAAAATGCTAAAATCCATCCCTGTACAAGGGACTTAACTCCTGTCTGTGGCAGTGACCGAGTGACATACGCAAATAGTTGTGAATATTGTCGACGCAAATGGATGAGTGACAAAGAAGGAAGAGCTTGGAATGTTTATTTAGAACATGATGGTAAGTAGGTTGTCAAAATATTTCAGATTCTGTACATCAAAACTATAGATCCCTACGAATTATTAGCAGACCCGTAACTCATGGGTGGGGGGGTCCAAGGGGGGCGAAGCCCCCCCCCCCCGCACAAAGTTTCGCCCCCCCCCCCCCGTGAAAAAATTGTCGCCCATAAACATACACTGTCCGTCAATTTTACAGTAACCCTGAGAACACTTCCCGCCCCCCTCGTTGCTCTGAGCTAGTTACGACCCAGATTATTAGTCCGGAGTGTTGAATGTACGTTCAATCTCATTACTCTTTGCAAGTTTTGAAAACTTTTTTCACATTCTGAGAATCACTATTCAATAGTAATTGAAACAGGAGAAAAACACTCTTTCTTGACTTATCCACCATTCTTGAACTCCCTCTATTTGAAACTCTATTACATTTACATTTCAGGCTCATGTGATTCGTCACAATCGCCATTCCTACCAGCCCCAACAAGGCCTACATACAGACCAACGTACAGACCAACCAATGGTGCACCAGCATTTTTCCAAAATGTTGTCAGTCACTACTTTCCAGCCTCTTCTCCTTCAACAAGGTTTCCATTCAACCTTGGAACAAACTTTGGTAGTAGCTATTCCCAACAAGGAGATAGCTTTCCTAACACATTATGGCAGTTGCTGAATAAAAATATCCAATCTCCATACGGATCACGACAGCAACAACAAGCCCAGACATACTATGCACCACAAAGTCAACCATATAACGTACAACAGTCAACAGGAAGAACCGTAAGTATTGTAAATGGGGTTATAATTTCAAGATTCTTGCACGCATTGGAATAATTCTTGGATATTATATCATGGTCATTGTTGTCAATCTTGCGATCTATTCCTCAGCACACGTTTAAATTTCTCCTTTATTTGGCGCCTTTTGTTATCTTGTATAATGTACTTATGGAGGAAAAGATGTTTTTGTAAGTTTATGTAACTTTTGCCCAATTCTTTTACTTAATAGTACTAAAATGTTTAACTCAAATGTAGGTCATCTATTCGATCTCCAAAATTCAATGGATAGGAAAAAGTAAAATATACATTCAATCTGCATTATATAGAGAGGAGTAGAGTTTTAAAAATATCTAACATAACATAATAATGTACGATTCGCTTGCGAATATAGGTCTTTAGAAGTGGGAGGGCCCCGGGGAAAACCCATGAGATTGGACAGGCGACCCTACTTGTCACGTACGAGTGTGGGATCGAAATGTGCACGCGTTAGACCATTCGCCCACCCAATCCCACCCTCTCAATCGCAATATAAGTTTACAACAAATAAATGTAATAAGTAACACAGCTCGATTTGCAATCGATGCAATATACTTTTAAAGATTGGTACACAAAAACTTTCATTTTACTTTTTCAGGCAAATTGTGGACCATATGGTCAAAAATGTTCTCGTTACGGAAGAGTCTGTGGGTCGAATGGATCATCATACCTGAGTGAATGTGATCTGTGCGTATCTGCACAACGTCTCAGAACGACGATACGAATCGTCAGAGATGGTTATTGTTAATCGTTGCTTGCATATGTATTTTTTCGTGCTGGTCATGAAACGAGAAGGAAATATAAAAAAAATCAGCTAGATAGAAGCATAAATGGAATTTGAATAGGTTTTGTTGTATTTCCTTTAACAAGACATTTAAGGCTGGTAGTTGTCCTAATAGGATATAAATATTAAGAAGATGGCGAATGCTATTAGTCAAATTTTCATTTAAAAAAAGAATATGTTTTTAATTATAATGGACCACAGGTAGATAGGTGGTATTTTTTTTTTGCTTCAATAAAATAACAAATGTTCTAAGTTCGTGCTCTTAAATGATTTACGTTTATCGCGACATCATCGCGACATCATTGTTCTTATTTCTATAGAAATATTTATTCTGTACTTATCGACCCAATGTTTCGGTTTATAATACACCCCATGACAACTAAACGACCCAATATTTCGGTTTAGAATACACTCCATAAAAAATATTTTCGTAGTAAACGACACAATATTTTGGTTTATAAAAACCCCATGGCAAGTGTTTTGGTTTATTAAAATACACCCCGCGACAAATGTTTCCACTCTAAATGACTCAATGTTTCAATTTATAATACATATTATGACAAGAATACACGTAACAAACGACCCGATGACAACTATTTCCATGCTAAAGGACCCAATAGTTTGGGTTATAATACACCCCGTGACAAGTATATTTACACTAAACGAACAGATATTTTGGTTTAGAATACACTTCATGACAAGTATTTCAACACTAAACGACCAATAATATGTCAGTTATAATACATGCTTCGACAAATATTTCCGTACAAAACGACCCAATATTTCAGTTATAATACACCCCACAACAAATACTTCCGTATCAAACGACCCAATATTTCGGTTATAATACACCCCACAACAAACACTTCCGTATCAAACGACCCAATATTTCAGTTATATTTTATAATACACCCCGCGACAAACATATCAGCGACCCAATATTTCAACACAATGTTAGGAACAATGATGTACTGTTTTAATTTCTACTGCACGTATTCGCTTGTGGTCCTTTAAATGCTATATTCACTATTCATATCATTGCTGAAACAAAGACGGTAGGGGTAGGGGTAGTACAAAATAAAACTTGTGTTTGCAACTTGTGTTTGCAATTTGTGTGTAAATATTCTATGAGTTAAATTTTCCAGGCTTCCATCATATTTCGTTTATTTCTCTTTATTTTGATATTATATAAAACAATTCACTTCTTGCTTTGTTTTCGAATATAAATTTTAATACAATATCTAGCTTTGTCGTTTTTAATGTACCTTTGTTTGCGAACAGTTCTGTTTATCTCCCTTTTACCCCTTTTACATGCCATTTTTCGATGAAATTATTATCTAGAATTGTATCTAGTAGTTGAATTTACATTTTCTACCAGGTTTTGAGGCGGAAGGATCAGAAAATAAACAGACATGAATATCGTAAACCACGCTAAAAAAAATGACAGCAGAGCCTTTAAAGGAGCTAAATCGCTAATATTAAGGACCTAGAAATTGACACAAATGGGTTGCAACGCACATAATAATGTAATGTGAATGTATATAAACTGATTTACATTCAATTGTTTCAGTTTTTACTCTAATTTCAAATCAGTTTTGTTCGGCGAAATACGCCAGAAGTGTCAATCGAATGGCAATCTCTAAAGTCTGGTTATTCTAGTCTACACGCATAGTATATATATTACGCATGCTCTCCAGATAAGAATGTGGCGTCACCGTTTGGCATGACTTGTGGAATACGTCTAGCCTCGTTCTTCGAGTCCCTTGTTACAAATGTCGTTGAAACGGATTATGGTACACAATTCGTGTACCAATGGTAAAATGATTATTTTTTCTTAAATATTGGATATCAGACGGCCATCTTTTCCCGGTAAGTTCACAACATCAATACTAATTTAAACAGACAAATAATTAGTATTTTTAATGTTGATGACTTTGGCTGATTAGTTACTTTAAATTGTCAATGAAATGAAATGGGGTTTAACGTCCTACTGTTCTGCTCCTATTCTGGGCTAATGTAGTAATGAAGACGGACATACGCCATACAATGTGCTATGAGAGAAATTTTGCCACTACAGCGACACTATCGCCTACTCTTATATCGAATTTGAAATTGTTAGAGAGAGGGAGAGAGAAGGGGGTTTAACGTCCACTCGACACAAACTAACACATGGTTTAATTTTATTTCAATAATTCGCTTGCGCGTAGGTGTCTTTAGCAGTGGGAGGAAACCGGAGTTTGAAATCGTGGAAACCCTATGGCACCCCAGAGTGGAAAGATAGATTTTTCTTTCTTCATTTTTTTGAAACATTACTTCCTAGCCTAATATATCGAATCATCATTTGTTTCATAAGTACTTATTACAACCTGAAAAACAGCAGCTAAAATTGCCTAAAATTGACGAAAAAATGAGAAAAAAGCCCCCAAAACACCTGCCTGTCGTATCTCGGCTAGGGTCAATAATTTCTGAGATCGGCGGTTTTGGCTATCGAATAGTCTCATGGGCATGACCAAACCCTATGAATATGAATGGAATCGGCCGACCCCTCACCTTCCCGATTTTGCACGATTTTGCATGGACAAGCACTTAATTATTGTCAACTACAAAAATATATATGTGGTACACAGGAGAAATTTTATCAGGTAATCAAATAAAATGAAATGGGGGTTAACGTTCTTCTTATCTGCACCGACTGGGCTATTGACGACGACATGCGCCATACAGTGTAATATGAGGTACATTTTGGCAGGGCAGCGTCCTACTCTTATTCTTTTACGCGCACGCCAATGTGTATACGGGGCCTTGGTTTTCGTCCCATCTGAACGACTAAACACTGTCTTTGTCGCTCGACTGGTGCTTTAGAACTATAAATTTGTTCGACGGTGCTCCACCTGTTGGGACACAATAAATATGTAATTGACTTACTACTAATTTGTCACTACTTTGTATAAAACGTTATCAAATCCAAAGAAGGCACAATCCATCTGTCCTTTATTACATGCAAAAACGCAATGTGTAGATGTGTATATACCAGGCTTCATAGTACTAGAATAGATTTATTTTGTTCGGCTCGCTCAAGAATAATAAGTTTTTCACATATCGGTAAGAAATCAAATTAGGCAACAGAAAATATGCGTGGCTTCATTAGTCTGTTTTCTTTTAGCAAAAAAGTAAGGCGTTAAAACCCACGGATTGTATTTCATAAATGCGTTTCTGGAAATAGATCGATCATTTTTTGCCATTATTATATATATAGCTCTGTTGTAATTCCTTAAGGTATTCATACCGTCAGCGATGTAAATCGAATTCAATTTATTACCTTCTCACCAGCATCACAGACATGTTAAGGTGTTTACAGTAAAATGGAATTAATTCCAGATCATGGATTCCTAAAATTAATTCCGTTTTGTGTCGGCGTTTGTTTCGATATGAATTGTTACGAAGAATATTTTAGCACACCAAAGAATGGACAGGATACGCGACAACTGAGAGATCGGGTAATAGTAATAGTTTAAAGACTTTACAAGACATCGTAGATAAAACTGGATTAAACAATATGAACCAAAATCAGAAAAAAGGTGGCGATAAGGGTTATTTAATTCTAAATTTTAAATGAAAATATTGAACAATCTGGAAATAATAGTTAGATATCCTTAAGGGAGTTAATCAACTCATTTAAGGAATTTCGTTCAATTGTACGAGTGACTTGATAATCACGCCGATCTCGATCAGTAAGTATCAACATGTTTATGTGGGCTCTCACACATGAAATCTAAAAATTGATATTTCTCTAAAAAAGGCATCTTAGCACTTCAGATAGGGGAGCAGGACTAGGGATTTTTTCTCCATATAACAAATATATATCCGGATTTAAAACAAGTATATAAAGTTGATCTTCAATATATACTGGAATTACTTATTATATAGTACCGTTAGGTCTTTCTTTGAGGAATATTGCTCTACAGATTACAACTGAAAGTAGTCAGTAAAATGAACTCCTTTTGGTCGACGTATTTCCTGTATTTCTTGACGTTACTGGTCATCGTTAAAGCCGAATGTTCATCGGAAAATAATCAACCCGGGGTTAGTGGAAGACCTTATTTCACAGGTAAAGTGAACAATGAACACCAGTGTCATAAATTATGTGGATATTCTTCCATATGTTCTGGTTATAATTATATAAGAAATGAACACGGTTCTGACTGCCAGTTATTGTCTGTGAACAGTGAACAAGGGAAAATGTCTAGTGAACAAACAAAACATGGTTTTCATGTTAAAGCAGCGAAACCAGGATGCACGGTAAGCATTTTAAAATATCTTTATAGGATTTTCACCATTGAAGTCCAGGGGCCTTATTCACGAAAACTTAAACTAAGATACAATCGAAATTTTAAGAAATACTGCAATTCGATTGGCTGACCAGTAAAATCAATTTGCATATATCCAATTTGCATATTGGTCAGCCAATCGAATTGCAGTATTTCTTAAAATTTCGATTGTATCTTAGTTTAAGTTTTCGTGAATAAGGGCCCGAGACTTACTCCATGCTAAAATAACCCAACTGGATTATTTAACATTTAATTAAGAAAACAAATCTCAACGCTTGGAATCCATCGGATTAGAAGTAGTCCTCCAAACGATTCCAAGAAACTCATAGGTGGTGCTGGCTTGTTTTAACAATATCCTATATATCGGCCGCAGCAGATAAAAAAAAATGAAACGTCCTACTGTTCTGCTGCGACTGGGCTAATGAAGACGGGCATACGTCATACAGTGTGATATGGGGGAAATTTTGCCCGGACAGCGGCGCTACGGCCCACTCTTGTATCGAATTCCAACTGCCAAGGAATCTTTTACGTGCATGGGGCCTCGGTTTTTGGTCCCATCCAAATGGCTGGACAACTGTCGCCAGCACATACTGAATGTTGATACATTTTAAATACATCAAATCTTTGTAACTACTGTATCTGAATTGAATGATGTTCACAGACTTTAAGGAATATGGAGAAGAATTTAAGTAGATTAGAACGGTTCGACCATTTAATGATTTAAAAGATAATCGAGACTTTGTTCATTATCTCAACAACTGTAGCAACAGCAATCGAGGCTACACTGTTTGTCTAACGCCGATAACACTGCCCAGAGTCAAGTAATTTGACTGAAATTTCAACATATCATTTCCTTTCGTTGTCTAATTTTTAGCTATTATAGCTAGAACTGTCAGCTCTCTATTTAATGTTACATAATGCCCCTTTAAGGAATATGGAGAAGAATGTATAAAAGAATTGTCTCTGTTTTAATGAATAAACATAATATTCATAAAAAAAATTAAAAATATTACTTGTTTCATTCCAAACACTAGATAAAACGGTATACAATTTGAAAGATAAAATGTTAATGTATTTTTGCAATTATTTAGAATTTTGTTGATTTTATAAAGCCATATCAAGATATTTCACAATTCTTTTAAGAATTACTCTACAGTACATTGAGAATAACAATAATTTATATTCAAAAAATTACGACAGAAGAATTAGTTAAAGGGGCATTATGTTAGATTTAAATAAAGAGCTGCCCTTTCTTGCTATAATATTTCAAAAATAGATAATGCAAAATGAATATATTAAAAATATTCATTCAAATCACTTTATTTTGAGCAAAGTTGTCAATGGTTGTAGGTTTGACAAGTTGTGTACCTTGATCGTAACTACCACACTAGTCATTCGAGTCTTAGCCTCTTTTCTTCATTTTTTGATTAAATCATTAAATGGCACCGAGAGTTGATCATGGTCTAATTAATAGTTTATATAACATTAAAGGCACAAAGAAAGACATGCAATAGCCCGATTTAGCTCGTACCCAACCGAAAGAGTTAGTGATGTTATCTTGATTGAGTTAGGTTTGCTATTACCAGCAGCAAAGATTTATAAATTATATATGTTTTATTTCAGCCATATCAAGGTTTGAATCCATGTGACAAGAAACCTTGTCGTGAAGATGAATTATGTATACTCATTCTATCTTCATCACGTCACATCTGTTTAAAACGAGGTAATCTACTTATGGCCCGGATTAAGCTTGTTTGGCACCAGGGTTCGCAATATCACCGGGGCCCTTACATCAACATTGAAAAGGGGGCATATTCTGGCCACTGTCCGTTATATTTACACAAAAGCAAATTGTATATAAGAATGGTAGCTAAATAGATTTATTTGGCACAAACATATACAACATAATAAATGACATATTTATTTATAGCAAACACCCTTTTTAGAACTAATTTGAGGACGCCTGGCCTCATCCATTCAGTCAGTCCTACCCTTTAATCCGACCACTGATGTCAGTATTTGTATTCTGTTAGTATTTCATCTTGTCGGAGTCAAATTTCATTTTAAAACATGTATGTACTGCTTTAACAACAATACATACGGCTCAAGCAAAAATCCGCCACTACGAGGGATGATCCATGTGATGGCTAGCCGGATGAGCTAATCGAGGGATCTATCAACTCCAGCATGGGAGTCTCTGGTATCTCGCCAAGAGACTTTTCGCATTCATTTTTATAATTAGACGGATTTTCAAATTTACTGACGAACGAAGTACACAAATCAGTGCGTAATTTGAATTGATACCATATTTTTTTAGCAATCGGTGCAGTTAAAAAAAATTAGAAAACTTTGTTATTGTCTTCTTGTTTTAGACAGACATATGTTAAATAGTGTTTACAAAGTTGTGATAAAACTGAGTTTGAACTTTCAAATTTCAAGTGGGGGTTGGGAAGAATACAGATGAGCTCGAAGTCTATATTTATCTATTGTCGTCAAGTAATATTAAGATCAGATTTAGGACGATTCGTACTTTTGAACTGAAGCGAAAAGAACAAATAAGGCAAGCACCCATTTAAAATGTCAAGGATTGCCCGGCTTCTGTATACAATGATTTTATTTTGTGTCTTCGATTCTTTTGCATTAATTATTAATATCACTATCCTCTGTTCAGGGAAGCGTTTATTTGTGAACTCTTGGTACTCATTCATGGGTAGTCCCCATATGTATTTTCATGTTAGTTATTCATAAGCTCTGTTTAAACACATATACGCCTGATCAGTTGCCATCGTTGCGGTCGGTAAATACCAACCAGTGAGACATCCATTCCGTTGTATTACACAATGGCCTGTTTCATTCTGGTAGTATATCGGCTTTGTGTTTTCTCTTGGGTGTTTTATTGATAATACAATAAAACATACGCTGTGGCCGTTGTAGGACTACAAAACAATTCGAAAGCTCTGTCTAAGTTTATTTATCGGAAATGGGCGAAATCCCATGTCTTTACAGGATTTTAATGGGTATTATCAATAAAAGAAAATCGAACAAACAAGTTTGGAGCTCTTCTTATGTACGATTCTTGTTCATTGCTTGTCGGGGGGTTGGATAGCTTAGTGGTTAGCACGTGCGCGCTGTATCATTAAGTCTGTCATTGAGTCAACTGGCGTGGTTTCGAATCCCCGGTTGTACGTGACAAGCAGTAGGGTCGCCTGTCCAACCTCGTGGGTTTTCCCCGGGTCCTCCGGTTTCCTCCCACTGCTAAAGACCCCTACGCGCAAGCGAATTATGGAAATAAAATTGAACCATATGTTAGTCCCGTAATGACCTAGTTTGTGACGAGCGGACGTTAAACCCCATTTCTCTCTCTCTCATTGCTTGTCTGCGTAGTTTGTGTGATTTGTACGCAGGTTTGTCTTATGGGGTTTGTTTGTGTGTTGTGCGGTCCTCCTGTACTTAATAATATTATACGAAGTCGGGCTAAACAAAAAAGTTGTGGTATGTTTTATATTTCAGACGTCGATTGTGGCAATCTCATTCTAGACGTAAGTTTAACAATGGTGGATCTTCCGGTTCCGGCTTCGTTTAATTTGCAAGCTAAATATACCTGTACAGAAGGCTATAATTATGCAAATGGAACGGGATTATCGACATGTATGGCGGATGGGGTTTGGACTCCTGTTGATCTACAATGTGAAGGTAAAGCTCATGATACAGTAAGGAAGCACCAAATCCAGTTGAAGTGCCCCAAGTTCAAGAAAAGGGACCCAAAGTCCAAGAAAAGGCACCCTCTGTGTCCAGTAAGAAAAATGTCCCTTTGACTTCATGCCAAGGCTTCCTGTGCGTGACCCATCATGCATTAGTGCACATAGGCCAAGTTGTTTTTTTGTTATCTCTTTTCAACACACTGTGCCCTGAATTCGATGTCTGGGTGTTCGTTAGCGTTGGCTAAGATGGGCGCATGATCAATACCCAGGTCCCTAGTACAAATTGGCGTACATGTAAAATAACTCTTGACAGTTGAAATTTCATATAAGAGATGTGGTGGTGCCGCTGTCAGAGCAAAATTTTCCTTCTGAATCCCTTCTGGAATACTGCATTCATTAGCTCAGTCGGAGCAGAACAGAAGGACGTTAAACCCCATTTCATTTCATTACATTTCAATGCGTTTCACTCTCAGATCCCGACTAAGATCTTGTCGACCCCTGCACTTTTATTTTCCCACCCGAAAGTTCACCCCCTCCCCCAGCAACGGGATTTCACAGAAGAATAGACGGGACCGCCGCTGTCCGAACAAAATGGCCCATCATTATATTACATATGACTTGGGTGAAATGTAAAAAAAATATATATATTACAAATGACTTGGGTGGAAATTAAAATTGACTGGGGTGAAAACTATCAAAAACAAATTATATTAAAATTGACTTGATTGGAAATTATAAAAAAAAACAAATTATATTACAAATGATTTGGGTGGAAATTAAAATTGGCCTGGGTGAAAATTATAAGAAAACAAATTATGTTAAAAAAAAATAATAAATGATACTATTTTCATGTCCCTTATCAGACACCGTTAAAGGGGGGGGGGTGGGGGAAATCCTCTGTTCACGCGCATGTTTAATAAACGTTTTTTGTTATGAATTCCAGAAGTTGATTGTGGTAATATAACGTTATTAGAAGGAATGAGCTTGGTAAATCAATCTTACACTACAACCTATAACCAGTCTGTAGAATATGTCTGTATTGTGGGCTATAATTATATAAACGGATCAGGTTTATCTACCTGTAAATCTGATGGAAACTGGACAGATATAGATCTAATATGTGAAAGTAAGTATGTTAAAGTAAATATTAATGTGAACGTAAATATTAATGGGAAAGTGAAAGTAAGTATTAATGTGAAAGTAAGTATTAATGTGAATGTAAGTATAACTGTGCGCGAGAGAGAGAGAAATGGGGTTTAACGCCCACTCGACACAAACTAGGTCATTTCGGGACTAACATATGGTTTAATTTTATTTCAATAATTCACTTGCGCGTAGGGGTCTTTAGCAGTGGGAGGAAACCGGAGGACCCGGAGAAAACCCACGTTGTTGGACAGGCGACCCTACTCCTTGTCACGTACAACCGGGGATTCGAAACCACGCCAGTTGACTCAATGACAGGCTTTATGATACAGCACGCACGTGCTAACCATTCGGCCATCCAATCCCCCGTATAACTGTGGAAGTAATTATACGACATCCTGGTCGAATGTGAAGTTTTTCCTTTACAATTATTCCTCTATTAGATATGCATTATGTAAGATTTAGATAACGAATCGGTCGCTCCTGATATATTAGTTCAAAAATAGATAATAAAAAATGAATATAGTGGGAATTTAAATTCAGTAAAATTAATTTATTTATCTTAGCGAAGTTATGAGTGTTTAAAGGTTTGACAAGATAGTCTCGATTATCAAGTATCATTGATATGATAGTAAATAGTCTCGATTGTCCATGTATCATTCAATTATCAAAGTGTTGATTTTGGACTTGTCATGTAAATAAATGCCTAATTCATAATATTATGTAACATCTTAAACCCCATAAAAAGAGACCTGTAATATGTCAATTTAATTGTTACATAATGCATCTTTAAACCTTTATGTCAATACAGTCGTACGGTGCGGGGATCCTGTTGACACAGCACAGGGTATGGCTTTATTCTATGTGGACAATGCTGATATAACTTATGGGGTAAAGGCACTCTACCAATGTGATATTGATTACAATCAGACTGGAAATGGGACTGGTATCTCTGAATGTCAGCTGGATTCATCTTGGTCGAGGATTGATCTAAAGTGTGAATGTAAGTATTATTTCAAATTGATACATAGTCCTTCGGATTGGACGTAAAACCGAAGTCCCTTGTACAGATTGGGGTGAACTAAAAGATCATTTCGCAGTTGGAATTCGATATAAGCGTAGGCGGTAGCATCGCTGCCCGGGCATAACCCCTCCATATCACACTGTATGGCGTATGCCCGTCTTCATTAGCCCAATCGAAGCCGAACAGAAGGAGGTTAAACCCCATTTCATTCCATTTCTAATACAATAAAACTGCTTTAATAATTAAAAGAAATGTCTTGAACATATGTCGTAATTATAAATATATACACTGACTTGCATTGCAAAGTAGAATAAACGCTTGATAGCTATATAGCGGTGCTATTCAATTTGAGAAGTGACCACGTGTCCCCTAGAACGAATAACCATACCCTGTCGCATGTACAGCAACCGTCACGAATTCTTAAAAATCGCTTAATGATAATTCTTTGAATTTATTTTCCTTTTCTTTTTATTTTCAGTGATTGATTGTGGGGCGATACCAGAACCTGATCACGCTGTCGTCATTTCCACACCCACAAATACAACCATTAATACATCTGTACATTATAAATGTGATGATATTAGTATTCATATGGAGGGTAACACAGATACGATATGCCAGTCAGATGGGCGGTGGTCTCCACTAAATATATCTTGCTGTAAGTCTTGTTTCTGCTTGTACTAAAATCACCCTAGACTACAGCAGCTGATCGAATATAAACTGGTGATTTTTAAGCGCCCATAATATTATGATGCCAAGACACCTATGCTATTTCATTGGTGATACTGTCCTGTATATATTGCGTTCAAAAGTATTAAAATTCAAAATATTAACGGGGAGGCGCGGGGGGGGGGGGCGGTGTCGGGGTAAATCCACCATTGACAATGTCATCGGTTTGCAAGACAACAAAACTCAAACTGCCCAAATCAATGGCTAAATATTCAAATATGAATAGGTTTTTTTTGTGCCCCCACAAGTACGTCAAGATCTTAAAATTACGGTTATATTATTAACAGATAAAGCAAATTTCACAAAGATTATTACTACATCATAACCTAGGGGTATAATTGCGATGATTCGCACTTAATTTAACAGCCTGTGGGGATCACGGTGGGTAAGACGCTGGCTAGCTAGCCTGGAGGTCGGGTGTTCAATCCCTTGTGGTTCCCCCTTGTCAAAGATGCAGGGTGGAGGGCCTGACAAGAACAGCTGTCTAGTCGTCCGGATGGAACGAAAAACCGAGGTCCCGCGTACACATTGGCGTGCACGTAAAAGATCCCTTAACAATTGGAATTCGATATAAGAGTAGGCCGTAGTGCCGCTGTCCGGGCAAAATTTCCCTCATAGCACACTGTATGGCGTATGCCCGTCTTCATTAGCCCTGTTCGGAGCAGAACAGTAGGACGTTAAACACCATTTCATTTCATTTCATTTTTAATAGTCTAAACAAATAAACATTCGTGGTAATCAAGGGACATAACTCTGGGCACAGAATGGGATTTCGGTTGCAAGGCCACATAGATATGGCTAAATTGGTGCCTCTTTCTTGTTGTTTTACTCACGGGGCGAAATTACAGGGTAACTCGTTTGAGGTTGTATTTTGGACTTGGGTGTGTGTGTGTGGGAGGGATGGGGGCCTCGACTATTTCTTAGCTGATATAAATGCTTTCCCCGTTTTTAACTTTATTTCAGTTGTAGTATGTAGGGCATTTATCACTCCTGAGCATGCACAAGCTGTAAACACTATGATGCCAGCATTTGTTGGACATGTGACTATGTTTCGGTGTAAAACAACTGAAAATGCTGTATATATCTCTGGTAATGCATCCATAGAGTGTCAAGATAATGGAGAATGGACAACCTCGGACCTTGTGTGTGGTAAGAAAATTGTCTTCATATTTATCCAACAATTAAGAAGTTGAGAACAGATTTAGCATTTGAGTTTAAAAGATTTAAAACGTTTTTAACTATATGATTTTCGATTTTAATTAATCACTTCACCTGTGGTAGTCATCATGATGGGCACGGCAGGGTTCGACTTTCCGATACAGCATTTAATTATTCTAAAATAAGTAGGCCCTAAAGAGATTGGGGCTTGCTTGAGAGAGAGAGAGAAATGGGGTTTAACGTCCACTCGACACAAGCTAGGTCATTTCGAGACTAACAAATGGTTTAATTTTATTTCAATAATTCGCTTGCGCGTAGGGGTCTTTAGCAGTGGGAGGAAACCGGAGGACCCGGAGAAAACCCACGAGGTTGGACAGGCGACCCTACTCCTTGTCACGTACAACCGGGGATTCGAAACCACGCCAGTCGACTCAATGACAGACTTTGTGATACAGCGCGCGCACGCTAACCATTCAGCCATCCACCCCCCGGGGGCTTGCTTGAAGCTATAGGATTGAAGATTGTCTGTCTGATTGAACATTGAAGATTTAAGATCTCTTTTGTATACACTTTTTCGAACTAGAAACATATATATTTAGTATATTTGTTTTTTTTTCTATTATTTCAGAGGTAAGATGCTCCTCTCCTCCATCAACGGTGGGAAATTTTCAGGTGAAAAATGCTCCAACAGCCCGGTCTTTCATATTGGGGACAGAAGTTGAATACTCCTGCACCCTAGTTGGATTAACATTGATTACGGAGATAAGTAGTTGTACTGAGAACGGGTGGACCGAACCCGTATCATTGTTATGCAGGGTTACCAACTTGGAGGATGGAAGTGATGATTAAACATTATGGGGATACTCGAACGGATATTCCGGAATCTAATTCTCTCAATCGCAAAAATAGCAACAATCGACTGAAAAGGCGATTTCGGGCTACAACGGATGTGCCGACTTCATAAGAAAATGTCTGAACCAACCATGACAGCTTAAACATATTCCTTAAGCATATTCCTTAAACATAATTCGAGCATCCCCTTTGATCTTTGTATGATTACAAAAACATAATCTAAATATGAGGAGCCGTCTCAGAGATAATTGTCCAATTACTTGCCCATGAAAATGTGGGCGTATAGTGTCGTCGCCGATGCCCGTCGGACGCCCATACGTCCACACTTTGTTTGTGGACACAATTTTTATCCGATTTTGACGAAACTTGAAATATAGGTTGAAAGATCTCAGTTCCTTTCGATATTGACATGTATCTGATCGTAACTTCGTGAATTATGGCCCCTGATTGTACAAAACAAACACAATGTTTTAGCTTGTGGATGCTGTAGAGGTCACAATTTTGTTCCGATTTTGACGAAACTTGAAATATATGATAACAACCCAAATACCCAAATATCCCAGTTCCTTTCGATATTTCCATATGGCCCCTGATTGTACGAAAAGTCGCGTTTTTAGCCTTTGGTCCCTCTAGAGGTCACGATTTTAAATTCCGTTCAAATCTATTACCGTTAAACCATAATGACGGCCGAGTTTGAATTTCGTGAAAATCGGACGGAAACTTTTGTTAATCTACTCGTCATAAAATCTACTGGATATACAGAATACATTTCAAAGATCTGTTGGGCGCACTTTGATGGCTTCGCGTTTTATAGGCTCGGCCATACCTCATTTTTGCCCAACTGTTTTGTGGAAAAAAATTAGGTCTCCCTTCCTCTGCACGCCACTGGAGGCAATCAACGGCTGATTTCTCAAGCCTAGCATCTTGTGAACTCTGTTATTTGGTAAATTTCCGGAAATGACATTCAGGAAAGGAGAAAGTGTGCTGGGACAAAAATTAATACACTTCTATGGTGTTCATATCTTACTCCCACATATATTTTAAAGTTGATCGTCAATTTCAATAGATATTTTATTAACATCAAAATACTACTTGTACAGGACTATACGAAATGTCGTTCTATAAACTCAAGACAACTCAATAATTTCTAATAAGAAATTTTGTTTTTATAATGTCTATTCATTTACATTAAACTATTCTGCTATTAAGTGTGTTGTTCTATATATTCCTTCTATTTCTAATTCTGGTCATCCAATGTCATTAAAGGATTTCCAAATAGAAAGCTGCCAGGAGAATCCTCGTCTTCACTTGTTAAAAATTCAAACCACAAATCTTTGAACCTATTCTTATCCAGTCTGTGTCCGTTAGTCTGCAAAACATAAACAAGACAACCTACAAAACATCAGAACCTTCATTGTACTGATTTAGAGAGAGAGAGAGAGAGAGAGAGAGAGAGAGAGAGAGATAGATGGGGTCTAACGTCCACTCGACAAAAATTAGGTCATTTCGAAACTAACATATCGTTCAATTTTATTTATCCATAATTCGCTTGCGCGTAGGGGTCTTTAGCAGTGGGAGGAAACCGGTGGAAACTCACGAGGTTGGACAGGCGATCCTTGTCACGTACAACCGGGGAATCGAAACCACGCCAGTTGACTCAATGACAGACTATATGACACAGCGCACACGTGCTAACCGTTCAGCCACCCCGTACTGATTTATAGATATTGACCATATTAACCAGAGCATAAGACAATAATTGTATAATAAAAGAACTATATCTAAATGCGTCTATGGTCATTTAGCAGCTGAATCTGTAAGGGGGAGCACATTTCCAGTGCACTATCTGCATGTCTTTTCCTAATAACCTCAGCTATATTAAACGACAATGCACAGGGTTGGACTAGGTTGGACAATGTACAACGGTGTCCATGTAAAAAAAAAGTTCAAATTCTAAGATTAGACCGAAAACTCCCAATATTCTCCTGGAGAGGAGTCAACACAGGCCTAGCCTGTTCCCCCAATCCATTTTCAAATGAAATAAAATATTGTTTTTATTACATCAACGTATGAGATAATCTCATGTATAGTTCTATAGAAAGATTGAAATGAAATGAAATGGGGTTTAACGTCCTACTGTTTAGCTCCTATACTGGGCTAATGAAGACGGGCATACGCCATACAGGGAAATTTTGCGGGGGCAGCGGCAGTATAGCCTACTCTTATATCGAATTCCAACTGACAAGGGATCTTTTACGTGCATTCTAATGTATACACGGGACCTCGGTTTTTTGTCTCATCCGAAGGACTAGACAGCTGTTCTTGTCAGGCCCTCCGTCCTGCATCACTGACAAGGGGGAACCACGCCGGGAAATCTGGATGAACTTCCTCGGCCAATGCAGGGATCGAACACCCGACCTCCACTATAGCAATTCAACAATAAGGCCACACAATTTTATTTTCTGTTCTTTTGGAACGGAGGCCACGGCGGTTCAGTGAGTAAGACGTTGTTTCGCTAACCTTGAGATCCCGTGTTCGACCCCTGCGTTGGCCGAGAAAATTCACCACGTCTTTATTACACTTGGTCTAAGCATAACAGTAGGACGTTAAGCCCCATTTAATTTTATTTCATTTCAATTCATTTCTATTGGAACATCTGTGAAATTTTGTATTCTCATTCTTATTTCTTTAAAGACATATTTAAAAACCAAAAGTGCTTGGTTGTGTTGATCAAAAGCTTTTAGTTCCAAATTTTTAAGTTTTGAAACTAAACATCTTTCACGTGATTCAATGTCTATATATTTATCAAGACACCAAAGAACATTAAATTAATTTTGTGTGGCCTAATACTTAATAAGATGAATCTATTGAATACCTGTTGTCGAGTAATACAGGTAAACGATTTTTCACAGTTGTCAGCTGACAGACCAAAAACCGTTAAAAATAACGTATATTCTTCTTTATCAATGTAATCATCACCTTAAAAAAAAACCCGTACACTAGTTTTAAACATAGATTGCCAAGCAATAAAACATGATCCCACCAACAGCTTTGTTGTGCAGGGGCAGGGGATGGAAAACTGACACAACATTACTGTTTTATTATGACATACATTCAAAAGGAGAAGAATCCCCTCCGCACTGTCAGGGGTGCAAGGAAGTAGGGCCCAGCAAGGCAAAACGTCTACTTGTTCGACATAAAAGAACACTTGACAGTTGGATCTGATATAAGAGTAGGCCACTGTCCGGGTTGGAAATATTTCCATCATAGCACACTGCCTGTATGGAGCAGAAAAATAGGACGCTAAACCCGATTTCATTTAAGTTTATTTACAAAGAGTCCTATGCAGCTTGGCATATTAATACACGAGAAAAGTCTACAAGCCCATCAAGTCAAATTACTTTATTCTAAACGAAGTTATGAATGTTGGACGTTTTGATGTGAATACCGTAGTCTCGATTTTCATTGCTACCATGGTTATAATAATAAACAAAGTCTCGATTATCCAGTTTTAAATCAGTCTCGATTATCCAGTTTTAAATCAAATTATTAATTGACGATCGTGTTTCAATCCATTAAATATTACAACTATTCGATGGTCCAGAGAGTTGATAATGGGCTTGTCGTGTGAATGAATGTCGAATAATTCATATAACATTTGAGGTCAAAAGACAGACCCGCAATAGGCAGATGTAGCTCTTACATAATGTATCTTTAACTGACATTGAGACAGTTGGAATCCCGATAAATTTCTTTTAAGTTTTATCAACACAACTCCATTGAGCACATTGAAGTTTATTTATCCACATTAGGATGACCGACAGATTTACTAATTGACAGAGTCTGGAGACTTTGGGCAAACATAACAGACTTGGTACTTGTAAGTCAACAACATTTTGTTTGATTTTATAAGGGTTCACAGTCTTCTTCAGTACGAAACTGTTTACGCTAAGAAAATTCTAATTTAATCAATTAGTCATTCTTGTTTACAGAATGGATCAACTAAGACTAGTAACCAATTAATCAAGTGGGTTTGTGGGATATTAACACTGTTAAACCTACCTTTGGTATCAACAACATCGAATATAAGATCTATAAATTCAGTATGCCACGTATAATCTGTTTGGCCATCATCTGACATAGCTGGCCATCCTTTACACGATCTGGCTGATTTCACAAAATCACTCCAGTAGGATAACCATTCGGGTACACTCAGCTACAAAGACAAAACACTTTATTTGGGTCTTTAGAATAATATTAAATATGAAACCAGTAAAATCTACTGTTTGTATGGTGGCTGTTAGTGGCCATTCAAATGTCATCTAAATCGTCGCCTTATGAAGAAGGCGACAAGTCGATAAAATCAACCCGCCAACACGACAAAATAACCCGACGATCGTCGCCTTCATTTCGTCGACTTGTCGGGTCAATTCTGTCGACAACCCGACAAGTCGACGAAATGGAAATGAAGGCGACGATCGTCGGGTCAATTCGTCGACTTGTCGACTTAGTTCTTCGACTTGTCGGGTTGTGAATAACTTATTCACAACCCGACAAGTCGACAAGTCGACAAAATACAATTATTTCGACTTGTCGTGCGGCGACTTGTCGCCTTGGAAGTTAATCTGTGCGCATGCAAGTTATCCAATCAGCAAATCCACAAGCTCGAGTTTGACTTCCGAAGCGACAAGAATTGACCCGACAAGTCGACGAAATGAAGGCGACGATCGTTGGGTTATTTTGTCGTGTTGGCGGGTTGATTTTGTCGACTTGTCGACTTGTCGCCTTCTTCACAAGGCGACGATTTAGATTCATTTGAATGACCGCTAACAGCCACCATATGTTTGGGATAAGTTAGTCAGAACTGCCTTAAGAAGACATATTAATATTTTCGAGAATGTAAGACACACCAATGTTATGATCATAACGTTGTCGTACACCCATGGCTTCACAGAAGTGTTTTTGCTTTATATGCCCATGGGAGCAAGCTCACACAAGCCTCTGCCGGCACCATATATAGCTATATATCTCGATCACAAGACGTTGGTTTCAATGTTGTAGATATCATCTTCACAAGACTTACGTTTTAATGTAGTAGATATCATCGTCACAAGACTTACGTTTTAAGGTAGTAGATATCGTCTTCACAAGACTTACGTTTAAATGTAGTAGATATCATCACCACAAGTCTTACGTTTTAATGTAGTAGATATCATCACTACAAGACTTACGTTTTAATGTAGTAGATAGATATCATCACCACAAGTCTTACGTGTAAGTGTCGTAGATATCATCACTACAAGACTTACGTTTCAATGTTGTAGATATCATCTTTACAAGACTTACGTTTTAATGTAGTAGATATCGTCTCCACAAGACTTACGTTTTAATGTAGTAGATATCATCTTGACAAGACTTACGTTTTAATGTAGTAGATATCGTCTCCACAAGACTTACGTTTTAATGTAGTAGATATCATCTTGACAAGACTTACGTTTTAATGTAGTAGATATCATCTTCACAAGACTTAAGTTTTTTAAAATGTAGAAGATATCACCTTCACAAGACTTACAGATGTTGTAGATATCATCATCACAAGACTTGAATTTCAGTGTAGTAGATATCATCATCACAAGACTTACGTTTCAATGTAGTAGATAACATCACCACAAGTCTTACGTTTTAATGTAGTAGATATCATCATCAGAAGACTTACGTGTAACTGTAGTGGGTTACTTCTATAATGGCGAGAACTTTTCATTAAACCAGACCATATGCTACCAACTCGTGTTTGAATTTTACGATTCTCTTCTGACGTGGCACGTAGATTCTTTAAACTTGATATTCTCTACAATAGATGAAATGGGATGGTTGGATAATTTTGTAATCATCCCGAAGATATAGAAAGTGCATTTGCCGAACATTTGTTTAATGAAATTGATGATTTTAAATCAGACAGTCCCACCCCCCTCGATTGTGAGAAATTAGTTGGGTTTCGGTATGCGTTTGTTGATATAGACATATAAGAATGACAGATAAGCTGAAATCGTGCTGTTTAAAAGAAGTGGGATACTACTAGTTCTAAATATCTGACTTCTCCCAGGTACCTGATAGCTTTTTGTGGTAGATGTCGTTTATGCACTGGCCCAAAAAACTATCCTCGGCCTGATGATGTTGGGCCCCGGAATGTCGCAGATGAAACTCGTAGACGTGACATTCCGTTCTGCTTCGTTTTCATTTTACACCGAAAAACAGTATTGTGTCATTTCAAAGTTATCTTCTTGCAGCCCCAGATTAGAGAAAGAAAACTAAAACGCCGGCTCATGGTGTTCTCATTCTTCCCGTCTTCGTTACCCCAGTCGGTGCAAAATGTAGGACGTTAAACCCTATTTCATTTCATTTCATTTCTCGTTTTCCCACAGTCAGGGGCACCGGAACGGCGTGAGGGCCAGGGTACCAAAAGATAGGGGGGCCTCTAGAAAATTTTCAATTTGTCAATTCCGAGAACGCTGTATAGAGCGCCTCTAGCATTCCAAATTCCAACATAAAACCCTTTAAAATACATGATAATTAAATAGACAAAAAGCCTGATTATTCACAATTTTCGTATCATGAGCAATAATAATAATAATAATAATAAAAACTTTATTTAATGAGGCAACGTATTTAGTTTGCAAAAAAAACTAATCTTCCATAGGTCCCTCCTAAACTACAAAGACATATATACATGTAATATCAGGATAAATTTAAAATCATTAGAAATGCAATAGCATTTTAAAGTGGGAAGTTTGATAAGTCACTCCCAAACTACAAAACATATACATTATACAAGTAGAATATAGGAAGAACACTATAATTACACACAAAATAAAATAGAATGCAGTTGCAAGTTAAAAATAATAAGTATGTCATCAGTTGAATATTATGGTTCCTATCTCATAAAAAAATATTTTTAATTTGACATTCAATACACCAATCTTCATCAAGAAAATAGAATTGAACGAGACAGTACATTTAGAGACACGATTCTGAATAGACTAGTAAAAAGGTTGAAAACTTTCATCATTAGTATATGGGTATACATGTATACCCCAGAAAAGGGCAGGGTACCATTTGTATACCCTGGTACCCGGGATCCGGCGCCCCTGGTTACACCTGGTCCATTACGGTAAAAGTGAGTATATTTATAATAAATTACAACTATATTCAACTTTCGTGAGACAAAAATATTTTGATCAAATATTTGTTTGGATTGCAAATGTAAATACCTTCTGTAGCTCTTTAAAATCTTGTCGTGAGAGATTTTTATCGTGCATTGTATCTGAAATAAGAAATAATTCAAGAATAGGAATCATTTTAAAAGTTAAAATGCAAAACATTTGATTGCACTGGCATTAGTTAAAATGCAAAACATTGTATTGCACTGGCAAAACGGGTACAATTAGTTAAAGAGCAAAACATTAGATTGCAGAGACAAAAACGGGTACAATTAGTTAAATAGAAAAACATTAGATTGCTGAGGCAAAAGGGTACAATTAATTAAAGAGCAAAACATTAGATTGCAGAGGCAAAAGGGTACAATTAATTAAAGAGCAAAACATTAGATTGCAGAGGCGAAAAGGGTACAATTAGTGGTGAGAGATGGCGTTTAACGTCTATTTCTATTTCAATAATTCGCTTACGCGTTTGGGTCTTTCGCAGTGGGAGGAAACGGGTGAAAACCTACGAGGCTGGAAATGCGACCCTACTTATTGTCACGTACAACCACGCCACTCGATGACAGATCTTATGATCTAACGCGCACGTCTTATACCATTCGATCAACCCCTACACACCTGGCAAGGAAATAGTCTAGTTGTTCGAATGGTACAAAACCGCATTGTCCACCTGAGTACTCGTTGGTGTGACCCAAAAAAAGTACCTTGTCAGAATTCGACGAAAAATAGACGGAAGCGCTGCTGTTCGGGCATATTTATCCCCAGGTTTCATTGCATATCAAGTCGGCACAAAACATATATTTACCTAAACCGTTAAAAACAGTAAATATATTTTCTGCACCAAAGTTGCCCCGTGACCTTGCCATAATTATACAACCCCGTTTACCTCAAATCTGAACATTTTTGTACTTATTCACATCCACTATCAAATAATAGTTAAATATATAAAGATGGTAACAAATTAAGAATGAAACATGAGACAAAAGAAAGGAAAATAGAGACAAACTAAGTCACAAACTAGGTCATTTCGGCACTAATATATGGTACAATTCTATTTCAATAATTCGCTTGCGCGTAGAATTCCTTAGCTGTGGGAGGAAACCGGCGGGCCAAGAGAAAACCCAATTCTCCTGGTCGCTTACAAGCTGGAAATCGAAACCACGCCACTTGATTCAATGACAGAAATTAGACCATTCGCGCCCCAACCACCACAGCCACTGAAACATGACATAAACAGTAGATATAGAGATTATAGAAACGGATTTAGGTTATCAGTTCACGTTTCCAAGGAGCTTAACATATCATGCCCACTGCCCGTCATCCATTAACTTATCAACCCAAGTGGTTTTTTTTTAGTTCAAATTTGAAATTATCGCTGTTAACGTCGTTGTACAAGCTGTTCTACTCAGTTTATTGTATCTGTTGTTTTTGAATATTTAAAATGTCTTTCTTCCTCACACTTCTCAGTATTAGGTCCAGTACTCGAGTCTTGGGGCATTCAATAAGGGAGTTGATCCCGGGAATCATCAAACCTATACACTTTACTGCTGTAATTTATTCTTTAGTTTTAGTTAGTCCTACACCACTGAATGTTGGAAACGAAGTATATTATCAACAATTATAGCCAATCTGATTAAAATTCATATCTATATTTCGTTTCGTTTTTTTATTCATTGGATGGCCTACACTGCATGAAGATCTGAATGGTTCTAGTGGAATGTCGCGTCATGCTTTTGTCCTATGACGCCATACATTGATTAATCAATCAGCGTTGACGTTTCTAGTGGTTTACCCACAGTTCTGTGCATTGTACACCAAGAACTCGCCGTAACAAACCGTTTCATTGACGAATACCTCACTTCAACCAGATGCGGGTTACATACATGTAACAACTCTTCCAGATCCTAGTGTAGTAGAGACAAGTAAAACAAAATTTTGAACTATAAAAAAACGAAACGAAATAGTGTCTGTGTTTTAATTAGATTGCAATTATAGCCGAATAATAAAACAAGTTATGTTTCAATACAATCTTAATTCAAATCCAAACGAAAGGCTTGTGACAGTATCCAAAATATTATTCACTTTGACAGGAGGACCCTTATATCCCGAGGCCAAGCCTAAAGGTAAATCTGGCAGTGCATAACATGGATACGTATCTATATTTAGATTAATGAACTGTTATTAGGTCACGTATCTAGAGTATACAATTATTCCAACCAGGTAGATAGTTGATAAGAGTGGACGTCAGAAACAGTGTGTTGACATACTCTAACTACTAGGGTTTTGTTTAACTGGGTGACAAAAAACAACAGATACTGCTCCCCCTGAATAAACAGTCAAAGATAAACGTCATATAAATGGACAAATATATCCTACTTGTTAGATGATTTATGTTGTGTATAAACGGTGTTAGGGTAGTGTTAAAATTAATTAGACATTTTGTCAACATCTTTTTAAGTTTTTAATCTGAATAAAGTCCAGACTGTTATCCTGAACAGCTATATTCATGTTAGTGGCAAGGCTAAGCGTCGCAATCAGACCACCCCATGAGCTTGTGTACGTTTTTGTGATACAGAAGTTTAAATCCATCGGCAATCATAACTATCACCTGATATTAAAGCCCCCATGCACCCCTGTCTTGTAGTGTATACAGCACGCGTCGCAATTGTATCACTCCCGTCACAGGTGCACCATCCTGCCATATACACGGCACCTATCGCCAGTGTATCACTCCTGCGTTATACAACTGTACCATCCTGCCATATACAGAGCTCCCATCACACTTGTATCACCCTGCCTTATATCCGGCTCCATTCACAAATGTTTCACCCTGCACTATACCAGGCTTCCGTTACAAGTGCACCACTCTGCCATGTACACGACTACATTCACAATAGTATCACCCTGCCTTATACACGGCTCCTGTCACAATTGTATCACCCTGCCTTATACACGACATCCTCTACGATATATAGCCTACCTATATTGAGGTACGTTTGGCCATCCTTCAAAATAACATCCACTCGACACAAACTAGGCCATTTCGGGACTACCATACTGTTCAATTTATATTTCAATAATTCGCTTGCGCATAGAGGTCTTTAGCAGAGGGAGGAAACCATAAGGACCCGGAGAAAACCCACGTACCAGCGGGGAATCGAAACAACACCACTTGACACAATGACAGACCTCATGATGCAACACGCAGGCGCTAACCATCCCCCACCCACATGTATGATGAAGTTTCTACATCACAGATAGAATGAAAAGGGGTTTAACGTCGCACTTTACTGTACCGAGTGGGCTAATGAAGGCGGGTCTACGCCATGCGGTGTGCTATGGGGGAAATTTTAACAGGGGTTCTTTTACGTGCACGCCAATGTCTACACGGCACTTGGGTTTTTCGTCCCACCCGAACGACTTTAGCCAGTTCATTGCCAGACCCTCCTCTCAAGACAAGTAAATTCTTGTAATAAAATGTACCATATATTAATCCCGACATGACCTAGTTAGAAGTAAGTGGTCTTTAAACCCCGTGTTTAATTTTACCTCTCTTTCAAACTTTAAAATTACAGTCATAGGTCTACAGTAATTTACATATCAACCCCATGGAACTTTTGTATGTGTAGCATATCAAAAGGATTAACTTCCTGCCTTTGACCTATGAACATCATTCTGATTTGATTTAAATATCAAATACACATACAGTCCCAGATGTCAATCAAATAATTCATTAAAACGAACTTAAATAAAAATAACTGACAGTGAATTGGGTCTTTATTTATTAAATGTAATATATGTTGAACATTTGAATAATTCAATAGCTTAATCGTCGGTGACATGGAAAACCTCGTAAGTTTACTTATTGAAAATAAATTTTATTTGGGATTCATATTCTGTGTTTAATTTTTCCATCTGTCAATGTCATTAGCTAGCCTTTACCGTGCATAGCTCATCCACAATTTTAATTGAAAACAACCTACAGGGTATTCTATGATCACTACAGTATGAAATAAATTCCTTGGTGTTTAGTTACTTGTAATTATGTAGGATAGTATTATGATAAATAAGCTTTTGTGTCCATATTTAGAAATTGGAAACCCCGTAAGTACATCAAATACCCAATTATTTACATTATTTCATGTAAATTTGTTAAAATATCTTACAAACAACATGTAACTGTAATATATAATCCCAGCTTGCAATTATACTAAAACGTCTTTTGTGATTTTCTCAAAATCATGAAAACTGACTTGAGGTTTTTCTATGTCACCGACGCTGTACGATTTTAAAAGACTGATTGTAGTGTTGATGTTAATAACCTGGGTGTCCGAGTCGAATGGTTTAAAGCAAGCGGTTTAGATCATAAGATCTGTCAATGAGTCAACCGTGGCATGGTTTAGATCCCACGGTTGTACGTGACAAGGGTTGGGGTAGCCGCTTGAATTCTTAGTGTTCCTCCGGTTTTCCCGACGGCTAAATGACAGTGTTTGTCGAGTGGACCTCTCTCTCTCTCTCTCCCTCTCTCTCTCTCTCTCTCTCTCTCTCATTAACCAGAACTATAAACAGAAAATCACATTTTTCACATTGTAAACAAGACCACCCATCTACAATACAAGTCCAAAGTTTGTATTATCTGTAATTGTTCAGAAATTTGGCTGCATTGCCTATTGGTTAACAAATCCCACAGTCTCCAGTAAAATAATTATAAACGGATTAGGGTTGGGTGCATTAGATAGTTCTTTTGTTAGCGAAATGCGTGAATTTAGATACAATTTAATGACTAATCCATCCACAGAAATTACACAATATGCAATTAATTCAGTATCATAAGAGTTACGATTCAAATTAGGGCATCACATCGGAGCCACGCTGGATTAGTGTGAAAGGCGCTCTCTTAACTGGCCAGGAAGTTCCGGACACAATCCCGGTGTGGGTCAAGAAATCTCCTCGGAGGTTCACCTTGTTAGTAGTGTAGAACGGATGGCATATAGTCGTTCGGATAGAACGTAAAACCGAGGTCCCGTGTAAACGTAAAATATACCACTGAGAGATGGAATTAAACGAAGAGTAGTCGCTGCCTTGGCAAAATGATCCCCACTACATGACGCACGTCTGTCTTCATTAGCCCGGTTTTCACAGAACAGTGGGACGTTAAATTCCATTTCGTTTCATTTAAATCCATATCACATAATATATGAGTTGACATTCCGTTTAATATTTTTAAAGAAAACAATACAGGGTTTTAATATTTATAATGAGGTTAAAATATGCCAATCCACGATTTTATAAACTTGCAAACATATAAAATATGTAACATATTTGTTTAGTGGTGTTTCAAGGGTCGACCATATCATTTAAGAGGAAGTCTCGATTGTGTCATGTCGTATTTTACGATTGAACTCATTTCAAACAATTTCTATTTATCCTCATTATAATTTATGGTCGTCATGTGTCACATGATTCATACGCTATGTTGATTTAGTTAATAAAGTAAAGTAGGTCTACCTAAAAGTGAGGTGCTTTACCATTTGACTATAGTTATAACCTAATTATTATCAAGGGAAGCTAAATATTGCGGATCGATATTGACGGTCAAGATGCACACAATATTAACTAGTGCGGAAGATGCACTTGAAATTTGCGACATTGAATATGTCAGGACTCTGGACAGTTCATATTTCAGGTCTGGGGGATCACGGTGGCTAAGTGGGTAAGACGCTGGCTCGCTGGCCTGGAGGTCGGGTGTTTGATCCCTGCATTGGCCGAGAAAGTTCATCCAAATTTTCCGGCGTGGTTCTCCCTTATCAGTGATGCAGGACGGAGGGCCTGACAAGGACAGTTGTCTAGTCGTTCGAATGGGACGGAAAACCGAGGTCCCGTGTACACATTGGCGGGCACGTAAAAGATCCCTTGATAGTTGGATTTCGATATAAGAGTCCGGGCAAAATTTTCCTCATAGCACACTGTATGGCGTATGCCTGTCTTCATTAGCCCAGTTCGGAGCAGAACAGTACTAGGACGTTAAACCCCATTTTATTTCATTTGATTTATTTCAGGGCTGAAAAACTGAAATAGATCGCGACCCAGTGTCTAAACACCCTGACTAACGACAACATCCTCATTACCATGGAAACCGAACGTGTAATAAATCATACTGAACACTACATCCTGCTCATTGCTGAGATAGATCACGATCCAGATCTAAACCAGATTCAAGATTAAAATCGTGCGACGTTTATAACCCAAAAACGTCTGATTGACAACAATGATTACCGTATATACCTGTATATACCAATAACTAACGTCCTACGTATCTGCTTCATCTGGGACAATTAAGACGGGTATACGCCGTGATCTGTGCTATGAGAGAGCTTTGTTCGGGACAGCAGCCCCAAGGCGTATTCTTATTTGGAATTCCAACTGCCAAAGCTTCTGTTACTTACACAGGGCTTTTCGTCCCCTCCGGACATAGGAAAACCACGCGTCCAGATTAGCGACCCCGCGTCTTACTCAACTCACGGAGCCACCACGACTCACTAGCCCACACCTACAGACATACCATCACAAATCAAGTTAAATGACACTTTTATATTTGATAGTCTTTAACTAAACAAATACTGTAGCTCGTACTAACTGGATGTACAATAAAATGTCCGGTGTTTACACAAGATCAAATATACACGAATATAATGACCAAATTCCTGTACTCAATGAGCCAACTTGACTTAGACATTCTCTCTTAACTAAGAAGCTAGATTAAAGTTATCTTTCAAGCTGGGGTTTTGTGGTCAACTCTAGCCCACTTGTTCTATCAACCTGCTTTAGTCAATATATTGCGGCTAAACAGAGATTTAAAATCGTTTAGTATGATGACTGAATCATAATGTATTTTTTATTTGCTGGATATTTATAGTCGGTATGGTATTTCTAGATGTTAATATGTAAATGGATATTAATTAATCATAATAATGTATTGGAATGTGTTAATTACATTAAAGGAATACCACACTATATCAAAACATATACTTATAATGTAATAACTGAATCCCCCCCCCCCACACACACACACTAATTAAAAATCGTAAACATAAGACCCCCCCCCCCTTTCCACACCACACACGCGCGCGCAAAATAATCAATCAAAGAAACGACAAAAACTCATACAAAGATCTTGGTTGCAATTGTTCTTATTCATGGAATAATCACCAATTCCATAGAATACCAGAATGTTTTAAATATTTCCATGCTAATATTTATAAACTTTAATTCCCGTACAATGTAAACTATCTACGTATGAAATTGGGTTTAACGTCCTGCTGTTCTGCTCTGACTTGGCTAATGAAGATGGGCTTTCACCATACAGTGTGCTATGAGGTATATTGTGCCCGGAACGCGTCGCTACGACCTACTCTTTCATCGAATTCCACCTGCCTATGGTTATTTTACGTGCACGCCTATTTTTACACCGGTCCTCACTTTTTCGTCCTGTCCGAACGACTATACGTTGTCCCTTGCCAGACCCTCCATCCTACACTACTGACAAGCGGAACCACGCCAGAAAAATTAGATGTCTACATATACAAATAATGGATAAAAAGGCCCTGCACCCCACCCAATAATATAACCCCAAAAATGTTTCAACTAAAAGATACACGGATATGCACAATTCCACAATTGTGATATTAAGTCATCGTGACTAGCTTAAAATGTCATCTAAATCAAGTTTTTATATTGAAATATAACAGAAACAAATACTAAAAAAAGTGTAATACAATCATCCTTTAAAGTTGTTCAATATAAGAAAAAATCTTACCATATAGTAGATTAAAAATATATTCTTGCTTTCTTGTTAAGTAATGTCCCAATCTGTTAGACGAACGTGCTATAGGTGTCCCCGCCATTGTGTTTTAACTTCCGCGAAACGAGCTTGTTAACTTTCCCCGTATTTTTTATATTCCCTTACTCTATCACAGCACTAGTAACGGAATATGAACTCTGACCCCGGTAATGACAAAGTTATGTGAAGTGACCAAGGGTATTATTTGTTTTTGGCCGTTCCCTAAATGTGACACACTTTTCCCACCATCAGCCAGACGGAGAAAACAATCAGAGTTATGTATCAAGTGTAGAGAATTGTGATACTGGCCAGTTATTTTGGTATGTATGTCACTAACTGATATGGTAGGACAGCTATGTGGGGTGGATTATAGGCGGATGACGGATTAACGATACATGGCTAGAGTTATCTCAAATGACGACTAAGACAGGCACAATAGAAAACAATTTGTTCTCCATTCACTATCAGTTACGATATTCCCCATTATACACGTGATATATATAAAAAAAAATATCCAATTATTTTCTAATAAGGAAATTATAAACTTGAAGAGACAATATTTTTTTTATTGATGTTTGAGGATATGAATCCTATTATGTGGTATGCATATTACTGTGACAATCATTTAAAAATTATTATTTTTGACTCCTTAGTTTCATTTTTGACTTGAAATTCCAAAAATTGAAACGAACACCGGTCATCCTCATGTTATCGTTAGACGGGAAGGTTACATCGTTAGTAGTACATGTATATAGATCTTTCACCAGCATTTGATGCAAACGATATTAAAAAGACTAGACATGGGATATGAACTTATTGGTCAGAAACAGTAAACCAACAAGCATAGATCTCAAATGGGGCATGCCACAAGGAACAGTACCTGAACCGGCGTTTTCCAGTCTGTTGTTAATTGGATAGGTTGATGATACAGTATAAGCTAGTGTTAAAATTTTAGTATTCGGCATCTCGTAAGTGGACTCAGCGAGTAGGTGCTGGAAGATTTAATAGGAGCTCCTGGGTCAATACTGGTGTTGGCTGAGAAAGTTTCTTGCAGGACCGAGAGCCTAGTTAGGAACAACGTCTAGTCGTTCGGATGGGATAAGATCACATGCACCACTGTCTGGACCAATAACACACTGGATGGAATGTGCTGGCCTTCATTAACCCCGATTTCATTTCATAACACTTTAAATGTTCAGCATACATTCTTACAAAAACTGCGACGCATAAAAAGAACGAATTGTCACTAAAACATCGCCATTATCCTCATTATTTTTGGTGTGGTTGTGTGTGGAAAATATAAATAATGGAAGGGCAAAGATCATAACTGGATCTCAGATTGCACGAAATTAATGAAAGATGAGATTAGTAAGTTGAAACTATTGTATAGAGGCATGGCAGATTTAATTTTATTTTTGTATTTCGAATTGATCATTGATAAGACATAACTGACTTTCTTTGAGTGTGCCACTTTAAAATCAATGTTCGATTTAACAGAAAGAAAAAAAAAATAATTCAACAATTTATTTAGGTTTTTTTATCCACAAAAATAACAAATAGGGAACATACTCACACATTTCAACTGTCATACAATCTTACACACCATATGCCTAGTATATGAAAATCTTATTCTTTTGTCGTACATTAAAATTATAGAGACGAGAAAATTTTACAATAAAACAAAGACAATGTTTCTCAAAGAGCATTTCGAAATAATAAATGATTTAGGTAAGACAAAATGAAAATGTTGATTTTAATCCCGTTAGCAAAATAGATCAACACATCAAATTCATTTTTTTTTTTTAAAAAAGAAAATTTGATTTGTTGATCTATTTTAATATTGGGTATATTACGAGCGTATGTCTTTATACCTAATTAACATTTTATTTCCGCAGGTAAAGCCAATAATATATAACAGATTTTGTGATCAACAATTTAAAATTTAGGCCAAAAAAGAAACTAAAATTAGTAAACGTGGCATCCACAGTTTGATCTTTCAAAACGAAAGTTTGATTGTTTAGAGTTTGTCTTATATCTGAATGAAATAGTGGACCATATCAACCTGATTCAACACGTTATGGTGACCGAAATCAAAGAGGTTGGGTCATTTGAGTATATTAGTAATAAGTATAAAATCATACAAGATTTAAACAACATTACCTTCGTACACATATAATTCGATATAATTTAAAATATTTCATTCATTATTTGATTAATTAATTTAGAGGTGGTAACTTTCTAACTTTGCCTGTGTATGGACGTTTTGTTTGTCTGATTGAAGGCGGGTTTGGTTTATAAATACGTGGTAAAGTTGAGACAGGTTTTAATAAGTTGGGAAGCGGAGTAGCGTTGACATTCTTAATAACTTTGAGATTTTCTTGAAGCTTGTTTTTATCTGTTAATGTTACTGATTTTATCTTTGGAAGTGAAAATGACTTATCTCCTGTCAGTACTGCATGATCTGTTGTTGGAAGATGCTTCGGTAGCAGAGTTTGATTCCTAGATATTTTCATGGAAGTATCTTTAGCTTTCATAGCACTGGCTCTAGTAGGTCTAGGCATCGTCATCTTTTTGGGAAAACTTGGCATTGGTTCTGACCGGTACGTGGTACCTTCCGAGCAGGAAATCATTGGTTTCAGCTTTTTGTTTTTAAATTGTTGGCATTGGGTTGGACGGTTTGGAACTGCTCCTAAAGGAGGCAACTTGGCATATTTTCCTAAACTATCTTCGTAGCAGAAAGCTTCTTTCACAGTGGAGGCATCTTTAATGGTGTATTTCCCTATGAAAGATGAATCCAGTGGGACAGAGCTACTATCATCCATCGCCTTGATTTCCTCGACATGTTTATCAGAATGACCACGGATACCTTCCCTGGGACTTGAAATTACAGTTTCCTGTCGACCTTCATGTTTTGCTCTTTCACTCTCGTTCAAACCTTTAGTTGAAATCTGTACACCCTTGAATATTGTGGGATCTTCTCTCTCGGTGGTCAACTCTTTCAAAAGAAGTGAAGAAGAATCGGCGCTACTGGGTGGAGAAATACATTGAAAATGATCTACTGCGTTGGACATGGTGTTGTTTGATAGCAGTGGACTTCTCATTGAGCCTGAGATCTTCATGGGTTTACATGTTGTATATTCATCTATACTGCTGTATGTGTCCAATAGTTCTTTCTGGTCAATTTCTGTTTTGCTACTGACCACAATCATTTGATTTTTATCCATTCCTACAAAGCTCTTCATGATTTTACAAGTACTGTATCCATCCATATTGGTACAAGGTGAATATGTGTCCATGGACTCATCCATTATGTTCCTGTTGTTTCTGATGCTGACCTGTTCGCTGAATCCGGGCAATGTTTTCTTATTTTCGCTTTCTTCTTGGTGATTTTCACTCTCAAGCATTTGGTCTTCAGGACTGACACATGAGATGGGTTGAAGTCTTTCATCTACCGTAGCTTTAACAACGGGATCAACAACAGTTGGACTTGGATCTGGCACTCTTTTACCGAACCGATATCTAACCTTCTTCACGCCATCAATGGGTGGTACTCTCTCAATGTAATCCTTGCCTTTACTTCTTGTAGCCTCGTAAAGTTTCTTGTAGAAATCAACCTCTTCATCGGCCCTCTCAACACTACATTGCAGAATCAAAATACGGTTCATACAATCATCGTTTTCATAATGTAGCTTGTCGATATGTCTGAAATAAAACATACATCAAATAATTATAACTAAATGTTACAAAATTGGAGTAAATTATTTACTTTTATCATTAAAATAGCAATGAAATAGTATCTACATCAAAAATAGTACATTTACAAAATAGTAAATTATTTACTTTTATCATTAAAATAGCAATGAAATAGTATCTACATCAAAAATAGTTAATTTACAAAATAGTAAATTATTTACTTTTATCATTAAAAATAGCAATGAATTATTATCTCCATAAACAACAGTACATTCACTCAAAATAAATCATTTACTATGATTCAAATAAAAGTACCTGTTAAGTTGGTCAACTTTAAAGCGGAGATCATCATTTTCTAATTGTATCTGATTGTTGTTTATCTTAACACGTTCCTCGTCATCTTGTAGTGATGAACCTGTAAATATAAAGAAGATAGACATTTTGGATATTATCTTGATACTTAAAATATCGTGAAAGTCATTCATTCATAAATGACCTTCTTAGATCCAAACCAAAAGTACATAAACGCAGTCAATTGCCGCTACATGCATTAAAAGGTAAAAAAAACCCCAAAGGTATATAAACCCAATCGAATATACCTACGTACATTTAAATATTAAAACTGGTCTACATTATGAGAAATATCGCGTTTGTATATGTGATTGGTATATATGGATAGGATAGAATGTCCGGTATATTTTTAATTTTGTCCTGGGCACAGCTTACTGGCTTCGATAGATATACTGAGTTACCGTATGCCAAACGAAATGTAAAACAGACGCCTTTCTTCAATCAGCTTAAAAGTAAAGTCCCTGGTAGTCTTACCGACGCCAGCAACAACAACATGAAAAAAGTATATCGAAAATCAGCACCGATACCTAACCAAATATTCTGTGCTGTGACCGTCTAATTGAATGAACATAGATATATCTAGAAATTATGCAATGACATATCTGACAAATTATCAGATTTAAAAGCTAAAACGGATGCGTCCTTTCTATGTTCCTTCTGGAGTGGCTAAAGACACAGGCCATAGATTATTCGTTTGCGCTCCTGGTTGATAGATGTTTCTCACGCATGTTTAATTGATCCAGAGATTGGCCTGGATCATTAAATACAAATGACCATGTATGTATATTGTATGTTTAAATGTAAACACAGAACAAACCTTTAGACTCAGTTCGAGGTTTAGATAGTATGTTCCCTCCACTGGTTTCAGGTTCAACACTACACCAAGATCCGCTCAAAGATGATGCATAAGATACCGATTCACCTGAATCACGTCTAGTTGATACGGGTTGATGTTTAGTCCAATAAGCTTCACCAGGAATCGGTTCTGGTAAACCTACAAATGTAAGACATGTGTAGAAGAGACATATACTAATAAACGTTACCAGTATTCAGCTTATCTAGACTTAAAATAACTTAACTGGTTTAATTTATAAGTAGAATAATAGATCTAATATATAATATATAATGTTTCAAACATACTTTATCAGCGTTTTACAAATACAGTGAGATTGACTCTCGTCTAATACTCACCAGTAATTTCTCTAGGAGATGGATAGGGAGCATCTTCATCACTTTCACCTAGAGGTTCCATAGCTTGGTGGCCATTTAATACACGCTTTTTAAAGTCGTGTAAAAAATCAATTCTACAAAACAAAACCATAATAATTACCATCTTAATTTCTTTTAGTTGTTTTACCTTTGTATTCTTTAGAAAAGAAGCGTGTCTTCAGTTTTGAGTTAGAATATGAAAAGTTATAAATGCCCTTAACTCCCTGCCAAACCGTGATTTTAAAAAGTTATTTAAATGCAAATAATGAAAAATATTCTTACCTCGAATCCATTGAACCGATTTTTTAAAATAAGAGTGATAATTAGTTAAAATGTAAAACTTTGCTACATAAAAAGTAGAAAGACGTCCTGTTAATTTTAAAATAAGAGCAGGAATGGTGGAACAATAGGCATAACGTCATAGCTTGCATTATGACGTCGTTTAACTATGACTTCTTAATAGTTAAATTTCTTTTAAAAGGTTCTGAAAAAATTCCGCTAATATCCCCAAATATATGCCCATAGGTACACAGATTAATGATCCAAAGTACTCCTAAGGGCTTTATCCCCTTCTCCCAAAGATAGATATGCAGCTTGGTAAAACACAAGGACTTATTATTGTGACTTTTTGAGATGCTGTAGGCCACTAATTTGGTAGGGACCCAGATGCTGCTTTGTCAGTGAATAACTTTAAAAAAAGAGAAAAGAAAAGAACACTTAAAATATATCATGGACCTTATAATACGGTCCATTAATGAACTATTTTTTTTTTTTTTTTTAAATTTCACCCCACGGGCCACCGCATAGGACTACCAATATTCTGCGCGGTCCAGGATTTGATTACTATTTAGTGCTTTGAAATAAATAAATTAAAAGACTATTATAATGAAGTGCCTGCAACAATGCATTTCGCGTTTCGTGTGTAGTGTCATTCAAGGGAAATAACTACATTTTAGTGGTTATCTCCCCTTATATTTATTTATTTACAGAGAGCGCTGCCTCAAAATGGCGACTGCTACAAATCGTGTAGACGAGCTTGTCAAAGATTATTTATTATTCCGTGGTTTGACAACAACCCTGAAGACTTTAGAAGTAGAACTAAAAACGGATAAAGAAAAGGGGCTTCGAGTAATTACATAATTTCCCCATCATATCTCTGTTAGACATGTTTTTGCGTGGGAAGTTCGTGAACTGTCACGTAAAAATATAAACAAAGAATGAAGGGGGCGGGGACATTTTACAATTTTAGTAAATTTACTTGTATTGTTGATATAACGTATTTTCATTCAATTAATACGTTATTAATAATAATAATAAAAAAAAGTTGACCTAAAATCGGCATTGTTCAATGGAATATCTTCGACAAACTGATAAGCCAAACACATGTTAATAGACACTTCCACTTCCTCTTTTAACCCTTTCACTGCGTATACCCGGTAGTACCGGGTATTATAAAATGTCGGTAAAATGCCCGTACCCGGTATTACCGTGTACTCAGTAAAGCCCTCGCTAAAATTAGTACCGTAACTGCAAGTGCCATCTATTGTATTTTCTATACACTAGAACATATTTCCACGTGTTTCAAATCGGCAAACCGTAAAATGGTGGAGTGCATTGTGACAACGTAGACGATGCACTCTCGACGAAGTCGTGAATGACGTCTTGCTGACCAACATGTGGACAATTTCGAGGCGGGTGATACACATAATTCGTTTCCAGTTACTTGATAATGATAGTAGTCAGGACAGTGATTGGTATTATGAAGTGTGTGATTTGTTGCGCGACGTTCCGCCCATGGCTAGCTATGTCTCCCGTGCATGATGAACAAGCCCAATGTGAACACGCTAGCCCTGTGTCTGCAGTAGATTCTGACAATAATTCTGATGTTTATAATAATGCTGGCCTGCTGGATCGTAAAATACGTAGGTAATTCCTGATTCCCGAACGTGTAGATCTATTGACTGACTATATTGATAATGATATAGGACTTGGGGATGAAAGTGAAAGTGAAAGTAAAATCAAGGTATTGCAATCCGCACGTGGTCATGGCAGCGGGAGACGTGATGCGCGTGTTCGCGGCGGCATTGCTCATGGCTGCTATTGATATTTTTGTTCATTTTATATATCTTTATCAAAATCCAGTAAAAAAACAATATCTTTTAAGTATTTCATGGAGAAAAATTCGTTTTCGTGTTAGCTTTAGTGTGAAATGAGAAATCCAAAATGGCCGCCATGACGTCACGTGACTACATTATTATGCAAATTTCCAAAATTCTATTTTTTCCTCTTAGCCCAACCTCATGCCCATCCCAACAGACAAAAAGATTTTTCATAAAAGCTTCCATAAGTACTGCTTGGCATTCAGTTCCAACCTCCCTTTTTTCCTCAAAAAAGGGTCTAGCACAGGCAGTGGATTTACGTCTAGCATTGAAAGGGTTAAAGGAGCTAAATCGCTAACATTTGGGACCTAGAAATTGACAAAAGTGAGTCGCAACGCATATAATACTGTAATATGAATGTATATAAACTGATTTACATTCAATGGTTTCTGTTTTTACTCCAATTTTAAATCAGTTATGTTTGGCGAAATAAGCCAGCAGTCTCAAGCTAGTGCTAATTTCTAGCGTCTGGTTATTCCAGTCTACATACGCCGTTTGATTTGGTGCAATGTGTCTAGCCTCGTCCCTCGAGTCTCTTGATACATCTGGGGCTGAAGCGCATTATGGTACACGATCACGATTCGTGTACCAATGGTAAAATGTTTATTTTGTCTTAAATATTGGATATCAAAAGTCAATCTTTTTCCGGTAAGATCACAACATGAATGTTGATTTAATTTGACAAATAAATCGTGTTTTCAATGTTGAAGATTTTGGATAATATTGAGTTAGAGACTTAGCTCCTTTAACTATTTCGAATTTCGGAAAAAATTAAAAATAAAATATAAAATTGATGTAATTGGGTTGATTGGGCTTGTCAGGCGACTACCTGCCAATAAATATTCAATATTTTAAGTCATCACATAAAAAGCAATCCAATAAAATTATATCAACAGTAAACCATTTAAGACACCAATTAAATGACCATTTCATGAGCTTGTCACTGCCAAATTCTTCATGGTGATTTTAGTATTTCAAGATTAAAAATTTTCTCAGTCCACTGAAATATCGACAATTGCCAGGGAATCTGAGGCCACATAAACTAAAGAGACAGAAAGATTGATTTAAACCTTTTGATCAATTACTTTATTAGCCTACTAATATGGATCTTTTTTGGACCAAGAATCTCCTCAGTACACTCCACTGAAGGGTATCTGAGGGTACGTAAGCTAAACAGACAGAGAGAATAAGTTGGACTACCTTCTTATTGGCCCATCAGTATGTGTATGGACCTTTTTTAGACTAAAAGGTTGACAATTCCTAGGGAATCAGATACCCAATAAACCTAAAGAGACACCTTTTTGGCCAACATGTACATATGGACCTTTGTGCACTTCATGTTGTTACAATGTACATATCTGAACTTGTCTCATTTATTTTTAGGCTGACAAAATAGTTGAACAAGTACAGTATTATATCACCAATAGTGATCTCCATGGATTGAGAGAATACTGGTCCTTTTTAAATCAACGATTATTCCAACGATTAGAACAACAGTTTATGTCTAGTGTTCGTAAACTGGAGGTGGGCCTACAGAAACTTTATATTGTTGCAGCTTTTCAAAATAACAGGCCAGACAGAGTACATGAATTTTTTGATAAACTGGTCCAAGTATCAGACATACAGAATCAACTAGAATTCAAAGAATGGTTTGGTAATGGATATTTTGCTTTTTGTTTCAAATAATATAGACTTTAATTTGGAAGGTCACATTTAATACATTAATTTTTTGAAAGCCTTAATTTCTTCTTTTATGATACCAGTCAAGCAATCTGAATATCAGAAAATTAAATTCAAAATGAATTTACGCCCAGTTTTTACTTGGGTGTCTGGTGTCTTACTTAACCCTTTGAATACCAGTGGCCAGATTTGCAGCCTGTAACATTGTGCCCAGGAACCGACTGTATAGGTAGTGGAACGTTCAGGAACCTGGTTGTCAAAGGGTTAAACTAATAACAAATGACTATTATGAAGGTGATTTAAAAGAATATTTTCATCAATTATTTCAATTTCTTTGTTCATTTATATTTTTAGCCTTTCCATTCATGAAGAACCCAGAAGAAAATACAATGTTTCAGATGTATTTTAATAAAGCCTGGCAAGATACACTCTTCCTTTCATTACATAACTTTCTTAGTGTTATACTTCAAGCTATGCATATCCTTTATAAAGTTTATCGGTAATTAAACTCATGCTTTTGGTTACTGTTTTTTTTTTATTGTTGATCAATTTATCTAAATCCTAGCAAAGAAAGAAAATCCTGATTAGTACTAGTAGTAGTAGGGAAATGGCACAATCGTTACTAAACTGGAACCATGTGATTGAATGTTCAATCCTTACTCTATAGCTATGTGTCAAACCCTTTTATCTTAAACTAAGCCATTTTATCCTTGTATTCCAATCTACCCAGCTGTAATTGGGTAGAACACTGTAAATATAAGTAAATGTAGCATGAAGATTTTTCTATAAAATGATTTGTCTGGAGGTATTAGCATCTAAGTATGTTCAGTGTCCTGTAATTATAAATTGTTAGTCATTGAGCGACACCCAGAGTTGGATAAAATTAATTTAGAATCACATAGAAATGTAATACGAATGAGATTTTTCATAGACTTAAAGCGAGAATTTCAAATTTTCTAAGAAAGTCAAAACATAATTGTTTCTATGTCTTTTGCTCAATAGGTTATCAAATCACTATTATACGTTCATGGGCATTATTTCCCACCCTTAAAAATCTATGACACAGGAAATAACAGCACAATTACCTCCCCTGTTTTGCTATTGACAACATAGGGCAGCCATTTTCCAACGTTGGAATTTGAAGTTAAAAATGATATTTTTGCCAATTTCTCAGCTGGCAATAGCGAATTATAGGAGTAATAGGATTATCTATTTTAAGGCTTTATTTTAATACTTTTTAAAAATATAACTTGAAAATTTGCAATTGCAACTTTAAAGGGTATATGAATTTTATGCTGATTTAGTTTTAGTCTCATCAAGATTGAATAACTTATTTAACCTTAATCCATAAGTACCAGCTCCAACATTGTTGAATTTTGAATATGATCATAAACGAATGAAGTTTCTACAAGAAGAAAATAATATTCTGAAGGAAAAGGTAAATTTTTATATTTGGCAACACCCATGAATTATGTGATTTGTGAAACTACTCTAAGCAGATGGATCATAAATGTCAAGATTATGAATAAGGGTCTCTCTTATTTCATAAAAAAAAGGTTAAATTACACACAATTCTTCAAAGTATTCTTTTGTTCTGATTTGTTAAAAAAATTTTGTTTGCTCAGAATGACATTAATATTTCATGTTGTGTATGACAAAAAGTTATTATGAATTAACGTGACCTGTATAGCTTATCAAAGGAGTTATTATGAATTAATGTGACCTGTACAGATTATCTAAGGAATAAATACAACTGTACTTTATTTTACTTTTATTGAAATTCATAAGACTGACAATAGCACTCGGCAAACCTCAGCAGATTCCAGTACACCACATCTAGCCTCGGCTGTATGACGAATTCTGCCATTGGAACTACTTTCATGTTCCTGGATTACAAATGGCGGCATTCTTGAAGACACCTGTGAAAAGTTTTATCATACAAAGCTTTCAATGCCTGACTGAATTTTTTTTTTTTTTTTTCAAGTTTATTTGATTTTCTTTAAACAAAAACAACTTTGCATTGAAAACTCTGCACACTTTTCGAACAATGCCATTTTAAGAACTTCTTTCTAAAAGCGGCAAATTTTCTTAATAAGTAAACCAATACTCACATATCAATTGTATGGGTGTAGGTACATATCACTTACCATCATACAGCTAAGGCTAGATGTAGGGTATCAGAATCTGCCGAGTGTGAGGATAGATCACATTAAACTTGCTTGCTCATGTCAGTTTATTATATATTTACATTTATTGACTTTCTGTGAAATTAAATGAATTTTGTTTGAATATGTTTAATTGTAAGAATACAACATTAACTATTACAGTATATGATACATTATATATTTTTCTATAATTTTTGTTCAACATTTATATTTTAGTTGCGTATAGTGAGTGAATCTGGTAATTTAGATCAGAACAAGAAGAAAGAACAAGATTGTAATTCAGCTAATGAATCTTTAACGTTAGATTTCTCAGCTTTATCAGAGTAAGTATTTAACATTAGATTTCTCAGCTTTATTAAAGTAAGTGAGATTTCTCAGCTTTATCAGAGTAAGTATTTAACATTAGATTTCTCAGCTTTATTAAAGTAAGTGAGATTTCTCAGCTTTATTAAAGTAAGTGAGATTTCTCAGCTTTATTAAAGTAAGTTAGATTTCTCAGCTTTATCAGAGTAAGTATTTAACATTAGATTTCTCAGTTTTATTAAAGTAAGTATTTAACCTAAGATTTCTCAGCTTTATTAAACTAAGTTAGATTTCTCAGCTTTATTAAAGTAAGTATTTAACATTAGATTTCTCATCTTTATTAAAGTAAGTGAGATTTCTCAGCTTTATTAAAGTAAGTATTTAACACTAGATTTCCCAGCTTTATCAGATGTATGAATAAGCCTTAATTCTTTGCAACTTTTTTTTTGATTAATACTTTGATTGTTTTTTATATTAGTGAAAATTCCAGCTCTAACATTCAAGAGAAGCAGAAATCTGGTAGACGTCTTCCATTTAATTTATCGTCATCTATATTAAGTAAAAAGAAATCAGATCCACAACTGCAGAAGGTTGAACCGAAAGTTGTCCGAAGTAAACCTAGTAAAATTCCTCCACAAACGGCACCAGTAACAACCAGTAAAAAACTATTATCAACTACATCTCGGCAACAATCAGTAGGCTCAGGTAAGATATACAGTATATTCTAAGTCATAGTTTTCTGGGATATTTTACTCTTCTATTAAAGATATATTATGTAAGAGTTAGATAAAGAGCTAGCCATGAAGGTTTGACAAGAGGTGTGCAATAATTTCAACCACCGTACTGGTTGTTCAAAGCTAAGTCTTGCTCCTCCATTTTTGAATTAAATCAAAATATGGCTGAACCGTTCTAATCTATTTAATATCAGAGAAATCTGATGTCATCGAGAGTTGATTATGGCCTGGATCAGTTAATAAATGTCTAATTAATAATTTCAAAAACATTCCAGGCCTAAAGAAAGACCTGCAATAGCCATATTTAGCTCTTGCATAATGTATGTTTAATCAAAGTATAATTTCTAGTGAAGTGAGAGAAAGAAATGGGGTTTAACATCCACTCCACTAACTAGATCATTTCAAGACTAATATATAATTCAATTTTATTTCAGTTATTCTCTTGCACGTAAAGGTCTTTAGCTTTAGGGGGGAAACCAAAGGACCCCCAAAAAACCCAATACGGTTGGATAGGCAACCCTACCCCTCGTCAGGTACAAGCGGGGAATCGAAACCACACCACTTGACTCAATGACAGACCTTGTGATAAACCATTCCCCCCCCCCACCCCCTCTTCTGTCTTGATTTATCCATGATAGTAAACTTCGACCTATTGTACCATAGAATTATGAATATTCATGAAATTAATGCAAGGTAGCATTTGACAATTGATTACAGATCTCTAGCTATTTGTAATGACATCTATTTATTGTTGGCAGTGCCAGACTGGGCCCACCTGTCCACCTGTCCGTGACAGGTGGGCCTAAATTCATATAAAAAAAGTGGGCCTAAGTCTATGAAGAAAAAATAAAAAAGAGAAAGATAAAAGAAAATAGAAAGAAAGGGCACTGAATGTTGGAGTTCTATTTATTAATGATTTGTGTATTATTATTGTAGTCATGTCAACATCTATTCCATCAAATGAAGTAAACATTACTACACCTAGACATAAATCACACTCTGATTATCAAAAACAAAGAAAGGAATTATTAGGTACAGAGAGAAAACCATCAACAATTGAAAAGTCACAGGTAAATTATTTTCTGTGATCATGTTTCAGCTTAACTTTTTGTTGATCACCATTCCTTACGATAAACCTACCATGTATCCACTCTATACACAATAAACTAGTCTGGTCAGACTACATGTAGTTAGAGTAGGTTCATTTTCGTAGACATTTGTAAAAATCCCTAAATTTGTAAATTGAAATTCTAATGGTCATATGTCAGTCGTGGGTGGTCAAATTTGTATCAGATTAAGCATACAATCTTGTTTGAATACCACTGAAGTGTCATAATAAAAGTTAAATCCTATAAAGCAAGACTGTCTTTTTGACAATCAGTATTTGATTGTCTGTTAAATACACTAGTCAGTAAATTTACATTTTACAAAGGTATTTTTTAAAGTGTATTATATAGCTTTAAAAACAGCTAAAAGAATACGAAATTTGTATTTTTTTCTTTGCAGATCATTAAACATTTGACTTAGGTATTCAGTTAAAACATTGGTAATTAGAATTAATAGACTGTACTAAAAGGATGTCCTGATAGACTGTACTAAAAGGATGTCCTGATAGACTGTACTAAAAGGATGTCCTGATAGACTGTACTAAAAGGATGTCCTGACAAAATTTGAATGTCAGAGCCAGGTTTGTTTTTAATATTAGTTATATTTGATGGTGTAAATTTGTTATTTGATTATTTCAGAGAGTTTCAGACACAGAATCTAGCTCTGGTTCTTCAACACCTAAGAAATCTGTACCAGTGTCATCAGAATACAGTCTAAGACCTGATACAGCAACTAGTGGTATTGATGTAGGTAAAAGTTCACCTATTGATGTAACAGCACGACAACCTTCTCCAGCTATTCCTGGTATGTGTTTTATCACTTTTATATATTTCATTTTACTAATGCGCAAGAAAGTTCCTTGGGATTTTCCAGCCTGGTTTTCCCTTGTTTAGTGATGCAGGAGGTCCTGACAAAGAAAATCATCCAGTTGTTTTCATAAGACTAAGGTTCTGTGTATATCATTAGCATCCGATTAAAGATCTTGTAAAAGTTAAATATCCATATAAGAGTTGGTCGTAGTGCTGCTGTCAGGGCAAAATTTCCCTCATACCCTCCAAAAATGAATGCTACTTGTTTCAAACAAGCATTGATAAATTTGAAGTATTCTTTCCCTGCCTAACAGTACTCTTGACACTGTGGAGGGCATAGTTTGTGAATTTAAAAATGTTAATTTATTTGTTTTTTTCAGATGGCGAATGTCCATTTCTACTAATGAGCCAAGTAAGTTATCAATTTATTTCTTCATTTATTGATACTAGCTTGTTAAATAAGAAGGGGGATCATGGTGGCTAGGTGGGTAAGACGCTGGCTCGCTAGCCTGGAGGTTAGGTTGTTTGATCCCTGCATTGGCAGAGAAAGTTCAACCAGAATTTCTGGTGTGGTTCCCCCCTTGTCAGTGATGCAGGACGGAGGGCCTGACAAGGACAGCTGTCTAGTCGTTTGGATGGGACAAAAAACAGAGGTCCTTTGTACACATTGGCATGCACGTAAAAAATCCCTTGACAGTTGGAATTCGATATAAGAATAGGCTGTAGTGCAGCTGTCTTGGCAAAATTTCCCTTATAGCACACTGTATGCCGTATGCCCGTCTTCATTAGCCCAGCTCGGAGCAGTACAGTAGGACGTTAAATCCCATGTTATTGCATTGGTAAATAAGAAATTCAATCTCAATTTTTTTCATTTGCCATTTTATTTGACTGCTTGTTAAATAAGAAATTCAATCTCAATTATTTCATTTGCCATTTAATTTTATTTTCACTACTAAATTTAGGATTTATGAATGTCTATTTTTTTTTTTATTAAGGAAGAGTATGCAGAACATCATTCAGCTATATCTTATTGTCGATTTTCTAACACTGGACAGTATGTGTCTAGTTTAGATGTAGATGGTGTTGTCAAGTAAGTTATTTTCATATAAAGAAATATTCATGCAGTCAATTAATTAGAATGCCATGACAACAGGTATTTTAGAAATTTCAACTAAAAGCACCAATTATGTTGCAAATATTATGTTATGCGAGGGCCCTGCTTAAAACCTTTTTTATTTTTTTTAAAAAGAATATGGACATGGAGTCCTCAACCATCAACTATTACAACTGTCATGGCCAGATCAGCATTTTTATCCTTAGAATGGGCTAGCAAGTCAGATAAATATGTAAGTTTGATTCTATGATTAATATAATTAATTAATAATTAATTAGAAATACGACTACCGCTGAACTGTCACCAAACTTTTCAACTGAACATCCATTCAAACCATCAAAGTTATTGTGTAAAACTCAGTGAGTTAGACCTTGGCTCGCTAACCTGGAGGGATTTTCCGGCATGGTTCCTCCTTGTCAGTGCATGACAGAAGGCCTGGCAAGGGACAGCGTATAATTGTATGGATGGGACAAAAAAACGAGGTCACATGTACACATTAGCCCAATCGGAGCAGAACAGTAGGACGTTAAACCCCCATTTCATTTCATTTATTTTGTAAAAACATTTATAAACTGAAGTTGATGGGCTTTTGCAGATTGATTCCAAATTAGAGAGAAACTTATTTTTAACTATGATGAATTGAAATGTTCTGAAAATAGAATGAGAAAACCTAAGCACTGATTTTATACTTATTTTATTGCCTGATCAGCATTTAATCTCAGTTTTAGTTTTCAAGTTCAAATTTAATTTAACATATCTTGTGTATGAAAAAAGATATCTTGTATCAATGTTTGAAGATATTCTTTATTAATGGTTAAAGATATTTTTATATATTAATGTATATTGTATATTTTCTAGTTATTATTAGGGAATAGAACTGGTTGTATCAGACTTTTTGATGTTAAAGAAAATAAAACATTAAAAGAAGTTGTTGTTGATACAGGATATCCACGGTAAGTAATATATTTAACTTTATTTGTTAATTTAAGAAATTAATATTAAAGGCCTGATGCATCATTTGCATTTTTGCTAAAATATTAAACATACATTATGCAAGAGCTAAATCTTCCAATTGCAGGGCATTCTTTAGGCCTGAAATGTGATCTGAATTATTAATTAGACATTAATTAACTTATCCAGACCATAATCATCTCTCAATGGCATCGCTAGCCTGTGATATTTACTGGATTAGAACCCGGTTTGCTGCTTTTGATTAAATCAAAAAATGGATAATCGAGACTTATGTTTTTTATCGTACCGACTTTAGTAATGATGATCTTTAATCCACGCTAATGTGTACTCATATTGATTATTTAACATTTAAACATACATTATGCAAGCGCTAAATCTGCCTATTGTAGGTCTTTCTTTAGGCCTGAAATGTTATATAAACTATCAATGCCATCTTATGTGTTTGATTTTCACTGGATTTGAGTCTGATCTGCTGCTCAACCCTCATAAAATAATAATAATATGTCCATTTATAAACGTCTATATCCATAAAACGTGCTTATGGCCCATATTGATGATTAAATACAAAAATGGATAATCAAGACTATGTTTTTTTTTTATCATACCGACTTTAGTAATGATGATCGAGTCTAGACCGGCTAGGCCTAAAATTCAATTGCTGATATCTCGGTTCAGAGCGAAGCAATTTGACTGAAATTTTTAGCATATTCCCTTTACATCACCCAGTTTTTAACTATTATAGTGAGAACTGCCAGCTCTTTATCTAATCTTCCATAATGCCCCTTTAATTAAGAAAACAAAATCATAATCCCAATGTTAGAGAGTCTGTGAATGTATCAGATGTATTATGATATTATAATTGCATGTTTCAGAATTAATAACATAACATTAAATCCAGCTGGAGTGAGTTTTGTTTGTTCTGCAGCAGCTCAAAGAGTACACAGTCCATCGAGTATCACAGATACTAGTTCTAGTACTAAACCTGGTAAATTATTATTATGGGATGTCAAGACAATGAAATGTGAGGTAAGAATAAAAGTTATTGTACTGTAATTATCTTCCATGATATGTAACCGAATTAACACCTGTGTGTGTAACACTTCAGAAGTTATTCAGTCTAATGAGTTAGTTTATTAATATGTTAAGTCACAATTTTCTGTAGTCCGAATATAATGAAATATGAAATGTGGGTATAGAGAGAGAGAGACCCACTTGACACAATCTAAGTCATTTCGGGACTAACATATGGTTCAATTTTATTTCAATAATTCGCTTGCACGTAGGGGTCTTTAGCAGTGGGAGGAAACTGGAGAACCCAGAGATAACTCAAGAGGTTGGACAGGCGAACCTACTCCTTGTCACATACAACCGTGGAATCAAAACCACGCCAGTTGACTGGATGACAGACCTTATGATACAATGGGCACACGCTATCCATTCTGTCATCCAACCCCTCTATAAATGAGCAGTATTATATATGAATTTTTGTAGGGATGGGTAACAATATAAAATATTTCATATGTATGTGACATGGTTTTATTTAGCGTTCACTTCCATGTTCTCTCTTTTTTTGTTTTATTTACAGAAACAGTTAATTTTTGAGCCTGGTCCAGTGTCAATTAATTGTTCATCATATAATCATAATGGTCAGTTATTAATAACAGGTGCAGCTGATGGTGTTATTAGATTATTTGGTAAGCACCAAATTTGATATATTTCTGTAGAGGTACACCTTGACTTAGATCTCAAAGAAAATAATGATAACGTTTATAAAAGTTTGAGTATTGATGATTTGTTTGATGATGGAAGGGAGATTGGAATCAGAATGGAATGCATACAACAGGGTAAATCAGGCACACTCTTTCCACTATATGTCAAACATTTCCTATGTGAATTGGCATATGTTTGACCAGGTATATATGGTGAATCATATTCCAAATTAAAAAAACTATTGACTGTATTGTTGACAATAGGGGAGATAAATTAAAAAGCTATTGACTGTATTTTTGATAATAGGGGAGATATTATTAAAACTATTGACTGTATTGTTGATAATAGCGGAGATAAATTATATATCAACCATTTTAAAGTGTTATACATCTACCTTGATACAGGGTAAAGATGTATATCATATCCTGTTATATTTTATGTGTTACTATTATTGATTTTACAAAAGGGTAATGTTAATAACACAGTAAATGTTATTGTCCCCTGCCTTGACGAAGTTCGATGGTGAGAATTTTCTGCTTAGACTAAGGAGCGATAAGCAATTTCATTGGTCAAGACTTTGGAACATAACAACTCTGCTTTTAATTGAGGTAGACTGTTTAAACTTGATGTAGATGTTCATTAGGTGAATGTCTTGACTGAGTTCAATGATTAACATTTTGAGCTGAAGCTAAGCAGAGCTTATCAGTTTCATAATCTTGATTCTATTTGATAGAAAGTGATGAAACTTAGTGTATAGTTTGATTGCTCGATACTTTTGAAAAAAATAAATGTGCTATTAATTAATATGTGTCATCTAATTATTTTGAGATTTCGGTGGGGGACATCAGCCTCACTGTTGCCTTGTTTTTATGGATATGATGTACCACAGGGTAAATGTTATATTTTAAATATTATAGACATATTACAGGGGACATGTTATATTTTGTATAATTATAGATATACTACAGGGTACATGTTATATTTTGTATATTATAGATATTTCACATGGCACATGTTATATTTTGTATAATTATAGATATACCACAGGGTACATGTATATCTCAGTGGGAAGGTCATACAGGTGAAGTTAATAGTGTACAGTTTAGTTCTGATGAAACAGCTTGTTATAGTCTGGGAACTGATGGAAAGGTCTGTTATACATATATTTAACATATTTCTGGTAATCTGCCTTACATTCAATTTTTGACTAAGAGTTGCTTGAATGATACAAAAGCTGTCATTAGCCTTGTTGGTGCAAAAAGTAGGACTTAAACCCCATTTCATTTCCATTTAATCAAATGCTTTCGATTATTCATATGGTATCCAGATATTGAATGGCATAAGTTGTTTTGTTTGATTATCTGAATTAATATTATTATTTATCTGTTCTTAAAATGGCATTTTGGAGCAGATTGTTTAATAAAATTCTATATGGAACATCTTAATGATAGCTTTAGATAAAATAAATACATTTATTAAGTTAAACACTATGATCTTAGATTCAATGATTCTAAAGATTTTCCTTTGCTTATTTCCTTAATCTTGCCATATTCATTTGCCCGGACATTTAAATGATTGGAATTAGGCCGGATGTATTATTTCTTTTGGCTTTTATGTTAAGTGATGTCCTTACTGTATACACTAAACCCTGTTCAGATTGGCCAGGTTGGGTGGCTGAATGGTAATGTGTGTGTGTTGCATCACAATGTCTGTCACATTGAGTCAAGTGGCATGATTTCTATTCCCTGCTTGTATGTCCTCCAGTTTCCTCCCACTGCTAAAGACCTATATGCGCAGGCGAATTATTGAAATAAAATTAAACCATGTTAGTCCCAAAATGACCTAGTTTATGTCGGGTAGATCCCCTTGTTTAATCTCATTTCTCTATCTGTCGGTTCATATTGTTTAAATGATGATATTAGTCTTTGAATGTTATTGATTTATTGCTGTATATTTTTTTCAGTTTATTAAGTGGAGTATACATAATACTGGTTCAAAGTTAGAAGAATTACCTATACATCAAGGGGCATCACTCCCATTCCTAGCAACCAGTCCAACTGGTAATAAAGAGTTACCAAGGGGAAGATTATTTAATTTTGATTCAGAAGGACAGTATATATTAACATGTGATAAAAATAAAGGAGTTATTTACCAGGTATTTTTTATATTTAATTATATATTGGAATTTAAACATCGGATACAATCAAAGTTGATGTGAGATGTTATCTTTATCCCTTGACGTCTCCTGTGATGTGTAGATTGTGGGACTAATGAAGTTTCAGGGTTGTAGAAATGATAAGGTTATTAAATTTCTAAGTGAATTGGTGGCCTGAAGGTCTTAGAAACCATTTTCTACCTTTTGTTTTAAGAATGGATAAGGGTCAATCATTTTTGAGTATTTTTTTTTTTTTGTAGTTATATATTAAAGGAGACAAATTTGACTTGACTATTCTTTGAATATGAACTAAGGTATCTTTTTATGTGTACCACAGTCCACAAATGTGTACATGGGAAATTATTTTTTTTTCGGTATCAACCATAGGACCGAATACATTTGCTGAGTCCAACAATGTCAGTCTGTTTGAATAGCTGAAAATTCCATGGGCCTTGGTTTTCTCATCTTTTAACTGATTGAATTTGTAATATTTTTCAGCTGTGTGGTGAGTCTGGTATAAGAAAGACTATGGAGTTGAAAGGTCACAAGAGTTTAATAACAACAGTTGATTGGTCGCCATCTGTTAATACCAGGGTAGCGCTTGCTGGGGCTATGGATGGAAAAATCAAAGTTTCTACTCTTTTACCACAATAACATAGGCTGTAACAGAGGATTAATTTTGATTACAGAAAGTAATCAGTGTATTCATATTGAACAGTGTTATTTTGAATTTTAAAAATGAATTTAAGAACTGTGTGAGAAGAAATTTTACACTGTGAGGGATAACATGACTCTAGTTAAATTAGAATTAAATAAGTTGCTCAGATATGTCCATAATGGTGTCCATTATAGTTTCAGGTTTCAAAACTTTGAAATAGACAGTAAATTTGACTTTAAAGGAAAAGTAGATAACTTATAGTTTCTCCCACTTAGCAATTAAGTTTTTACTTGATAAAATTAAACAATAGAGAATTCTAGTCGAAACATGGCTCAGTTATAAGCAGTAAATGTAATCCATAGAATTGGGACCAATGTATTTCCAGTTCATTACTAAATGGCAATGAAGCAATTGAAGTTTTTACTGAATGAAAGGCTGTAATACTATTCACAGTTCATTTTCTCTAACAGAACAAATCGTAGACTGGGACAAAAAATTTATAACTACATAAACTTAATACTTATGACATCAGTGAATAGATTAAATGTTAGAATTAAAGAGACATTCATATATGTATTAGCTTATTAATAAATTATAGTTGAGTAGATGAATATGTATTATATTTAATATTACATGTTTATTAAACCAAAGATATTTTCTATTCATAATGTGAATGCTAATCATTTATAATACATTTTGTATGTTATTTATATATTCTTAATTAAAGATGCATCATATAAGATTTAGATAAAGAGCTGACAGTCCTCTCTACAAAAGTTAAAAAAAAATAATGAAAATTTAATATATTGAAAATTTCTGTCAAATTACTTTACTCTGAGCAAATTTATACATGGCTTTTTGAAGATAAGTATAGTCCTGATTGTCATTGCTACCATTTTTATGATGATTTAAGTTAACTTATTAACTGCTGAGTGTGTTTAAATCTGTTGGAAATCATATCCATCTCAGTGTCTTGAGAGTAAATTATGGGCTTAGTATGTGAATAAATGTCTGATTAATGATTTAAAAAAAACATTTGAGACCAAACAAAAGATCTGCATTAGGCTGATTTAGCTCTTACATAATGCATCTTTAATTGTAAAACCTAATCATCTCAACCTTTAACCACATCTGCATATTAATTTTCAGGTGATCAATAGTCAGAGTAATTGTTTTTTTGTTTAAGAATATTGATATTATGTAGTTTGAATGGGTTAATTATTGTTCTATAGTATGGGATGGATTGGAGCTTAATATCTGGTGAAGCTTTACTGCCTACTCTTCAATTTCCAAATGTCAAGTGTTCTTATACTTGTATGGGGTTGGGTGGTTGAATGGTTAACACATGCGAGTTGAATCATAAGGTCTGTCATTCTGTTAAGTGGAGTGGTTTCGATTCCCCACTTGTACATGACAAGGAGAAGGTTCGCCTGTCCATCTTCTTGGGTTCTCTCTGGCTCCTCCCACTGCCAAAGACCCCTACGCTCAAGCAAATTATTGAAAAAAAATTTAACCATATGTTAATCCCAAAATGACATAGTTTGTGTCAAGTGGACTTTAAACCCCATTTCTCTCTCTTTTTGATCAGCCCTGAAAACTGAAGACTGGGCTTAAAAAATCCTAAAAGTTTGAACCAGGAGTTCTGGCTGGGAATATAGTGACCTGACTGTGCTCAACTGCATGACCCCCTCTCTGTTCAATAGGGACAGATCTTAGTGAAATCATGGGATGGCGAAAATATGTCCAGGTAATATACACTCTGACTGTAATTCATCCACAATCAACTACTGTTAAATGTTATGTATATGTGTGAAAGATTGTATATTGTTAGCTTTGTATTTGTGTGGAAATGTGCAATAATTGTGTCTTGTGACTAATTGTTAAGAATAAACCTATAAATAAGACCAACTTGAATATAAATTGTGTTGTTATTTCAGGCAGCCATTATCACTGTATTTCATGGTAAACCATGGCGGAAAAGGGTTTCAAAACAATCTCCCTTTGTTTGAATTCACAAATGAATTAAAGAATGATTTGAAAATGGGCTTTCATTAAATAAAATAAAATTTAACAATGATTTTAATAAGACAACAGACTGGGGAGAAGTAACTAAAGTACTGAGATAGCAGAATGTTGTTGCAATATCACTGGAGAGTCTATAGGAAAATAACCTGATGAACATAACACCCCTTTTTGCACCAATGCGCACTTGTTCCTTCCTTTCTCCGGTCACCGGTAACCAAACCACTGTTTGTCATATTAACTTAAAAACTACCCCACAGCATCTTCACAAAACCGCGACCCCGATGACACAATTGGTTTGCGGGAAGAGTGAGCTAGATCTGGAGAATATGCTGCGTGAGGGAGCATCTGAAGCTACAGTCATGTGCAGCGTTCAGTGGGCAATTTGAACTCGGACATTGTTCTGAAGCAGACAGGCACCTCGGCGTAATATGCACCATTTGGGTTATCTATCTATCGTGATTATGCCCTTGATGTCCCAGAAAATGGAGGCCATGTCCATGTAACTTTAGAACGGTTTGGCCGTTGGTGACGCCACGTGCTTCGACAGCATATTTGAGTTTTGGCCTTTGGGTCAAAGTAATGAACACGGGTTTCATCCAAAGTAACAGTATGACCAGCGAAAGCACGTAGATCTCTCTGATAGTCCCTGAGAAGCTATTGACTAACCATGAATCTCTGACGTTTTCGTTTCTCAGTAAACATTCTTGGCACCCAACGGACAGACACCAGTTGTTGTTGATGTGGAATTGTTCATGGATTATTCGTTCCACTGCTGTTTTGCTTATGTGCAGTAATTAACTTTATCAACCCAATAATACATTCTACAGAAGATATCGCTTCTGTGATAATTTTCATAATCTACATCAATTTGATTGGTCAGTTGAAAATGAACTACTTTTTTTATTTTCAAAGAACTGTTTTTTTTTATTAAAAGTAACTATTTTTATTTAATTGACCTTGATGGAAACACTGGGCCAATATAAAGGACTTTGCAATGGTTGAATTGCTGTCCAAAAATGATGTATCACTACGCCATAATGTAATCAGGTTCAGTAAAAGTGAAATCTATACCAAAGAATTATATTTATTTATTTATTTGTGCTTGTAAGAAAGGATTGGGTGATAAATAAAATCTCTTACAAAAAAGACTCGTAGGAGATTCTCTATATCTAACAGTTGTGTAGAGAACCTCAACAAACTTTATCTTGGATGTTCGCATCACAAGGGCGACCAGACCATGGTTCGTCTTCAGTGTATGCTGATCCGACCGCTTGTAAATTCAGTACTGTTTGACTGTAATTTACGAAGGAGAGTTGTCACACCTAATGTTTGTGTCATGTCATCATGAATTTGCTTTGGCTTAAAACATTTTAAATGAATATACCTAATCACGACCCTGCATTCGGGTTTCTCCATTTTGAGAGAAAATGCCGAGTGTGGCATGCTGTTGAGCGCTATATTGGAAATTATAGTACATGAACTTCGTGTTTTGTGTTGACAAGCACATGCTGCTGAGGCACTTTTCTAGCCACTTGACCAGATAGATTGACGAGACCGTAAAGGACGTATAGCTCTATTGTTTGGACCTTAAAATAGACGATAATGGGTCTAAAAGTACATATTAATGTAATAGCAGTATACTACATTTAATTATGTTCAGTGAAATACGCAAACAGTCTAAATTGAACGATAGTAGTTTGAGTCTGCCAAGGGGTTTTTTCTTTTGTATTATTATTTTGTAGTTTGTGAATCAAGTTATTTTTGTTATGTTATGTTTTTATGGGTTGCGTTTCGCTTTGATCAGCACAAATGGTGCACGAAACCATTACGTCAATAGAGTACACGACGTCGCGTACTGATTTTAAAAATGTTAATTGTGTTTTAAATATTTGATATTAGGACCCTATATTTTCACGGTAAGATAACAACATTAATATTGATTGAAATTGGACCAATGTTGAATTCTAATTCGTGTTTTTCATTGTGAATTGGGAGGTTGGATGGCCGAATGGTTAGCACGTGCGCGCTGTATGATAAGGCCTGTCATTGAGTCAACTGGCGTGGTTTCGAATCCCCGGTTGTACCCTCCCACTGCTAAAGACCCCTACGCGCAAGCGAGTTATTGAAATAAAAAAATTAAAACCATATGTTAGTCCCGAAATGACCTAGTTTGTGTCAAGTGGACGTTAAACCCCATTTCTCTATTTATAATTATATACAGGTTGAGATTACGTGTGTAGTATGATAATGGATTTTCGGTTGATAGCAAAAAATATAGTAGCAAATCAACAACTCAAATTTATACGATTTATTTATTTACTGCCGATAATCAGTATATAATAAAGCGGCTACAATTTAAAGTGACAGCGTGGTTTACAATTTGGTAAAAACAAAAAGCAAGTGATTTGCTATAACGGCTGTTATAGCATTTAATTAAGGACACTCGGCTATTAAACAACAAACAAACAAGAACGGCTTGAAATTCATAAGAACCAGATTCTGCCCTCAGAGATCAATATACTTATAGAATAGTATACTAATTTATAATGAGGTTCTACCCCGTTTTACATCTTTCATAAACACAAAGACCAAATAAACATTTTCAATTTTTTTAAATGGAAGCATGATAAATACTTCTCAAAATTCTAAGTTTACTTATTATGTTCGCATAATGTCGATCTTCGGCTAATCAGTTCTGTGTGCAGCCCTGGCTTAACCATTAACCGAAATAGCACTTGCTTAGGACCTCAAGGGAACAGTGGCACGGCTGCCCCCCGGATCCATTCACTTGATTTGATATTTGTTTATTTGGTGCAATGTCTATTTTCTGTCTTGTCCGCGGGTTTATCTTGTAGAATTTTGTTTTACGTGTAGTGCGGTCCTCCTGCACTTACTAATAGTGTTGTTCTGGTGCCAGATTTACAAATATACCAATCTTGCAGTCGAATGAAACAATAAATGAATAAAATCTCCCAAACTACATATACCAAGATGTTGATAATACTAAATATTGTTTTGTTTTCAGTTACATATATGAAATGAAATGAAATGAAATGGGGTTTAACTGTTCTGCTCCGACTGGGCTAATGAAAACGACATACGCCATACAGTGTGCTATGATATAAATTTTTCCCGGAAAGCGGCATTACAGCCTACTCTTATATCGAATTCCTACTGTCAAGGAATATAATACGTACACGTGACAATGTGTACACGTGACCTCGGTTTATTGTCACATCCGAACAACTAAACATAGGACACATTATGGTGTATGTCTGAGTCATTTCATCTCGTTTCCCTTAAACGCTTTAATCGCTATATATATATGCAAGACTTGTAGGAAGGTCATATTATCCAGATTTGGAAATAAACCATAGAACAGTACAGTATTTCACCACAAATTTCACTGGAATATGTTAGCTATACAGGAGCACTACTCTCTCCCCCCCCACCTCCTCACATGATGACGGTCCTTGTAACGTCCATGGTATAAGATGATTTCACACGAATCAATACAGTCGAAGCTATTTAATTTCTGAAACCAATAATCACAACACAAGTTGAGCTACATTAATATGATCCCATTAATATACATAATTCAATCCATATATCATTGTCTCGGCTTATCATGATCATACACTCACAGGGTGGTAATTTACACCTACAATAAAACAGTCGATATAAGTAATGGGTTAATCTCGTGGAAGGATTATCTTACAGTGGTTGCCCATAGCAAATTATAGTTTATATATTTATATCTCCGCGAAGCCGTATCGAGTTATTTTCATATTAAGTACATTAGACAAGACATAGAACTTCCCATATATGACTCTATGTACATATACTTCAATATCTGCTTAGTTTTGTTTATTTAAAGATCAAACTTCGACTTGATCTTAACCTTTTAATATACTTAAGAACACTTTACTTGGATATCAAGGATCGTTGGAACACAAGCTGTTTAGTTAGGAAATAAGAAACGTTTATTCACATAGTCGTAAAGGTGAGTTATACATTGGAACCATTACATGTTATATACCGGATTTATGCAATTGATTTGATATTTGTTGTTTATTTCTTACAATGTATAGTTTGTCATGTCCGCAGGTTTGTCTTATCGGTTTTATTTTGCGTGTAGTGTGATCCTCCTGAACTTGCTATCACTGTCCGGTAAATAATAATTACAGTTTAAGTTCGTAATTACTAAATAGTTCGTAATATTATCGATAAATTGTGCATAATGCTGTATGACAAAAATGTTTAGGACCAAAGAAAGTATTTACAAAAGAAACATTATGGTCGATTTGTTTTGTAAAAGGAATATTACTGCATTACGCACTACAGATTTGTTTTTAAGAAGGAATATTACAGATTCGTTTTTAAAAGGAACATTATTGCACTACGGACTTTTCTTTTTAAAAGGAACAATACCGTGTCACAGTTTTGATTTTTTAAAAGAAATATTACTGTGTTACGGATTTGTTTTTAGAAGAAATATTACTGTGTTACGGATTTGTTTTTTTATAAGAAGAATATTATTGTATTACGGATTTGTTTTTTTTAAAAGGAAGATTACTGTATTACGGATTTGTTTTTTAAAAGGAAGATTACTGTATTACGGATTTGTTTTGTAAAAGGAAACTTTACTTTATTACGGATTTGGTTTTAAAAAAAAGGAAAATTACTGTAGTATGGATTTGTTTTAAAAGGGAACATTGTTGTATTACATTTGTATCAGCCGAACATCCGGGGTCACCACTGAATAAAGAGAAAGGGGCTTGCAAACTGCCGAAGGTTCTCGCTAAGATTCGAACGGAGACATTCCCTATAGTCCCAGCAACACAACCACTGCATAGCTGCTTTTCTTTACGAATTACTTTCGATGGTGGTTAAGTCTGAGACTACGAAATATACGTCAAACATTCTTTATGTCTAAAACGTATAAAATAAATACTTTATTTTTATAATTAGTAAATAAAAAATAATAGTGAGTTCTTATATTGCGCACAGGTCCATTAAAGTTAATGCTCAAGGCACATTTAGCTCTCCGCGTATCACAAGATAAGAACACAGCTTATGTTATTAAGCAGTCAAAAGAGATGAGAAGTGTTATTCGGTGTTCTAAAACACTGTGAAATACACACACCAACACACACGTGTCTGTTGTATTTTGTTACACATCATGGTCATTGTACTGTTATATCACACTTTTAAGACAGTCTGAGAGTATTAGTGAGTCGTTGTTTAGTGGATTAACAAGCGTTGGTTGTTTAGAGTAATATTTACCAATACATATATATATGCTGTCATGTTAGCTATAAGTACTTATATTCAATACGTAATACCATGCTAACATAATCCACTTACATTAAGTCGTTTAGTTGTCATCGTCACCCTTATCGACTAGATGAAATAACATAGAATATTATCGTCACTAGAAAATATATAGATTTGTTTTTTTACAATCTAGAATGCATTTAGATCGCCTTAGAAAAGTTATTATGTTTGATAAAACACTCATGTACGTAGGAGTAATGTTTGCACATTAAAAACAGAAAAAACACACACTCCGCCTTCAAATATAGAGCTCAAATAAAGAGAGAGAGAGAGAGAGAGAGAAAGAGGCTTGCGCGTAGGGGTCTTTGGCAGTGGGGGAGGGGTGGCGCGGGGTCGACTCGTCGAAAAACCACGACATTTGGCCCGGCGACCCTACTCCTTGCCACGTACTAGCTTTTGTTCGAAACCACACCACTTGGATCAATGATAGACCTTATGATTTAAAGCGCACACGTTAAATCATTCGATCACCCAAGACCAAGTTTGGAATTGAATAAAGAAAAGCAGAACATGCTATTTCAGCAAAATTCTTTTGAACTAAAGCGCAGGCGTTAGGTCACTCGGCCACACAAACCCATTCAAATAACAAGCTTATATTTGTTCTTTTAAATAACACAGAATGAGGATTTTGTATCAAATAGCCTATGTATATGTAAATAAACTGACTTTATATGCTAATATTTTATATCTTTTCAGGCTATCGATTTGTAATTGGATAGGAGTATTATGTTCATCTAATGAATGAAATTGTTGAACAAATGAGCGAATCTTGTTTGACGTAGATATCAACAAACGAGGAACAGTAATCAAAAGACATAGCTTGCAAACATGGCGGCTGCTTCTTTTATGAAAATGAGTCCAGCCAAACTTAGAACTCCGACAACGAGGATAACCAGAAGCAGCGATACTCGCAGAAGTGATTCGTATGAAATAGAGCACGTAGAATACGATTGGCCCGATCTACCGCCCTTAACACAGGTTAAGGACGCCATTACGAGAAATAAAGTCAGCCATGGTATCAGTTATTTACTTCCCCTGGATTCGGTCAGTAATAATTTCCGTCCAGATTTACGACACATGTATGGTGAAACTAATCGAAGTTATGATCGATTTTTGTTTGATAACGCTAAATCACAACCCTCTACTAAAGTGCAACTTTTTCGACACAGCGTAGACACGAAATTATCTGAAAAATATCTCAGTGCATTGCCGTCGAATCTTAATGCACATTCGGAAGAAGTCAGAAAGCTGTACGGACGATCTGCCCCACGACAAGCTGCCGCTAAAAGACGAATGGGATTAGATTGCAGTAAATCGCGTCAGAGATCGGGTCTTTACGTCACAGTTAAGGCCAAAGAACCACCGGAAGCCATAGAGATGCGAGAGGAAGTAGAAAAAATTATTACATCATTAAAGGAAAATGATGATGAATATGACGACGCTGTAGAAGACAACCACAGTCCGGAGGGTGGTTTAGAAACCCAGTCAACAATAACAGAAGCAAAGAGCAACCAAATGTATCGCAAAAGATCAGTTTTCAAAGAAGCCGATCATTCTGCATCTTTGAATGCAAAATTAGAAAAACTAAAACTTGAGCAAAGAACGTTTAAAACTTATCAAAAATTGAAAAATGCCACCCCTCCTAAAATTCAAATTCCATCCATGTTAAAATCCACCTTTTTATCCGACGAGGAAAATCAAACAATATGGGAATGGTTACATCACAAGGAGGAGATGTCCGAATTCGATTTCTTTTTGTCTGTTTGTGGATAAATAGGCTGACTCACTTTTAAGAAGGAAAAATTCCAAAGGGACTTGAAATATTACAACGATTTAAGTAATAAGGACATCAAACAGTCACACCCTTCCATATTTCACTGTAAATGTATCCATTTGTTGATTATCATCCTATTGTAAAGGTTTGAAGATTGTTTCTGATTTGTGATGTAAAAAAACTTTGTGCAATGCTTGCAATACACTTTTTTGTATTATTCTTTCTTAAGTATTTACATACAACTTTGTTGCATTTCCGGAAAAACTATATAATTATTGCTTGTGTGTTTGAGGCGGGAGTGGGGGGGGGGGGGTGTTATCATATGATTGTCGAGAAACGATTCAGCCAATGTTACTTCTATGAGCATTTCTATTGACATATCTTACAAACATAAATGAATGTTTACCCATAGTTTGACAGTGGCAAATGTGAATTTGAAAAGAAGCAGACATGCAGTGCTAATCACACCACATACACAACCCCATGGACCGTTAACAGCTAAGATGACACCGTTTCTTTGATCCGTCACGTGGAGATTTTATGTGTATAGGCATGCTTATTTATTATTAATACTTTGTTTTTTTGTTCTTTTGAAATGTTCCGCTCCCGAAAAAAGTTATATCCAAGGGCACCGCTAGGTGAAGCGCCCTTTTCGCTCTACCCCTGTCCCTGCATTGGCCGAGAAAGTTCATCCAGATTTTCCGGCGTGGTTCTACCTTGTCAGTGATGCAGGACGGAGGGGCTGACAAGGAAAGCTGTCTAGTCGTTCGGATGGGACGAAAAACCGAGGTCCCGTGTACACATTGGCGTGCACGTAAAAGATCCCTTGGCAGTTGGAATTCGATATAAGAGTAGGCCGTAGTGCCGCTGTCCGGGCAAAATTTCCCTCATAGCACACTGTATGGCGTATGCCCGTCTTCATTAGCCCAGGTTAGGAGCAGAACAGTAGGACGTTAAACTCCATTTTATTTCATTTCATTTTGCTCTACCCCTGAATGAATATTTAATGAGCAGCAGTAAATATTCGCTTTGCCGCTACGATAACTGAAAGGAATGACATCGATGCGAGTTAATTAGCTCCCAATATTGACTTTTTTGCTTCTGCAAATTAAATTCTAAAACTTTTTGAAATTATTTCATCACTGAAAGGGATGACATCGGTGCGAGTTAATTAACTCCCATTATTGACTTTTTTACTTCTGCAAATTGAATTCTAAAACCTTTTAAAATTATTAAGAAAAAATTAAAAGTGTTGTAAGTATATATGGATAAATAATATTTCCTATTTAGTGTAAATGGGTACATAAAATCGTACGCCCAGGCGTAAAAGGCACTCGGCAAACCTCGACAGATTCCAGTACCCTACATCTAGCCTCAGCTGTATGACGGTAATTGATATGTACCTACGCCTATACATGAAATTGCGATGCGGCAGGGGTTTACTTATTGGGAAAACTTGTCGCTTTTAGAAAATAGTTCTCACATTTGCGTCGTTCGAAGAGTGTGTAGAATTTTCAGTGCAAACTTGTCATTGTCTAAAGAAAATCAGATAAACTTGGAAGAAAAACAACTTCAGACTTTGAAATCTTTGTATGATAAAACATTCTTCAAAGGCGTCGTCATGGGCAACGCCGTTGGTAATCCAGAAACTTGAAAGTGGTTTCAATGGCCGAGGCTATATGTAGGGTACTGGAATCTGCTGGGGTTTGCCGAGTGGCGTAAAAGGCACCAATTCTGCTAGGACTAGTTGTTTGTGTTACTTCTTCCCATGTAAACCATGCACGTGGTATGCTCTGACGTCTCAAGTAGACATATACTGCACGTGAACTTCCAAAATTGGAAGGTGTTATAAACCAAACTCCTTTAGAGTAAACAATGTACAGGTGACCGGGCATCAATACCAATGTGTAATCCGAATTAAATTAAGATTAATAATTACTTAACATAAAGTGTTAAAAAGCTTAGATAAGTAACATCCCGCTAAAAAGAAAGGACCTTTCCCTTGACGTAAGGCTGAAAGAGCTGTACATTATTATCACGCCGTTATTTCGTAACGTTAATATGATTATATACCGGTAGGTACTTGTATAGCTGACATTAAACAGGGTATATTATATTCCATGAACAGTGTTAAATTAACGGCGCGTGGTAACAATACTAAATTTTATGAAATTATGTCGTTAGATATTGACACAATGGCTGTGTAAAAGCCTTCTCGATACACGTCACAGTTTTACCTTAAAGGCACACCATGTGCTAAACTTATATCAAGGATATGTTTGACGGAATGGCCTGTTATTGTGTTTACAAGCACGTTGGTGAGGTGGGGTGACTCAGTGGTCTCTGGTTCGCTCCCAGAGTTGGCCGAGCAGGTTCCTTGGGATTATCAGGCAGGGGTGGTGCAGGACGGGGCCTGGTAAGTACAGTGTCTAGTCGTGTGGATGGGACGAAAAATCTTGGTACGTCTACACGTTAGCGTGTAATTAAAAGAACACTTGACAGTTTGACATCGAATTAAGAGTTGGCCATAGCACTCATATCAGACTGTATGGCATATGCCTGTTTTCATTAGCCCAGTCGGTGCAGAAAATTAGGACGTTAAACCCCATTGCACTTTATTTTCATTTCATTCTTCGTTAAATAGATAAAACTAATTGAGATATAACCAATTTCATGTTCAACTGCCGGTTCAAATCAAACAGGACTTATAGATCAGTCAATTTACGGAAAGTGTGAGTTTCATCGTACGATATTGTGACAGGAAGTAGCCCCCCCCCCCCCGGTTTACGCTCATATGTACTCATCCTCGGCATGTGTTGTGGTCTTATTCCGTTCTACTCCACTACACCGTGGGTTTATGCATGGGCTATTCGTGTATTCAAATTATCTGCCATTGATCGTAGCTTGATTTTACGAACTAATCAAAAAAACAGTTTACGAACCAGTCTTATAGCCCTATTGTTTACGTTTACAACAATATGGCTGATTGTTCGCTCGATTATGAAAACGTTTGCAAGAAATTTAATATAAAAGATGTGACATGCACACAAAAAGTCAGTTCTTATGTATTTAACAATATTTTTGATTGGTCAATAAAAATAGCACAATCATCAAGGGGAGAGTATTTGAATACGTGTATTCAGGGGTTAGTGGAGCGGTACGGAATGGGACCACTGGGGATACCGCGGATGATATATACTCAACTATATTTTAGATGTGTTGATTTGTGAATGGATATTATACATAATTTAAACCAAGAAAACCATGGAAAGAGTTGATTCTCCCTACATCGGAATTTAACATTTATGTCAATTTCTAGGTTCCAAATATTAGCGGCTAGCAGGATACCCGGCTTCGCTCGGGGGTCATAACTCCGAAACCGTAAGTGGTAGACTAACGCCCCCTGGCCTATGTTACTCCCCGGTCCGAGCTACCCCTATACCCCAAATTTCAGACTCGGGGCCGATGTAGCCGCCAACCCCGAACAGACAGACTTCGCTCGGGGGTCATAACTCCGAAACCGGAAGTGGTAGACTAACGCCACCTGGCCTATGCTACTCCCCGGTCCGAGATACCCCTATACCCCAAATTTCAGACTCGGGGCAGACCTAGTGTAGCCGCCAACCCCGAACAGACCGGCTTCGCTCGGGGGTCATAACTCCGAAACCGGAAGTGGTAGACTAACGCCACCTGGCCTATGTTACTCCCCGGTCCGAGCTTACCCTATACTCCAAATTTCAGACTCGGGGCAGACCTAGTGTAGCCGCCAACCCCGACCAGACAGACAGACAGACAAACGACAGTCACAAATATATATATAGATTTAGCTGCTATAAACCTAGAATAACATGGAAAGTGTTGATTATCCCAAAATCAGAGTTTAACCTTATGAACAATCCAACTAAAGGTAGATTTGCATTTCGTTCATTTTATTTTTACCTGGCTACCTCCGTTTTACTATTTATTCGTTTTGAAACATATACATTCAGCAGATGCGATTGTTACGTGAAAAATGTTCCTAATATATGTAAAATGCTTCTTAAAGATGTATTATATAAGAATTAAATAAAGAAATGAAATGAAATGAAATGGGGTTTAACGTCCTACTGTTCTGCTCCTATACTGGGCTAATGAAGACGGGCATACGCCATACAGTGTGCTATATCGAATTCCAACTGCCAAGGGATCTTTTACGTGCATTCAAATTTTATACACGGGACCTCGGGTTTTCGTCTCATCCGAATAAAGAGCTGAAGTTTTTCCTATAACACTTCCAAGATAGATAGTGAAAACTTAATATGTTGACAATTTCTTTCAATTACTGAGTTATGAGTGTTTGAAGGTTTGACAAGATGACGCGAAAATAGTTGATTATCGTAGCAAAGATACTTGACAATCGAGACTAGGTCTTTTGTATCCATTTTGTTATTAATCTTTTTGATCTCGCGGGTGCTCTATTCCAACTGATGGTTTAACGTCATACTGCTCTGCTCCGACTGGGATAATGGAGACGGGCATAGGCCATACAATGTGCTATGAGGGAAATTTTGCCCGGGAAGCGACACTATGGCCTACTATTATATCTAATTCCAGCTGCCTCGGTTTTTTGTCCCATCCGATCGACTAGACAGCTGTCCTTGTCAGGCCCTCCGCCCTGCACTACTGACAAGGGGAAACCGCATCGGTCATGCTAAAACAGAGACCTGAAATAGGCAGATTTAGTTCTTACATCATGCAACTTTAATGCAGTGTAAATGTAAAACATCAGAAAAACAAAACCGAAACCGAAACGCAAATATGGTCTGACATTCTTGATTACGAATGAGAGAGAGAGAGAGAAAGAGAGGGAGAGAGAGAGAGAGAGAGAGAGAGAGAGAGGTTAACGTCCACTCGATACAAACTAGGGGACTAACATATGTCACGTATTCCGGGGTGATTACAAATGTCTCAAATAACGAAATAAATAATAGACATAACAACAATTTCAAAAAAAGATAAAAAGTGACAGTTTTTGTTATAAAAAAGAAAACGGAACATCTGTTTCATCGACCACATTTTAAAGGAATGCCATGCCATTGCAAATCTTTCATATGGTGGTCTTAAAATGAACCACAAGGTAACCAAGCGTTTAATAAGATGCTCGTCAAATCTAAATTGATCCTGTCGCATCGATAAATTTAATCACATATAAGGTGGTAGAGAATCATTTCATTATGGCTGGTGTCAGACACGCTAACTTTCTTCATTATTGGACTATTTTGTACAACTAGCAACTGACACCAGTTGTAGAACTTCTCAGAATAAGGTAAGTCTCCCATTGTTCCATTCATAAAGTACTTTCATAAATTTTATTCCGTTATTCTTATTAAGATGTTTTGAAATTTAAATTCGTGTTGCTCTTTTAATTTAAGGTAAATCTCTGATTGTTCCATTCATAAATTTTATTCCGTTATTCTTATTAAGATGTTTTGAAATTTAAATTCGTGTTGCTCTTTTAATTTAAGGTAAATCTCTCATTGTTCGATTCCTAAAGTACTTTCATAAATGTTATTCGGTTATTCTTGTTAAGATTTTTTGAAATTTAAATTCATGTTGCTCTTTTAATTTAAGGTAAATCTCTCATTGTTCGATGTATAAAGTACTTTCATAAATATTATTTCGGTATAATTAGGCAGTTCTTAAATTTAAATTCCTGTTCTCTTTTAATGTAAGTATTTTGTTACGGAACTTTCAGCAAAAAAAACTATGTTTAATAGATTTCCTAATAAATATGTAAGAACCAAAAGATAATTCAGAGAAACTATCGCTTTCTGATGTCATTATGGATAACTTAGATCTATATGCCATTCATTCCAATTATGTTAAGCTATTCTTACTAAGACATTTTGAAATTCATTTCGCCTTAGTCCTTTTAATTAAACATTTTTCTTAAAGTAAGTTGCAAGTTTCTTAAAAAAAAGTAAGCAAATATTGTTATTAAATAGTCATATGTTTTATATTTCCTATCAAATATGATAAAAAGATAAAACATTCAAGATATTCATTTCGTTTCTCTTAATTTAATCTTATAAGATATTTTGAAATTCAGTTCTCGTTAGTCTTTTTGATTTAACAATTTTCAAAAAGAGTAAATATTGTTATATAAATAGGCTTGGTATAAAATGATAATTCAAAATATAAGTTTTATATTCCTTTATTTACACTCAAAATTCTGGTTCAAGAGAATCTGTCTTTTGGACTACACCTGCATACCCTCGTGTAGCGGATTAATTGGTATTTAATATCTAATTGTTTTTTCGGATTTTTTTTTTTGGGGGGGGTGGGGGGGTGGGAAGGGGGTGGACTCATCAACCGTTGATGTCCATCCTGATGACAACAATATGTTACATATGTATCAGTAAGCTCATCGCTACTAAAGGGTGTACGAGACAGGGTCTTCTTACTCTTTCAGAACACATAATTTATCTTGATTTCTTAACACCAAGGTCCGAGAAAAATAGAACTGTAATTGTATATTTCCTTTTAGATACGAATTTACAGAACATAATACAATATGTTGCAACAGATTGGAGGAGATCGTTTATTTTATATATCACAGGCTATACAACAATCAGATCGGTTACCACTGATTATTGTCTTTTTAACCAATATGTTGGATAACCTTCTATTAACAGCAGTAGGTAAGAATATCAAAATTGTAGTTAAAACCTAATAACCCCTGTTCGAAAATTGTTTAAATGCAATTCATAGGTCGTTTTGATGAGGCATGTGGATATCTTACAAATGTAATGAAGGGTCTTCGTTAACGAAATGGAATGAAATGAAATGGGTCTAACGTCCTACTGTTCTGCTTGATCTCGCTTTAACCCCGTGCATTTAATCAAGGCCTTTACGTAATACCCTACATACCCTGCTCCGACTGGGCTAATGAAGACTCACATACGCCATACAGTGTGCTATTAGGGAAACTTGTCTAATTCCAACTACCGAGGGATCTTTTACGTGCAGGCCAATGTGTGTACACGGGACCCCGGTTCCATCCGAACGTCTAGGCAGACGTCCTTGTCAGACTCTCCGGTCTGCACCAATGACAGGGGAAACCACGCCGGAAATTCTCGATGAATTTTCTCGGCCAACACCGGGGGTGAACCCGCGACATCCAAGCTATCAAGTCAGTGTCTTACCCACTTAGCTACCGTGGCTCCCATCTTCGTTAACCCAGTTAGTAGGATGTTAGAGTCCATTTCATTTACAGGGCCCCGGTGACGATTTCTAGTTTCAGACCAGATTAACTGTGTTTTACTATAAACATATAATATGTTCCAGTGATCATTAACCGGACGGAACCCGATAGCATATCAAATGTCCGCAACAGCTTGTTAATTGCGGGCCAGTTTATTTAAGACGATTGTCTTTGTTTAACATGCACTTAAAGTCTGAAACCGTTCTCAATACGTTCCTAACGCCCGAACAGATTTTAAAAAAAATTATTCATAGACTCAGACCCTACACAGACTTGTCTCAAAATTTCTTTTTTTGGTCGAAAGTAAAAGTGCAGCCAGAGAAAAGTTACATTTTTCACACGCTTTAGACCTATACTTTATCGTTTATTTTTACCATGTCCACATCTGGAGATCAGACGCAGCAATCCAGCCCAAAAAATTAATAAAATACGCAAAGCGCTACCTTGTAACAACAATAAATTTAATAGATATGGCATACTTCTATGATTCACAGAAATATTATTGTTTTCTAATTGCTTGATTCGCGAAGTTTTTAAAGCAATGACGAAGTTTACCATTTTCCTGTTTCTTTTTTTAAACATAAAATGCACAATACTTGTATTATCTATACCTGGAATCTATTGGACATTTTCTTTTGATTATTTTGTAGTTCCAATAATTCCTGATTATTTGTTAAATATGGATAAGGTCGAGTGGGAGACTGACAACAACACGTTCAATTTAAACCAATCAGACAGTTCGAATGAATTTATGAACCAATCAGAACCATCAATGACAGAAAAGATTCTACTATTATCTGTTAATATTATGAATGAGAATAGTAAAGTTGGTTGGTTATTATCGTCTAAAGCCATAGTACAGTTAATAGCTAATCCGTTTATAAGTCCATTAGCTAGTAGGTAAGTTCAATAATGTAATTTAGCGTACTAAATTTATAAAACTGATATGACGGAGTGTCTTTCTTAATACGATTCTGGCAAATTTTATCGATCTGAACCCCTTCGACCACCGTAGTCGAATTTTACCCAAATATCATTTTTATCTCTAAAATTTATGAAAAACAAAAATGTCTATCTGAAGTTAGTAGCGGAGCTGGGGATTTTCTCTGAGATGGTTGAGGCTTCGGGTCCCTCAAGAAAACTATATATGGGGAATTTTTCTCTTTTTTTTTTATTAAAAGTCGTATATGTTACAACTAAGCAATTGCGTCACAATTTCATGTTAGATTATGTAATCCGTAAGAACTTTCAGAACAATTCAATACACGTTGCAGTAACAACTGAAAGTTCTTAAATCTGACTGCCTAGAAATATATTTTTTATTTCAGATTTGGATATTCTGTTGTTTTATTCAGTGGTACTTGTGTTATTTTTATATCATCTATGGGTAATTATAATCATTCGTATCTTCAAGTTTGTGCAATTTCTTAATTAATGTTTACATGTTGGCTCAGTGAGTAAGGCGATGGCTCACTAGCTAGGAGATCCCTGGCTGGATCCCGTTGTTGGACGAGAAGGTCCCCGGGATTGTCAATGGCACAGGACGGATGGGACGAAAAACCAAGGTCCCGTGCACGTAGAATGCAATTGCTGCTCTGACAACATTTTCATCGTATGCCCGTCTTCAATAACCACGTTGGACCAGACAAGTAATGCGTTAAACCCTATTCATTCATTCTTTCATTTTCGAACTTTCTTTGGTTGGCAGACAGACAGAAATGGGGTTTAACGTCCACTCGACACAAACTAGGTCATTTCGGGACTAACATATGGTTTTAATTTTATTTACATAATTCGCTTGCGCGTAGGGGTCTTTAGCAGTGGGAGGAAACCGGAGGACCCGGAGAAAACCCACGAGGTTGGACAGGCGACCCTACTCCTTGCCACGTACAACTGGAGATTCGAAACCACGACAGACTTTATGATACAGCGCGCGCACGCTAACCATTCAGCCATCCAACCACCTTCTTTGGTTGGTGAATATGAGCTATGACTTTTTAAAAAAAAAAAAAAAAAATATTAAACTTTAAGAATTACTTTCTAAATATTTTCTTATCTTTGTACCAATATTATGCTTCTCTATTTCCATTCTTTTTAGTATTTGCTTTTACTGAAAACTATGTACCACTCTTTATGGCGAGATCTGTTCAAGGTTTGGGTTCCGCGGCGTTGGCTATAGCAGGTAAAGATCAATACCAATTATTAAATATTAAAGTTATCTAGTATGATCTTACTATACGTTGTTACACAAGACGGATTTGTGTTGGTTGATTGTTCAGGGTACTGGACTCTCCTGTGTTCGAATTCAGACTTTATAATTTTTGAACTCCCGTCATAACTTGTCAGCGATGGTGCCTGTGAGACTGACAATAATGTGTGCTTATTCGTTCGGATGGGGCAAAAACGGAGGTCCAGCACTATAAACGTGCATGATAATTAAAGTGCGAAGAAGAGTCGGCGCAAACGCCACTATCCGGGCAAAATTCTACCATCTCGCATTGCACGGATAACCATAAAAACACCACAATTTGTCTCAAATTGACCGAAGAAGTGCGTTGAAGAGACATTAAACAAAATTGCACTCCATTCTTTACACCAGCTCCTTTGTAGTTTTATACAATCAAACGGAGTTGGGTAGTTATTTCGATTATAATTTAGGGTACTGAGCATTGTTTTTTTTATATTAAATTAACGGCCCTTGATTTGCACTTTTGTTGGAGAATATCAGTTTTCTCACGGCTTAATCTACGCTAAAACAAAATCAAAGTATCAACACTGGATAATCTGGATGCGCCAATCGAAATGAGAAGAGAGAAAATCGAAAAAGTAAATTTACAAAATGGACACCATAGATCGATGTAAATATTGAACTGACTTTTGACTGATACTCATATTAGAAGTTCAACTTATGCAATATTGGAGTTTGCAAGAGCTTCATATATCGCCCAAATCACGTTCAGGGACATAACATGAAACACCACGTACAATGTTAATTTCATATACTAATTGCAAACTTATTGCTGTTATATTCAAAATACATTTTATAGGAATGAGTATAGTGGCTCAGAGATATCCTGATGATAAGAGTAGGAGTAGAGCTATGGGTGTGGCTATGGGAGGCTCTGCCACTGGGGTATTAGGTAAATAGATGTTTTAAGAGATAATTCAGATAAGTTATATCAAGATTCAATCTGATTAAAACACAGTTCCTATTTCATTTCGTTTTTTATAGTTCAAAATTTTGTTTTACTTACCTTGATTACAATAGGATCTGGAAGAGATGATTTGAGGGAATAGCCAATGAAACTGTCTGTTGCGGCGAGCTCTGGATGTGCGGTGCACGGAACTGTGGGTATACATTCGCAGCGAAGACAAAGCAAAAGTTGCATTATACCCACTTGAAACATTATATGTCTGGCATCATAGGGTCAAAAGCCGGTCACATGATCACTGGCGCGACCTCCCACTACAACTACATGTAGTCAGATCTTCATATAGTGGAAGCCACCGAAAGTATAAAAAACGAAACGAAATATAGATCTGTATTTTAATCAGACTGTTAATGATTAATTGTATTTAGTTAAAGAATGTACCATCAAGTTTAGGGCTTGACCAGGACAGCTGTCTAGTCGTTCGGATGGGACGAAAAACCGAGGTCCCGTGTACACATTGGCTTGCACGTAAAAGATCCCTTGACAGTTGGAATTCGATATGAGAGTAGGCCATAGTGTCGCTGTACGGGCAAAATTTCCCTCATAGCACACTGCATGGCGTATGCCCGTCTTCATTAGCCCAGTTCGGAGCAGAACAGTAGGACGTTAAACCCCATTTCATTTCATTTTCATTTCATTTCATTTTATTTCACCATCAAGTTTAGCTAGACATTAACTGAAAACCCTATTTATATTCTCTTCTTTATTTTGCACCTTTTGTTATCTTGAAAAACAAATCCATATGCTTATTAAAGAAAGGATGGTGCTGTGACGTTTTCCAAATCCTTTTACTTTATAGTAATGAAATATCTTTAAACCAACCAACTGGATACATAGGAACCAAAAGGACAAGGATTCGATGTATAATTTCATTTTAATTTATTTACCTTCAATTTCAGTGGGTTATCCTTTTGGTGGATTCATGTACACTTTTGTAGGAAAGATGGCCCCGTTTTGCATTATAGCCGTGTTGATATTATTTGATCTAGGTAAGGTATTTTGCCTAGAAGAGTAGAAGTTAATAAGATTATAAAATTATTTAAAGCCCCAACTTTTCAAACTTAAAGGGAAATATAGAATTTCAGACCACACATACCGAAACGTTAGTCTTACCAAAAAGCCAATTGATGCAAAACATTATCAATTCCAAATAACATATGTCCTACATTTATAGTTGTTTTAATCCGCTAAAGAACACTTTTCAGCCATTTATTAGCCCTCCGTTGCATTGTGGCTTAAACGTCCATATTACATTAATTGAACCAGTACGGGCAATGGTTATAAGCTTTCCGAAATAAAATTTAACAATTATATTTATTTCAGCATTACAGTGGGTAATTTTAAAGCCTTATATACTCTATGCAGTAAGTATCAACGTATTATTGTATTGATAGACTTATCTCCCTTTCATCAAATTGACTAAGATCTATATTACACTTAATTTAAACAGAGACCGAAATACTTCTCCAATGGCGTATATAAGTATTCTGGCGCCCCGTGACAACGCCTTGATTGTATTCTCTGAATATATAAAAACAGTCGAAACAAACGTTTTAGTCAAGTTGTACTTCTAAATCAACAACGAGAATTTCAAATGTCAAAAATTTGATTGAAAGTCATCCTAAAATGGCTGCCTTGTGCCGTCGCCCCGTCTGCCAGCACCCCTCTCGTTGAATATATTCACATATCTTTTATAAACGTTGTATATTCCATACATATAAGCCTACGTATTTCGTTGGGTAATCTTCTTTTAAATTTTCCCTAATCCAAACAGCATCAAAACAAGACTACCTCGTTGTTGAAGTTACTTCGGGATCCTTATATAGCAGTTATTGCAGGTAAGAGCACTTTATACTTGGGGTGCGAGGTAAACCGATATACCAATTCATAAGCTAATTAAAAATGGAAAAGTAACGATTGTGATGAAGTCAGTGATAATGATCACAACGTGATGAGTACGACTGAGTAAGAATCCTAAAATTGAATTTTCAGAGCAATAAATGAATCCAAAAATATGTAATTAATAAATAAAGAATACCTTTACATTTGTATGTATGTATATATGTACAAAGTACAATTTTGTAGGTGCAATAATGTTAACAACAATGGCAATGGCAGTGATAGAACCAACAGTTCCATTATGGATCATGCAAACCATGGAAGTACAGAAATGGCAGCTAGGTTGGTGTTTTATACCTACAACAAATACAACAAGAGCTGTTAGACTTTCAAAGAGTTTTGGAAAATGTAATCACACCGGGTGGGACGATTTACCCAATACTACCCAATACCACCCAATACCACCCCTTCATCGAAAGATCGGATGCGGTGAAACCGCGATGTACTGTGTATACTATTAACACCATGTTAAACATCTCAAACAGATGGAGAGCCACGGTAGCTCAGTGCGTTAGACGTTGACTCGTTAACCTGGAGGCCCCGTGTTCGACTCCTGCGTTGGCCGAGATCGTTCACATTGGCGTGCACGTAAAAGATTCCCCGGCAGTTGGAATTCGATCTAAGAGTGGGGTCTAGCGCCGCTGTCCGGGCAAATTTTCTCTCATACCCCACTTCATGGCGTATGCCCGTCTTCATGAGCCCAATAGGACGTTAAACTCCATTTCATTTCTCAAACAGATGGGAATGGAAATTAGTGCAGACAGTACCACTGCTGGACGAGCAATATTTCCCAAACTAGTACATCGAATATCATATGTCCGTCTTTATTAGAAGAGTAGGTTACAGAAAAGTAAGACGGACCCCCACGCATATCATTCGTTTACAAAAAGATACTTTGTTTATACTTGTAAATATTTTGTTTGTTTTCAGGTCTAGTTTTCTTACCAGATAGTATCGGTTATTTGATTGGTACAAACTGTTTCGGTGTGACGGCTAGGAACGTTGGAAGGTAAGTTGGCTTATTTTGGACATTCATTATATTTTATTACTTAACACGCAAGCGATGTTGATGAGCTTTTTATTATCTTTTCGAATTTTCTTCTCAACCTTTTTTATTTAATTGATAGGAAATTCTGGCGGTGATCGGGTGTGTTGTGAAGCTATACTAAATTCATTTACAGAAATGTATAATACCATTAGTTAAGTAGAGCTACCCTGTCTTACCCCTGATCAAAATTAATCTTACGCCATTTTCATCATGGGGAGCCAAGGTGACTCAGTGGACGTTGGCTCTCAAACCTAGAGGTCCCGTGTTTGATCCCTGCGTTGGCTGAGAAAAAAATCGGAGCTTTCCGGGGTGCTTCCCCCTTGTCAGTGGTGCAGGACGGGGGTCTGGCAAGGGATAACGTATAGTCGTTCGGATGGGACGAAAACCCGAGGTCACATGTACACATTGGCGTGCACGTAAAAGAACCACTGACAGTTGGAATTCGAAATAAGAGTAGACCATAACACCGCTGTTCGGGCAAAATGTCCCTCATAGCATACGTTATGGCGTATGTCCGTCTTCATTAGACCAGTATTTTCATAATATCTTTTTCAGATGGCTGTGTACCGTGGGATGTATGACAATGATTAGCCTCTGTTTGATATGTGTAAGTATTAATTCAGAAACTTACGATTCATAATACCATTAAATTTTAATTACATTTTGATTTAATCGACAAAAGATTTTCAATACAGTATAAGATTTTCAATACAGTATAAGATTTATATTTTATTTTCAGTTACCTTTTGCCACCCAGTTACCACAGTTAGTTTTACCTCATCTTGGTTTAGGATTAGGACTAGGCAAGTATTATACGTATTTATTTATTGACTTAAAGATTGGTAAAATTCTAATGTCTGGAAAATTACCATGAGGTATTGCTTGCCATGCCACATGACACATAACGAGGAGATTTGTCAAAATACATACATAGGATAAATATACCAAATAAATAAATAAATAAATAAATAGATAAATAAAGAAAGCAAATAAAGCAAATCAATAATTGCCGTTTATGTCATCTTTTGAAGGTGCAACTGATGCAGCTTTAATGCCTCTCTTGGCTCTACTGGTTGATATTCGACACGAAGCCTTTTATGGTAGTGTTTATGCCATAGCCCAACTGGCAGTTTGTCTGGCTTATTCTGTAGGTAAGCACATCTAAAATATTGAGACGCAATGCAAACGCACCACTGATTTGGCTGAAGGTGCCTGTGAAACTAAACTTAAAGCAGCGGGTATGTGAGATTTTTACATGACTGCAGGCTGGACATTTACCGACATAATGCCGATGTTGCCGTATTATGTTCTGGTCTTGTAAAGTCGTTTTCACGGGTTACCATGTAGGCCTTAGTCCATCTCTAGTGGACCCTCTCTGCTCAAAACGACCGATCAGTCTTAGGATAGGGACGTCCACTCTTTCTACTGACGGCTCTGATACTCTTGAATTAAATCAAGATCTCGGTGTTCAGATATGAACTTTGAGTCGACACGTTTTCTACAGAACTAAAGAAGTTGTGCATGATGACCTTAAGTTTTAAAAGCCACATTTTATGTCCAATTGTGCACTGTAAAATCTTAATTTTCAACTTTTCCTTTTGTGGATTCATTTTTTTGTGTTTAGGAGAATTGATCATTCTCGCGTGCAATCGTTGTTCATAATTGCAAGATTAAAGTGATTCTTTCCAACGAGATTTAAATTCACACATGTTTAAACATCTTGTGTTTCAGTGCGTCTCAGTGTTTCAGCCACCAGATATTATTTATCGTTGGGATTGATCATAATGTAACTTAACGTTAGCACTTTACTGGAAACTGTTAGTTTTGTGACACAAGAACAGTTGGGTAAATTCAACCCATAATAGCACGTACGGCGGTTGTGATCTAGGCTTAATATTATATATTCTTTCTTACAGGGCCATCATTAGCTGGGCAATTAGTAAAATCAATTGGCTTCCCATGGTGGGTAATGTTTATTTCTTAAAATATTATTAATGACGTTGGATTCTTTTGTTTTAGGCACCTAATTATTTTTAAATATGATTTTTCTGCATGCAATAGATTATTTGTTTATGGCATTGACGTATTTTATTCAAAGCATTTAGCTATTGAATACTAATTGTATTGATATATTCTATTCACGCAATAGGGGAATTTAACTTTAAATTGAAATTTATAAAACCCGAATGTCTATTTCAAGACTTTATTTATTTTACTTTAAAGGTTGATTCGTGGATTAGGAATATTAAATCTACTTTTCACACCATTTTGTCTTCTCCTCCGAAAAGTTTCCACACCTGACGAAAATACGGTATACTATCCTTTTCATACATATAATTACCACAAACCCGCAACTTACCCGCAAAGTTATATTGGCTTAAAGTATGTAAGTGATCAGACAAGTTCTTGGTAGTCTGAAAATGGAAAAGACACGATACGTGCGGGATGTTTTTGAACATCATTAAGCAAGATAAACACGTGCTTATGGTCCCAAGGTAATGGGTCACCGCATATTTTTTTAAATGTGCCGAGTTAACTACAGAGCTAATGGAACAACTAAATAAGGACCTACAACAATGGCCGCCGCAATAAGTGATAATAATACCCAATATTAGCACAATTGGGTTTTGTTTCAGATAAAATAAAGTATTGTATGGTTTAGTACTGTTTTTTAATTGAGCTTTATATGGGGGTACCATGATCTGTTCGAATCTTAGGGTCACCAAATGTTAACAAAACGATGCTGAACTACATGTGTGTAACGAACTCTGACCAAAGTTTACCAGTATATTAAAATAGAAATAGAAATAATATGTTTTTCCTTTCAGATTATTATTTCTGGAGAGAATAAGGAAGCTGGAAAACACGAGCTTGATGATGCAACAAACGGTTCCTTCGCATACGGCCGACTACACGAGGAGGATTAGTTGTATGTCCATTGAGGGGCATTATTGTCTGCCCCTTGTACATCGAATACTGCCATTAGGAATATTTACGTACATACAGAAAGTGTAACTTTGAAATAATGCTAATAAAAACGTAGCAAGCTGTGGATCGAATCTTTACTTACACTAGTTGTAACTCCCAACCATATAATTATCTCCAAGTTTCCAGCCATTTAGACGTGTTTTACTTTGGAAATGTATAGGGGTCAATAGCACGAATATGTCAATATATTGCGATTGTTGGGATGATTTAATCCTTCAGAAGACATTTTTTTGGCGGAGTTAATTTTATCATCGCACATTGATGTATCATTTCGCTTTTAAATACACACGTTTGAGTTACGATATTGCTATTCTGAAGATTTGCCAACATATACCCATGGCCCGCGACAGGGCACTGCGGGTCCTGGAACAAGCAACTCGGCAAAGGGTTGGGGGAAACATTTTTGAAGGATACGAGGGCCCTTTCTAAAACACAGAAACTGAGATTTAACGCAGCAATAACAATCAGATGTACACGATTTTGACAGGGAATTTTAAGCAGGCAAACAAATGGGAAAACAAAAACCTTGACCATCAGACGCCAAAAATAGTTTTTATTCACCACATGAGCTATTTATCCTACCGAGAGAAATCTATAACTGCGTGCATGATCACTGGCAGTAGAGTGCGACACTGGTGCGCTCACAATCATTGTGACGTTCTACAGGCCTGGACTATGGGCCCGGATTACCTGTCGGCGCCTGGATACCCTGACGGTGACGAGAGCCTCAAAAGGAACGAGGATGGGCCGGGGCCTCACGCCGCAAGGGTCCGGGCAGGTGGCTTACAGTTTTTAATTCACCAGTTAGGTACGCAGATTCAGAAACGTCACCGGTTTTTTTTTACGTTACGATCAAGTAACAGTGTATATTTTTTTTTATTAATTTATACCTGCATACCTGCGGGCCCCACTAACCTCCGGGCCCCTGGATAAGTGTCCTAGCTGCCCCCCCCCCACTCACACGGGATCTGCATATACCATTTATCGACATGCGCTATTTCGACATATCGTAACGTAAACGTGCGCATTTAAAAGGAAATGATGACACACAACATGGTGCTTTAATTCAATTAAATCTAACGGAAACGTGCTTCTTTAAAATGAAATGACTCGTTGATTCAATTAACTCAGCAAGATTATCTATTCAGGATAAACACCATCTCACCGATCACAATATGTTGACATTAAATTATTAATATTGTGATATCTTCCGTGACATCTTTCGCTCGTCTTCATTATAGCCCCGTTGGGGCAGAACAGTAGGCCTTTAAACCCGGGGATCACGTGGCCAAGTGGGTAAGACGCTGGCTCGCTAGCCTGGAGGTCGGGTGTTCGATCCCTGCATTGGCCGAGAAAGTTTATCCAGATTTTCCGGCGTGGTTTCCCCTTGTCAGTGATGCAGGACGGAGGGCCTGACAAGGACAGCTGTCTAGTCGTTCGAATGGAACGAAAAACCGAGATCCCGTGTACATATTTGCGTGCACGTAAAAGATCCCTTGTCAGTTGGAATTCGATTAAAGAGTAGGCCGTAGCGCCGCTGCCCTGGCAAAATTTCCCTCATAGCACACTGTATGGCGTATGCCCGTCTATGCCCGCCTTCATTAGCTCAGTTTAGTAGGACGTTAAACCCCATTTCATTTCATTTCATTTAAACCCCATGTCTGATATCCGTCGTGTTACTGACCCCTTTACCTTTCCATAGTTTTACAGATAAGAAAATCAAGTTGCTCATAACGAAAGTGGTATTGTGAAATATAATGATAAAATTGATCCTATTAAAGCGACGTGTTAAAGCTGTTTATTTATAAAAGTTATATTGTGAAATATATTAACCCGTATACCCGGTAAAAGATATTGATGTACTCAAAAACTAAAACAGGCCACCTAATTCGTGCATATGGCCGTGAAAGTTATCTCATTATTGCGGTCGGGATTAATTAATTATAAGCCATATTTGGTAATGTCAGCCTTAAACATTGCGTAATATAACTGGATAGGATTGCAAAATATTACATTGGTTAAATTATTACCTATCCGAAAAATCAATCGCGCCATTGCTCAACACCATAAAATATGCACCACAGTGCGCCCCTTTTGGGTTGATGTTAGCCGCTGTCCGAACATTTGGTTTTCAAATCACTGACCTCCTATAAACGCTCAACGGGGTTTTGCACATTGGTTTCCATAAGTCAGTGGTGCAGGGCTTGGTCTACTCTGTGTTCGGAAAGGAGTGGAGGTGAGTGGGGGTTGTAATGCCGTGAAGGAAGTTCGCAGAATGCTGTATATGGATAAGGCTAGTCCTCTTACTCCATTAAACACAGTAGCATCTATCACGTTAACAAGTTTTCGGCAAATGGGAGGTAACACCGAAACGGATGGTCGAGAACTCTGAATATCGATAGCGACCTTCCTCTCGACCGTAATGTTTCGCATAAAAACCCTTATAAACTTTAGCCTCTATCGCGTTATCGAGTCACTTACTAACGGACCCCCGGACCAACGGACATGGTTGGCGATATAATTCTTCCACACTGAAATGACATGTGAGCGCATGGAAATTGCAAAGACAACAAATGGGTAGAATTTGAATAATAACAACGATCTATAAGTCCTTACATAGCAACCATTAATATTGATATCTTCTGTCTAGTGTTTCGTGTCATATCATCCACGGAGTCTGCATTGATTTTAAATGGAAATATTGTTTGATTTTAAATGCGATGATTGATGGTATGGCGACAATAATATGTTCGGCTTGTTTCAGTCAAGTATACCTAATAATGTAATATGAATGTATATAAATTGATTTACATTCAAACGTTTCTGTTTTTACTGTAATTTTTAATCAGTTAGGTTTGGCGAAATATGCCAGTATTCTCCATCGAATTTCAATCTCTAGCGTCTGGTTATTCCAGTCTACACCAATATTATTTATTGGGCTTGCTCTCCAGATAAGAATATAGCGTCACCGTTAGAATATGCCTAGCCTCGTTTTTCGAGCCCCTTATTACAAATAGCACTGAAACGCATCATGGTACACGATTCGTGTACCAATTGTAAAATGTTTATTTTGTTTTAAATATTGGATATTAGAAGGCCATCTTTTCCCGGTAAGATCACAACATCAATGTTGATTTAAACCGACAAATAAATCGTGTTTTCAATGTCGAAGATTTTGGATGATATTGAGTTAGAGACTTAGCTACTTTAAAATACAGATACTGTCCAGCATTTAAACTATATAGTATAAATAATGTAGCTTGGCACATTGCCCGTACCATTATCTGAAATAATGGTACGCCAACATCAAAGGATAACGTCACATCTTGTCTTGACAAATAACTTAAACATTGTGCAATATCTTTCGATATGATTGCAAAGTATTTACTCCGAGCGATATTAGTATTGTACTGATTGTGTATGTTAAACGCGCGTGGTAATTGTCCTTTGACATTAATAAAGAAACCCCTCCAACGTGTTCCACTTTCCTTATTCAAGGGACTAAGTATATATGACCAATCTGGGGTAAAGGTCACCCAATTGTTGTACAGTTCTATATCTAAAATGGAACCTGATTAAATTATTATACATAACAATTGGTTGGTGTTGACAATTTGAAAACACAGATATTTTGTCCAGATACTGAGTTTTTTTCACCTATTCATACCAATGTTAGATCACCTTCATAGTGATAACAAACAACGCTCCATGTAAACCAATGTAAACTTTAAATGGCAACAATTAAAATTAGAATTGATCTATTTGAATAATTTTTGTACCAAGATTAACCCGAGGACGACAAACTATATGGTCCACACGCTGACATGCATGTTAGTTGTCCCTAAAAGCAAAAGCATCACAATTCATCCCTGATTAACAATATAATATCAAAGATGGATTCGTTTAGTTGAAAATTTCGTTAGAACAAGAAATCATAAAAAAGACCGGTGTGGGTGGGCTGGAATTATGTGAGGCGACTGTCATTATTTCTTAACATAATCAAAAAGTAAGGAGATCTACCATTAAATGCATTTTGTTATTTGGATCTATTCACTTGGTTTGATATATATATATATTTTATTTTCATTTCTTTCAGTGCCTATTTTATTTTGTCTTGTTCACATGTTTGTCTTATCGGTTTTGGGTTGCGTCCTCCCGTAGTAGAGTTTTAGCCCGTGGTACTGTAGAATGTTCTCGTTGTTAGGCTTAGCTCCTGTTGATCAATACACTTGAGTGTATTTATTAAGTGTTATCCGAAATTATATCCGGATTATCACCCTTATTGTTAGATTTTTGACGTTCTAACTCATGGCACCAAATGGAAGATTATTGCCATTCAGGAGACATGTTTTCCGTGCTTGACGGAGTGGACTGTCAAGGGAAAACATGTCTAGTCGTTGGTGTACTCGTAAACGGAACATTGGCCGTTGAACTTCGATGAAAAGTAAACGGAATCACCGCTTTCCAGACAAAAAAATGTCCTCATCGGACACTTTATTGCCGACACGTCTGCATTAGTCAGGTTGGTGCAGGAATGTAAGCAGTTGATTGTCATATCACTAATTTAGATAAACCTCCCTACATTACGAACGGTAGAAATACGCCCATGATATGTCGGAGTTATCTTTCTTATGACGATTTCATAACCATATAAACTCTACTTTTAATATCAGGTATCTAATATACGTCAATAAGCAAAACGATAAAAATTGGGAAAGATGATAATTGATATCGTCAGTAAGGTATAAAATGACAGGTGACGTGAGATGAGGATATAAATCCTGATACAAGGTATAGTATACCTCAGTAGGTAAAATCACCTGAACAATAACAAATGGAGATAGTAAGTGTATAATTTGTATTTAACAACAATAGAGAAAACCCTTCTAGTAGAAGGCATTAATCTGTATTACTTCTGTTTTGTGATTTAACACAGTTTTCCTACAGATTGTGACACACGGATTGCTTGCTGATTCAAAACGATGCAATGTCCAAATTGCCATTTTTGTTCACTATATGATTTAAGACATAATGATTGCTGTTTGGGGTGGCAAATGAATGAATGTCACTGTGTTCATGCATACATAGTAGGAGAAGAAATGTAACTGTTAGATATGTCAAGTGTATAATAGAAGGCCGGCCTGGCTAGGCAATGCGTCTAGTCATTCTCGTGTATATCATTGACTATTAGAATAGTCGTATAGAGCCGCTGTCCGGGCTAAATGTTCCCCAAAGCGCTACCTGTACTTTGTAGTGGTGAAGTACAATTTAGTAATTTGTTATCTTTCATTTGATGAACATGTCATTTGGATATACGAGAAATTCTCAAAACCACACCCACCATTGTATATGTTGTATACCGACCTATGTCTAATCATGGTATGTTATGATCAAATGACTCGCGCGTAGGCCGTTGCTCTAGCTAAGAGTTACTCCAGGACAAGTAAAGAGCAAGGATTACGGGACGATAGCTGACCATATCTGTCCCATACTGAGTTTTTCGGTCCTCTTCCCACAACTAGACAGGTAGGCTAATCACCATTTTACAATAACTAGTCTTGCAAGTTGACAATTAACAGCCCGATAGGCTTTAATGTATAATACTGTGCTAAATAAATCTTCTGTTTATTTTCAGCCAGCCAGTATGTTGTTGTTACTTTCGGTTTTTATATCTCTGACATGTCAGTATGCTGACGCAGCTGGGGGTAGGTTTATAAATTTTTCACTCGTTTTTACATATATAAAATCACGTATATAAAATAACATGGATATTATTGTAAATCTAAATATACCATGATTAATACAGTATATTGGTTCTGACAATTATAATAAGTTATAATAACTATAGACGAGAAATTGTCTATGACGTCATCGCAGCCATCTTGGAATTGTGATGCTATATCACAAATTGATGCACCATTGTCTTAGGAACAAGCATGTCAAGTTTCATGTCGATCGTACATGGATTAACGAACAACAAACAACACAAAAATGATTACCGTTTGTAGATCAGTTCCTTGTCCATAAACAGGAACTTATTTTATCGTTGATTGGATACATTATTTTCGACAAATATGTGTGTTCAATCATCATATCCAATTCTACAGGGGCGTTATTTTTAGCAACATGGCGACGGAAATCTAATAGCCCCATTACTTATGCCAGGTTCCCACTATCACGATTGAAATCGTGATTTTAATCGTGGAGTAATCGTGGTGATTAGACCTTATCATTCATTGAGGTCAGTCGTAAAAATCTTGTTGACCGTATCGGAACGTATCCGAACGCGTGTTGTACGTAGAAGACCTCGGATTTAATAGGAACAATCGTATCGTAACGCATCGCACGACTATGGGAACCTAGCATTAAATCATCTTTCTTTTTCTCCAGCCGACAGTTTGAGATTAACAGGAGGCGGATCAAGGTATGGTTTTGTAGAAATGAACATTGGTGGGGTTTGGCGACCGGTTTGTCCTGGTGATAATTATAATCAGTACAACGATGGAGAAATACCGAGTATTATTTGTAAACAACTAGGATATGTATCTGGTATATATTATGATATGGGGATGAAGTCTACTGCTAACTCATGGTGGTACAATCAATTTGAAAAGGAGTCTTACATGGAACCTTCCGTTCCTAACTTGGATGCTTACGTTAAAGAAAGGTGGCTAAGCGTCACTGCAACAGGAGAGTTTTCTTATTGCCCTAGCTCCAGTATTGCTGTGCATTGCCGAGGAAAGGGTAAGCTACATTGTTCTAACATAGAGTAGAATCAGGTGTTCATACTCTGCCGTGTGTAATACTCATGTACTATGTAATTTGACGCTTTCGATCAAAATGGATACAACCATCTACAAAGGTCTCCACGGAATTTTCAAATTAAGAAACGAATGCGAATAATATTATTTTGTATGTAGTCCGCTTAAAAGTCATACGAAACTTATGCCTACAATTAAATCAGACACGGAGCTGGTTCACTGACCTTTTAATTCCTAAATCGACGAATTTAATCCAGATCACTAGTATACTTCGAAAATTTTGCGATGTATTTATTTTACTTCCATTTAATACAATTGAAAAAGTTTTTGTATGTATGGCTAGATGTAAAACGGATAACATCCATTCGGGACAGGGATCTATCCTTAAATTTCTCCATGTGAGAATGCTTATGAGTAAGCAAATCCTGCAGTATTACATTTTTATGTTACAGTATATCTAGAAAGTGCATCTGCAAACTCTGTTACCAAGGAGCGAGGATTTGGTTATGTTGTTGTCCAGATGCCTTCTGGACCTATGTACCTCGCAGACAGCGGGCTAGGGGATCTTGATGTAGGTGTGATTTGTAAGGAGCTTGGTTATGATGTCTCATATAAAATAAACCCAGATTCCACGACAGGATATTCAAGGAACTCTGATTATGGGATGTTGGTTAAGGACTATAACTGTGTTGGCACTGAAGCTTCACTACTCGACTGTCCTGCTGTTGATATGCAGCAAGGTGGCACTCATAAAACAGCTGTAGTTTCCTGTTCAATCACAAGTAAGAAATATTTTATTCATTCTATCTGAAATGAAACGAAAACATGAAATGAAATAAAATGGGGGTTTAGCGTCCTACATGTCTGCAACGACATATACTGTGCTATGAAAGACGTTTTGTCATGACAGCGACACTGTGCCCTACTACTATTTCGAATTAAAACTGCTAAGGGTTCTCTTAAGTACAGGCCAACTTATACACGAAACTTCAGTTTTTCGTCCCATTCAAACGACTAGACATTGTTCCACAGGCCTTCACAACTGGCAAGGCGAAATCACGCCGCAGTGGAACTTTATCGGTCAAATCCGGTAGCGGCCGGGAGCGAACCCATGACCTCTAGGTAATCCAGCTAGCGTCTTACTCTCTGAGCCTCATCGCGGGTTACGAAAACGAAGATCAATCAGTTCATTTGAGAAGATGATTTGTTTTCAAAATGTACCCGAGGCTTCTGAATTTCTTGATCAAAAAATAAACGTTAAATCTAATTATAAACTGAAACATAATCATCACAGTGAAAATGAAATAACATTGTTCATCTAGATACAGTCACAATTGACTAAAGAGAATATTTTTCCATTTACAGATACAATAGCAGATTATACGGTACGTTTGGCAACCAACAATGTGGTTGAAATCCACCACCAGAGCACATGGGGAATCATCTGCGATGAAACGTTTAGTAAAACCGACGCCAAAGTCATTTGTGCCTCTTTAGGGTCCGATGGTTCTGAGATATTGACAGTTAATTTACAGGAATTATACACAGTATGGATTACGAACTTAAATTGTGGTGATTCGAATAGATCCCCAGCTGCTTGCCCCGTGACTTTGTGGACAGTCAATGATAATATCTGTTCATCTATAGCTGCTGTTAGATGTTATGATCAAAATAAAGGTGAGTGCCAAAAGTCGACGGTGTATTTCAACTGAATATTTCATCCTGAATTAGGCGTATTATACATCAGGTTTAACTATAAATGTAGATCTTTGAAAGATTATTAATTCATGTTGAGGTATAGTGTCACCACCTGAGTCCGTCTCGATTCGGTCCGTATGCAGGTTTGAGTACTTTATCTTATTTAAAATAATTTCATTGGGTATTCTGAAAGATCCCTATATTCCCAGTTTAAATCCAAGTTTATGAAAGCTCGTGAACGCGCTACAAGACAGTCTCCCCAATGGAAGTTTGGCGGGATTTTGTAGTTGTTCATCTGTTAATAATGAATTTGATTACATCGATATAGTATAGGCTTTGCAAATTTTTGAAGGCATAAGAAAAGAACACCATAGAATTTCAAAGTTTCATGATCTGTATGGTGTCTGAAATTGCTAGTCCATTAAGGGACAAATGTTAAAAAATCACCCCATTCAGAATGCCTGTACGGATTTCTTGACCTTTGGTAGGAGTTTGTTAAAATGAAATGGTTAGATCCAATAGGGCCTGTGACACACCATGTCCCAGCAACAAAATACTTCGGTCATTATGAGACAAACAATATGTTAATGTTTACCTCTATGGTTACATGCGCAATACGAGGTTGGCAGATTTTTCCCGGACTCTGGTCATCTGTCCACAGTTCCAACTGTCAAGGAGACGTTTACGCCATTCAAATGTCTGCTAGTGCATTTTTCTCAGCACAAATATTGAACGAACACCATTTAGAATTGAACATGTAAACTCCATGTTTTAGTACATGGAGATCGTAAGTTGTATGTATAAGGGAGGTAACAGTTTGAGCGTGACGTAACATTTAATTTCTTCAAATTGTACTGTCATGTTTATCTAAACAGATGGCGTTTATGGTTTTGTAAATGGAGGAGGAAATATTCTTGGTAACCATTTCGTGGAAAGAAGTAGTGAGAACCAGAAAGGCCTGCTTGTTGTTGATGATATCAACCAGAATGCTGTTTGTGTTAATCTCGGGTATAAAGGTGGGAGTATGTACGATTTACCCAGTCCTGGATTGCTACCAACTAACCAAGCGTATTGGACAGCTACAGCAAAAGATGATTCTTCATTTTCATCCATAGAAAGTTCTGTTAATAATGATTGGCAGCGCGTAACCGGAAAGGTGTTGGATAATCTGAAGATGACAGTCTGCTACAACACAGGTTGTTAATCTCAATCTATCATTTATTTTAGTTAATGCCATTACTATGAAATATTGTAGCGCAAAGAATAAACAAGCACCGCCTTACTATATACAAGAAACCAAGTATGACGTCATCGCAGCCATTTTGGAATTTTGACGGCATATCAAAAATTGAAGTCAGTCAATCAATCGATGTGCTATTGTCTAGGTATAAGCATACGAAGTCCATCAGTACCTGAATTGGCAAGCCATAGGCCCTTTTCGAATTGCCTGCTCCTGGTCCAGAAATACCATCACAAAAGGTTTTATTTTTTTATCAAAAATGTTTAAAGTATATATGAATCTATAACATGTATATAATATTGTGGTGTTTTATATTTGACAGCTTACCTACAAGGGAACGGTTATGCCGGTTTAGTTAAGTATATAGTGAACGGAAACCAAGTACTGATAAATAACGCGTCATTAAACCAGGTCGAAATCAATCTCATCTGCTCACACTTGGGATTTAGTATAGGTGGCAGTACTGTACCCGCAACGATGTTTAAGTCAGATTATGATAATGGTGATATATATGACCTGAACTGTGACCAGACGCCTACGAATTTAAGCACCTGCATCACGACTCGAGTTACTGATACAACGAACATCAATGTTGCTGCAATTTCTTGTCGACTCGATAACGCATTACCAGGTAAGATAATCACATAGTATCGATCCTTAGCAGCAACTAGATAGTACAATACTGTCATTATAGTTTAATGGAGTGTTTTGCTCACTTCAACCAGGTGCTTATGGAGTGTTTTGCTCACTTCAACTCAGTGCTTTATCGAGTGTTTTGCTCACTTCAACCCAGTCCTTATGGAGTGTTTTGCTCACTTCGACCCAGTGCCTATCGAGTGTTTTGTTCACTTCAACCCAGGTCTTATCGGGTGTATTTCTCACGTCAACCCAGGGCTCATGGGGTGTTTTTCTTACTTTAACCCAGTGCATATGGGTTGTTATTATCACTTCTACTCAGTACGATTGCAGACTTCAACATTGTGAGGCTTAGCTCACAAACCAGGGTGGGGGGGGGGCTGTATTTGATCCCAGTGTCGTTCATGAAAGTTACTCCACCCTCCCTGGATTTTCTGCATTCATTAGTCCCATATTGTAGCCGTCGAATCAATATTAAAGGACAATCAAATAAATATACAACAATAAAGTAGCAGATGTCATTATATTCTAGGCCGTCGAATTCAATAAATACGAATCCTTAAATTAGGGCAATGATAAGCACATTAAAGATACCCAGAATTTGGAAATATTAATACGTCGGCAGCAATATTTAACAGGTGACAAAAAAAATGAACCTACAATGGTTACTGTCTGCTTAAAACTAACTATTTTCAGATACTTATATTATAAATAAAGCCTTAATATTTCAGTTGGAGACATGGGTGTTTTCTTAAACAAAAAGGGTATTGTTCATGTAAACAAAGATGAATTACCAGGAAGAATATGCAACAGTGATAGTTGGAATGATAAAGCGGCATCCGTCGTGTGTAAACAGCTAGGATTTGATACAGCTATACTCTCCACAGAACGTACCGAATACAACAATGGGAATCCTCCCGTTTGGTTTAAATCTGTCACATGCCAGGGAACAGAATCGTCCATAAAAGACTGCACGTTGGTTCCTAGTTCTGAGACCGATCAAAATTGCGAAAAGGTTGCAGCAGTAATGTGCTATAACATGGCTGACAGTACGTTCCAGTTTTTTTTTAAAATTTTTTTAGCTTAAATCGAAAATATAAAAAGGAAGATGTTTTTATTAAATTGTTAACTGTACATTATGATTAAATAAAATTATCTCTAAAACTCTACCGAAATCATCCTCAACAAACGAATAATTGTTTTCTAGAGGCAACATTTAGTTTGGTGGATGGAAATTCTAGATTTGGTAGAGTAAAGATAACACGGGATGGTAAAGAGGGGTTCTTGTGTTTGGCTAAAATGGATGAAGAAGAAGCTGCTACTATCTGTAAGGAACTAGGATTCCAAGACGGTGACGAATGGTCCATGGCGCCTGTAGTGGCAGCCGGCACCTCTTGGTGGTCAGTTTCTACTAATTGTGGTGGTGATTCAGAAGTCATTGAAAGTTGTGAAGGACAAAATTGGGAATATGTGACACCTTCAAACCCTTCTATCAGCGACTGCTCCTGGAAAACAGCTGCTGTTTATTGTTACAGTAGAGGTATTTGAGCTAAATGTAATACGCATAATAGCTTTCAAACATTTCCACATGTTTGGCCGTATGTATAGCTTCAACTGAATTTTAACAATTGTTTCCATATTATTTTGCATTTTCTAACTGTAGTGTATGCGCTATATATATTCAAATAAACAAGACTTTAAATATATAATCGTTTTAAAGAACGTAATTACGTATATATAAAATCGACAGAGGACACTAATATAGATATTTTATTGGAAATCAGACTTGACGTCATAATTATTATTCTATATAATTATTTCCTTCTAGTCCGTTTGGAAACTGCACCGTATCTATCCTACGGAGTTGTGAGAAACTCGCTAACCAAAGCCAGATTTAGCTCTAACTCATTTGGTGAAAAGGAAGCTACGATTGGATGTAAAGAAATGGGATTCCCCAAAGGAGGTAAAGTGTTTCCCTCAGGAACCTTCAAGAAATCAAAGACACCCATTGCAATTCGTTGTGCTGGTACTGAACAGTCTTTATTGGATTGTCCTGTGATTAATGAAGTAACTGATAAGAATTTGTTTGCTTCTGTTTCTTGTATTACGGATGAAGTTGTTCCAGGTAAGTACACTGAATTCAGTGTTTCAAAACTCATAATACTGAAATAAAGCTTAACTTTTTAGCATTTTAGTAATTGATTTTAAGAAGAATGGTTTAGGTGTTCCACAATTTAAAGAATTATAATTTATGATCACTGCACAAATAATCGAAATTATTATGAAGTTCATCCATTAATACAAAATTAAATACAATATTTTTAATGATTTCTTTTTAATTACATAGCTGAAGGTTCAATGAAAATTAACGATGATTATCGATTGCTGATTGTGAGAAACGGTGTTTGGGGCGGCCTTTGTGCTGAAAGCTGGACAGCCAACGATGCTGCAGTTGTGTGTCAGCAACTCACAGGATCCGGAGGCAAGGCAACAAAGCGCGGGAAGTCAGATGTGAAATATACCACATTTAAGGAACCTTGGACATGCAGTGGTAACGAGAGTAGATTAACTGATTGTGATGTGGATTCATCAGCAATAGATCAAGCTTGTGATGACTATGCTGCTGTGTATTGTGATAATCAACAAGTTACAGGTTAAACACAATTTCCTTATTTAGCACTCCTGTTTTATGTTTAATCCGTCAAATGCTATTTAAATACCTTCAAATGAAATACCTGATATTTAATGTAAGCTAACTATGGTTAATAGTCTAGTACTTTCAGCATACTCGGTCACAAACATCAGAGCAACATCTCTTTTTCAGCAACCCTTTCGTTTTGAATTTACCAGTTACTTGAAGCCACATAGTTGAATTCACCATTTCTTTCAGCCTAACAATGTTTCCTGTAACCTTGTGTGGCAAACAAAGATAAAACAAATCATTGGAATTGATTAAGAACACGTTTATTATATTTCATACCTAGAATGTCAAACAATAATTTGAACCATGTAGCCCAGTACCTCAGTTGACAAATACAAATATCAGTTGTCGATCTAGAACAGTTAATACCACTTCTGCGGTTTCTTGTCCTTATATATTTAAATAATTTATTGCAAAATAACTAATTTTACAACCAGTAACTACCAGATAACTCACTTGAATTTTAATGCTGTTTTTCTAGCTGTCGATAAAATGGTATATAGCTTGCCACCAGGAGTCGTAATCAATCAACCGACTAGTAGCAGTCCAGCACCAGGTACCTTATCTTCTATATTTACCTCAAATGGACCTCCTGAAACGCTGCACCTCATTTATTTATGTAGTTTGAGCTTCTCTTGTAAAGTGGATCTTGCAGTCCATGTTTTATCTGTAAAATGATCTCAGTAACCCCTCTTAACCTTGTTTTATAACAAATTGGCGGGCATCTTTGATTATATGGATCAGTTGATATTAGTTTACTATTTGAAATTAATGACATTCCATTTCATTTCACATGTATTTACCTACGTTTTCATGCATTCCAGGGTCTAATGACGGCAATGGCGCAAATCCAACACGAACAGGTAATCGCTATTCACTGAGAACTAAAGCTTCTGCTTTTAATATTATTTAGATGTTCATTTTTTCAATTTCATTTCACTGGTATTAAGATACATTATCGTACATCCCAGTCGCGAGTACACCAGTCTCAAATGTACCAGTCACTAATACCGCAGCCTCTAATGTACCAGTCACTATTATCCCAGTATCTAATGTACCTTTGACTATTAACCCAGTCTCTAGTTTGAGCTTCTCTTGTAAAGTGGATCTTGCAGTCCATGTTTTATCTGTAAAATGATCTCAGTAACCCCTCTTAACCTTGTTTTATAACAAATTGGCGGGCATCTTTGATTATATGGATCAGTTGATATTAGTTTACTATTTGAAATTAATGACATTCCATTTCATTTCACATGTATTTACCTACGTTTTCATACATTCCAGGGTCTAATGACGGCAATGGCGCAAATCCAACACGAACAGGTAATCGCTATTCACTGAGAACTAAAGCTTCTGCTTTTAATATTATTTAGATGTTCATTTTTTCAATTTCATTTCACTCGTATTAAGATACATTATCTTACATCCCAGTCGCGAGTACACCAGTCTCAAATGTACCAGTCACTAATACCGCAGCCTCTAATGTACCAGTCACTATTATCCCAGTATCTAATGTACCTTTGACTATTAACCCAGTCTCTAATCTACCAGTCACTACTATCCCAGTCTCTAATGTACAAGTCACTAATACCCCAGTCTCTAATGTACCAGTCACTATTATCCTAGTAACTAATGTATCAGTCACTGTTACCCCAGTCTCTAATGTACCAGATACTAGTATACCAGCTGCTGATCCAAAAGGACGACGTGCTGTGAGTTCAATGGTGTAAATCCAACGAGAGCATGTACCTACTAATTACTTGGAAATGGCTTCCGATTTTAATATTATTTTGCTGGTCATTTTCCTTTTCTTTTGTATGTTTTTACAACATCGTTCTAACGTCTTAGCAGATTTACGAATGTTCGTACACGATTGGGTAGAAGCTTTCGTTTAAGTTTTGGATATTTCTGAAATCATATCAACTTGTCCAATATTGTAGTTGTGAATATAACCACCCTTCTACCCTGGTTGGAACGAACTAAATATATGTGTACTACGTTTACACGTTTTAACGTACAAATATCGGTATGGTCCGTCTCGCAACCGCAAGTCACCTATAAATCTATTTTAATATGTGGTTCTGTTATACTGTAACGGCACGCCACATTAAAATCATATTTGGTGGCTAGGAGAGTAAAGCCTTGTTATGGATCCTTGTGTTGGCCAATAAAGCTCCTGTATATTATTCGGCGTGTTTTTCTTGGCATTGATGCCGGACGTATGACTTGGCAACAAACAGCCTCTAGTTGTCCGAATACGACGACAAACCCTCAGGGCATGATGTTTCTCATAGCACACAGCATGGCGTATGTCTTTCTTCATTAGCCCGAATGGATAAGAACAACAGGATGTTAAACCCCGTTTCAATTGCTATCTAATTGTATTGTCCTTGTAGTTATATTATCCCACTCGATTAATTGAAGAAAATATGTTGTATGATTCTGTGTTTCAGCTACAGGATTCTGGTTTATGACGATGATGATGGTGACGATAATGACATATCTCCAGAAATATATTTTGTTATAGTTAAATTTTTTTTTTATAAAAGTATGTCCGTGTGCGTTATGTGTATTCTGTTTATTGTAAGGCAATTTGTTGTATTTTAAATAAACAGTAGGACGTTAAACCCCATTTCATTTCATTTCATTTTTGTATTTTAAATAATTTAATTTGTTGGATATAAATATTGTAACATTTCTAGTATGAATAATCCGTTAATCTTATAAAGAATCGATGATATATACCTCACCGAAAGATACTCTTCATTTTGGATTGTTCTTAAAAACGATAAGAGAACATATATAAACCAGTGATTGCTTTCCATATAATTTGTGTTGTCTTTCTTTATGTTTAATCGCTAATAACGCCACTAGACTCAATGACATGCCTCATTATCAAAAGCGCTCGCGTTAGACCCCCTCCCCCTCCATGGTATACAACTAATAAATCCTACTATAAGAAGTTGACTCACTAACCAAGGAGTTCCGTTTCCGATCCAGATGTCGATCCAGAAAGTTGCTCGGGGTTTTTAAGCCTGTGGGACGGAGGGTCTTTCGTAGTCCAGTTGGTGCAGAAATTGACATTCCCGGTCTCATTTTATTCATTTTGTCGAGCACCAAATCGATCGTTTCACATTTATCATTGATTTTAAAATTTAATTTGCTGATGAAATAAGTTAATATTGCGAGCTAACTAACGCGGCACGATGTCACCGCACTCAGTGATAGTTGCAAGCAAGCAAATATTTACTGCTGATAAGTTTGTCTCGACTGTACATATCGGGATGTTGTGGATATTTGTTAGAGGTGCGTCCTATCCCAACTGTTGAACAATACCGGCCTCATGTCTCATATTCTCATTTTATTTACTTCTGGATATTATTACATTTATTTACTATGGCCACGTGTCAATACTTTTCATTTGAATTTCAACCTTCAACTCTTAATCTAATCCAATCGGCTATACCACTCGACTTCCCTGGTCTTACACGATAAATAATGGGTGAATACAAAAATGAAATGAAATGAAATGGAGTTTAACGTCCTACTATTCTGCTCCTAACCTTGGCTAATGAAGACGGGCATACGCCAATCAGTGTGCTATGAGGGAAATTTTGCCCGGACAGCGGCACTACGGCCTACTCTTATATCGAATTCCAACTGCCAAGGGATCTTTTACGTGTACGCCAATGTGTACACGGGACCTCGGTTTTTCGTCCCATCCGAACGACTAGACAGCTTTCCTTGTCAGCCCCTCCGTCCTGCATCACTGACAAGGGAGAACCACGCCGGAAAATCTGGATGAACTTTCTCGGCCAATGCAGGGATCGAACACCCGACCTCCAGGCTAGCGGGTGAATACAAAAAAAAAAGAATATTGGTATGTACACTGCAAGTAAACTGTGGTATGTGGGTGTGACAACATTCATGGATCACCTTTAATATACTTATGGTGGTTTGATTTGAACTAATCTTATATAGGTTATATAAATACAAGAATAATACACTATATTGATTCAGTTTCTATTACCAGAGAAAAGACAGGAAATAGTTTCAACATTATAATATTATATATAAACACATGTACAATAGATAACAGACCAGTCTATTTGAATATTGTCAAGTATTGGTCGTACAGTTTGGGTACAAACACGTGTAAGATGGTCTGATTCAAGGATCTTACAAAAATCAGTTGGTTACGTAAAATATTTTAATACACATTGTTTGAACTGGGAATAGCTTCATATATGAAATGAAATGGGGTTTAAGGTCCTACAGTTCTGCTCCGACTGGGCTAATGAAGACGGACATACGCCATGCAGTCATATACCGGAAGCAATGGTCCGAGATATTCCTTTGAGTGGGTACTCTTATTTCGAATTCCAACTGCTAAGGGATGTTTGACGTGCGGAAAATCCCGATGATCTTTCTCGGCCAATGCAAGGATCGAACACGAGACCTCAAGTTTAGGGAGCCAACATCGTACTCACTGTGGCTCCTCCATGTGATAGAAGTATGCCAACGCTTGGTATTGTCTGTAAATCACATGTAAATAATGGGTCAATTTGTAACAAATGTGTAAAGTACCAGATGACCAAGGCCACATTCGTCATTCGTTAGGAATAGGGATCTGGCATAGGCGTTTTGCCCGATCATCGATACCCCATTCCTTTATAGCGAATAAAATATCTATAAACAAGAAATAAAACAAAAACAAAAAAGAAAACAAAAGAAAAACAACCGCTCAGTTGAATTATAAACGGTGTTGTACGGGGCCAAATTTCAGCGTGTTCCGTCTTTGCTGTTGTTTTGTTTTAAAAAGTCTAGTATAACATGGAGGTTGGGTACTCAAATGTTTATTGTACTAATATCTAACAAGTATATGACAAGAGATAGAAATAAAGTTACTTAACAATACGAAACATGACAGTATGCTATTTTACTTCCGGATTCCTGATTATGGACATGCGTTTAACAGGTATTGAATGACGCCGATATACTTTAATATTATTATCGCTCAAGAGCCTAAGTTTGCCTATTACAGGGCATTTCTGGCTTCTAATATTATATCAGCTATAAATAACACTCTAGACCATCGGGTGGTTTGAATGTTGAGTAAATTAAACAATGTCCGCTATATCTGCCTATAATTAATATTCTAACCCATCGGGTGCATGGTATGGACATTGAGTGAATTAGACAATGTCCGTCATATCTGAATCTAATTAACTCTCTAGATTATCGGGTGGTTTGGATATTAGACATTATCCGCCATATCTGCGTTAAACGCCTATATAGATATGCCGGGCCATGAGCCACTCTAGGCGACAATAAAAAGCCCAACAGCTAATCGTATATTAAAAGTCTAATTTGGATTAAAAGTATAAATACAAATTTAATTGCATCTACTGAGTGAAACCCGACACGAATAGCAGCAATAGTAGCAAACGAGACATAAATTTCAAATCCAAACTTTATCTACAAATGGGAGAATAAGGTAAAATAAGGACACATGTCAAAACGCAACACAATTTTGTAATCTGTGTTCCGGATTGCTTCTGTTGCAGGTGTCGGTAATAGGGTGTGGTACTGATAGACAAGGGGATCGAAACTTAAGAAAGACATCTAAAGTTCACTATCTATACGCGTGTTCAAGAGCTAGAAGGTCACGTGGTTAAATTCGAGAGCTACTGATTGTTTAATATAGCATTATCCACGTCATCAAAATGTGAATAAAGAACTATATTTATTCGGTTTCTATTACAGAAGACATGGCAACCGGCTAATATTGCGAAATAAATACATCGATAACATATTTTGTAATCTAGAATATGTTAAAACCTGTCATATTTAAAATATGGAGGTATCACCGTTGGACATATCACGCCAGCATATTATATAGTGAGAGTAAACTGTCATGGAAATATATAAAGGGGTCAGGTCTTAAGGCCACCTGCAGATTTCGTCATGGTCGCGAGATGTAAATAGGGTAAGGTTTAGGTCTAGGGTTAGCGCTAGTCCTGTTTACATCTCGTGACCTTGACGAAATCTGCAAGTGGCCTTAAGACAAGACCCCTTTATATATTTCCATGAACCTTATGTGTACGTCATCCAATGTTTAGACCTAACCTATATAATCCGTTGCCATGGAAATCTATTATTTTATGTACATTAAGCCACTCAACCTCTAACTGCAAATCTCAAAGCTATATGGTAGATTGTATAATAATACCGGGAAGTAGTGACTGTTACGACCAATTGACAGAACGTAAATCACATTCGGTCACTGAAATCGTGTGCAACGGAGTCCCACATCTAATTTACAAGCGCGTGTCTGTGCTGTACAAATGGCCGACCTTTACTGAAGGGCCATGATGGTTTGCCTACTCGAACATCTAACAGCAAATTTGATCCTTACTTTGTAATTTTTCAGAAATCGAAAGATGGTCTGGTATGGAGGACAGGTAACATTAATACATCTTTCAGTGTTCTTAGGCCTTTACAATGTTTACATAGCCCCCCCCCCCCATTCTGGATGGGGCACAGTATTTGGGGATATTCACATAGGTGGTGACTGGCCTCAAAGTGAACGGAAGGAACACATCAATAATCCAGATACTTATGCTGTTTGTTTGACAATGAAGTTTTTTGTCCCTAGTATAGTAGATAGTCATGTTAATTACGGCAACCCATAATCCAAGCAGTGACATTCTTGCAATGTCTGTTTTATTTCGTTTTGTCCACAGGTCTGTTTGGCCTCCTGCACGACCGTTATATTGGAGTTTTAGCATGCTGTACTGTAGAATGTTCTCGTTGTTGGACACAATACATTTTATTTATTAGTGTTGACTGTTTTCGGAAATTATATCCGGATTATCGCCCTTATTGTTAGATTTTTGACCTTTTAACTCATGACACAAACTGGCAGATTGAGACGACCTCCCCCATGACCGGTTGCATGTTTCCGTGCTTGATGGAGGGGCTATCAGGGTAGTCTCGGTCACCCAAAACCTCTTAGTCTTCAACGTATTTAGGGTCTGGGACCGTTGTCAATATTTGACGAAAAGTCCATTGCCCATGTGTAACCGGGAGTTTGGTTTTTAATGTGGTTATTATCCAGTATCTTCTGGCCAAGTCAAGTAAGAGTTGCGCCCCTTCCCGCAATAAATCCCGTAATTCTTGCGTTAATATAAACAAACATAAATCGTGACGACGAATTAGGATTAATTTTTAAAAAAACATAGATATGTTCCATGAAGAGAGAAATTTTACAATAAAAAATTAAGAGCGCTGGATATTTGAAATGACATTCTTGAATTAATTGTTTTGGTACTAGTTACCTCCCTTAGACTTTGTTTAGAATATTTTTCTGGATGATAGAGACTACTATCAGGGGAGAACCTGTCTAGTCATTTGGCGGACACAAAAACAAGACACACTCATGTATTCGTTGGAGTACACGTATACGGAACATTGGCCGTTGAACTTCGATGAAGAATAAACGGAAACACCGGTTCGCGGACAAAATGTCCACACAGGACACTTTATACACAAGTCTGCATTAGCCCAGTTGGTGCAGGAGTGTAAGTAGTTAAACCCCATTTTGATTGTCATATCACTAGTTTGGCTAAACCTCCCTACATTACGAATGGTAGAAATACGTCACGTGATATGTCGGTCTTATCTACTTTTAATATCACGTATCTAATATACGTCAATAAGCAAAATGATAAAAATTGTGAAAGATGATAATTGATATCGTCAGTGAGATATATATTATAGACAGATGGTGTAAGCTCAGGATATAAATCCAGATACAAGGTAGAGTACACTCATTAAGTGAAATCCCCTGAAAGATACCAAATGGAGATTGTAAGCCATTTTTATTCATTATTTGATTTTAGACATACCGATTTCTGTTTAGGGTGACATCCAGTCAACCATGACGAGGATATGTACCTAGCTTGTGTAATATCTTTATCTCTTGGTATCCCCTTGTCATTGGTGCAGAACGGAAGGCCTGACAAGGACAGCTGTCTAGTCGTTCGGATGGGACGAAAAACCGAGGCCCCGTGTACACATTGGCTTGCACGTAAAAGATCCCTTGACAGTTGGAGTTCCATATAAGAGTGGGTCATAGTGTCGCTACCCGGGCAACCCCCCCCCCCCCGTGGCACACTGTATAACGTATGCCCGTATACACTAGCACAGTTTAGGAGCAGTAGGACGCTAAACCCCATTTCATTTTATTTCATTTCTGCCTCCACAAAGCGGTATAGTGCGACAGACTCATTTGGAATATAGGTCCTGCAATAAGAGATGTGGACATATTGGAGAAAGAAACATATGTAATATTTACTTAGTTTGCATTGTGTCGTGGCAAATAAATGATTGTAGCCGTGGTGATATAGATGTAGTATTATAATAAGTTTCAAGGAAATTTAACTGTTAGTGCTTGTCAAGTGTGCGAGGCTTTGGCCATGGTCGTAATAACCCGTATATGAACATATTACGACGAGACACCGTGGCCCGGTGAGTATATGACACTATATGTATTCGGCCTGTGTCTATCTATCTATCTGTGGGCTGGTGACAATCAAGTATGCCTGATATATGAGCTATTTCTTATGACTGTCTCATTTTTAACAAAGAACCTGTAATAAGAGATGTGGAAATATTGGAGAAAGAAACACATATAATATTTACTTAGTTCACATTGTGCCGTGGCCAATAAATGAATGTAGGAAAAAAAGTTCATGGATATTTAACTGTTAAAGCATGTCAAGTGTATGGAAGTTTGGCCATGGTCATAATAACGAGTATATAAATAGGGCGGAAAGAAACCACCGTGACTCGGATCCCGGTGTTGGCCGAGTTAATTCCTCGGTATTGCATGATAGAACACCTAACGACAGGGCGTCTGGTCATTCCCGTGTATATCATTTACTATTTAAATAGGAATAGGAGTAGTCGTATAGCGTCGCTGTCCGGGCTAAATGTTCCCAAGAGCACACCGTAAGGTGTTTGTCCGTCTTCATTACCCCGGATGGTGCAGGGAATTAGCCGTTAAGACCCATTTCATTTCATTTTCATTAACATATTGTTGTATAAACGGATTTAAGACTGATTGAAATTGTGTAAATTACCAAGTGGGACAAGATATACGAAAACAAGGGGGAAAGTAACAGATCTATTCAGAATAAACAAAAGGATCAGTCGACCATATCACACTGGTGGGCTTAGAATGTGCGGGAGAGCCATCGCACATTGTCCTTATTACAAGAGAGGCTAAGCTCACACGGCCTTTGTTTGGAAAGATTCACACCAACGCTACCTGCACTTTGCTTTGTTGAAGTACAATGTACTAATTTTTTTACCTTTCATTCGATAACTATGTCATTTGGGTAAACGCGAACCCGTAAAACCACGCCCACCATTGTATATGTTGTATACCGACCTATATCTAATCATGGTATGTTATGATCAAGTGACTCGCGCGGCAGTCTCTTGCTCTAGCTAAGCGTTACCCCAGGACGATAAAAGAGCAAGAGAGGGACGATAGCTGACTGTCTTCTTCCCATAACTAGATAGGTAGGCTAATCATCATTTTACAATAAATAGTCTTGCAAGTTGACAATTTCCAACCCGATAAGCTTTATCAGAATGTATAATACTATGCTAAATAAATCTTCTGTTTATTTTCAGACAGTCAGTATGCTGTTGTTACTTTCGGTTTTTATATCACTGACATGTCAGTATGCTGACGCAGCTGGTGGTAGGTTTACAAATTGTTCACTAGTTTTTACATATATAAAATCACACATGTTTTTACTAGAGATAAATGCTATAAGATGGATATTATTGTAAATCTAAATATACTATGATTAATACAGTAAATTGGTGCTGACAGTTATAATAATTTGTAATAAATGTGGACGAGAAATTGTCCATGACGTCATCGCAGCCATCTTGGAATTGTGATGCTAAATCAAAAAATTGCTGCCCCATGTTCATAGGAGAGAGAGAGAGAGAAAGATGGGGTTTGACGTCAACTCGACACAGTCTAGATCATTTCGGGACTAACACATAGTTCAATTATATTTCAATAATTCGCTTGCGCATAGGGTCTTTAGCAGCGGGAAGAAATCGGAGGACCCGGAGAAAACCCGCGAGGATGGACAGGCGACCCTACTCCTTGTCACGTACAACCGGGAAATCGAAACCACGCCATATGACTCAATGACAGACCTGATAATACAGCGCGCACGTGCTAACCATTCAGCTTTTCACCCCCCCCCCCCTATGGTCATAGGAAAAAGCATGCCAAGTTTCATGTCGATCGTGCATGGATTAACGAAGGCTTTGTTTTCGAAGAGCGTCGCCCACGAGAACAACAGCAACAACAACAAAAAGATGAGTACCGATTGTAGATCAGTTCCTTGTCCAATAATACCCATTACGAGAACTTATTTTAACGTTGATTGGATATATTATCTTCGATAGATATGTGTGTCCAATCATCATATACAATACGTTTTTAGCAAAACAGCAACGGAAATCTTATCCCCCATTGCTTAAAATATCTAAATCATCTTTCATTTCTGTAGCCGCCAGTTTGAGATTAACAGGAGGTGGATCAAGGTATGGTTTTGTAGAAATGAACATTGGTGGGGTTTGGCGACCGGTTTGTCCTGGAGATAATTATAACCAGTACAACGATGGAGAAATACCGAGTATTATTTGTAAACAACTAGGATATGTATCTGGTATATATTATGATATGGGGATGAAGTCTACTGCTAACTCATGGTGGTACAATCAATTTGAAAAGGAGTCTTACATGGAACCTTCCGTTCCTAACTTGGATGCTTACGTTAAAGGAAGGTGGCTAAGCGTCACTGCAACGGGAGAGTTTTCTTATTGCCCTAGCTCCAGTATTGCTGTGAACTGCCGAGGAAAGGGTAAGCTACATTGTTCTAACATAGAGTAGAATCAGGTGTTCATACTCTGCCTTGTGTAATGCCCATCAGTACTTTTATTTATAGAGAACCTCAGAAACCAAGACACAAATAGAGACAAGTCAAAACTATGTAATCTGACGCTTTCGGTCAAAATGGATACGACCATCTACAAGGGTCTCCATGGAATTTACAAATTAAAAAACGAATACGCATAATATTACTTTGTTTGAAGTCCGCTTACGGTACTTACACTGTGTGCCTACAATTACAGTGGACTCTGTCACTTCCAACATCTGAATATTGCGCCATTCTGTAATAACCGTCATCGTTTTTATGTCCCGATTTATTTCCTTATTACTTCAATCAAAACAGTTTTGAGTAGTCCGGATTTTGAATATTCCGAATTTTGGTTGAATAAACATTGGATAATCCGGCCTTCAATCCTTGGTCCCGTCACGCGATTTGTGTTGAATCAAGACTGGATAATCCGACCTTCAATCAGTTGGTGTCAACCGACAAGCAATCACCAATCAATTATCTGTGAGAATATAACACCGTGTGTCTGTCTTTGTGGATTGCCTCTATAATTTAATAATCTATTTTAAGAGATAGCGCTTGGTATCTGATTTGAGTTTCACACATCAATACACACTCGGCAAACCTCGGCAGATTCACTTTGAGAACAGACACGGAGCTTGTTCACTGACATTTTAATTCCTAAATCAAAGAATTTAGTCCAGAAAACTACTATACTTCGAATATTCTGAGAAGTATTTATTCTACTTCTATTTTATACAATTGAAAGGGTTTATTTAGATTCTTTTGCGCAATATAGCCCGGTTGTAGCTGACGTGCCATAAACAACATTTCATTCATTCATTACTTAGTTTTTGTATGTATTTTGTAAAACGGATAACAGCCATTCGGGAAAGCGATCTTAAAGTTCTGCGTGTGAGAATTAAGAGTAAGCAAATCCTGCAGTATTACATGTTTATGTTACAGTATATCTAGAAAGTGCTTCTGCAAACTCTGTTACCATGGAGCGAGGATTTGGTTATGTTGTTGTCCAGATGCCTTCTGGACCTATGTACCTCGAAGACAGCGGGGTAGGGGATCTTGATGTAGGTGTGATTTGTAAGGAGCTTGGTTATGATGTCTCATATAAAATAAACCCAGATTCCACGACAGGATATTCAAGGAACTCTGATTATGGGATGTTGGTAAAGGACTATAACTGTGTTGGAACCGAAGCTTCACTACAAGAATGTCCTTCTGTTGATATGCAAAGTGGAACTCAAAAAGCGGCAGTAGTTTCCTGTTCAATTACAAGTAAGAACTATTTTATTCATTCTATCTCAAATGAAACGAAAACATGAAATGAAATAAAATAGTCTAATGAAGACTGGCATACGCCATATACGGTGCTATAGGAGACGTTTTGTCATGACAGCGACACTATGCCCTACTACTATTTCGAATTACAACTGCAAATGGTCGTTTAGGTACAGGCCAACGTATACACGAAACCTCAGGTTTTTCGTGCCATTCAAACCACTTGACACAAGTATATCAGTAAACTCGTCCTTCACAACTGACAAGGAGAGACTACGCTGTGGAATTTAACGGCCAAATACGGTAGCGGCCAGGAATGCATCCGCGACCTCAAGGTAAGCAAGCCAGCGTCTTACACACTGTGTCGAGACGATTTTCCAAATGTTTCCGAGTCTTCTGAATTTCTTGATCAACAAAATAAACGTCTTTTTTAATTTTAAACCGATACATAATCATCACAGTGAAACTGAAATAACATTGTCCAACTAGATACAGTCACAATTGACTAAAGAGAATATTTTTCCATTTACAGATACAATAGCAGATTATACGGTACGTTTGGCAACCAACAATGTGGTTGAAATCTACCACCAGAGCACATGGGGAGTTATCTGCGGTGAAACATTTAGTAAAACCGACGCCAAAGTCATTTGTGCCGCTTTAGGGTTTGATGGTTCTGAGATATTAGCAGTTAATTTACAGGAATTGTACACAGTATGGATTACGAGCTTAAATTGCGGTGATTCGGATAGATCCCCAGCTGCTTGTCCCGTGACTTTGTGGACAGTTAATGATAATATCTGTTTATCTATAGCTGCTGTTAGATGTTATGATCAAAATAAAGGTGGGTGCCAAAAGTCGAGATTGTATTTCAACTGAATATTTCATCCTGAATGGAAGTTTTGGCGGTTTTGTTAATATTGTAAAAATTTTCAATTGTTCATCTGATTATAAGGAATTTCATCACATCGATGTAGTATAGGCTTTGCAAATTTTTAAAGGCATAAGAAAAGAACATTATTGAATTTCAAAGTCTTCATGATCGCAAATTTCATGATATGTATGGTGTCTACACAGATTTGTCAAACTGAACGAGCAAATGTTAAAAAATCGTCTTCAGAATGTCTAGACGGATTTCTTGACATTTGGTAAGAGTTGGTTAAAATGAAATGGTTAGATCCAATAGGGACAGGTACACACAACGGGAAGTGGTGGTGAGGTCGCGGATGGGACAAGTCCAGTTGTTTTAGAGCTAGCACGAACGACATTCCTAACACGACACGCTAATGATAGAACTGGAAGCTAAAGGAATAGATTCCTGATTAATGTACTATCATCACATTACTTCGGCCATTATGAGACAAACATTATGTTACTGTTTATTTTGTATAGTTACGTGTGCAATACGAGGTAGGCGTATTTTTCGCGGAGAGCGGCGGTCCACCAATACTTCCAACTGCCAAAGAGACGTTTACACACGCCATTCAAATGTTTGCTAGTGCATTTTCTCAGCACAAATATTAAAAGTGCATATAGAATCCACGTTTTAGTATATGGATATCGTAAGTTGTATAACTATCCGCTTGAGCGTAACCTAACTTCTATTTTCTTCAAGTCAAATTGTACTTTTATGTTTATTTACACAGATGGCGTTTATCGTTTTGTAAATGGAGGAGGAAATATTCTTGGTAACCATTTCGTGGAAAGAAGTAGTGAGAACCAGAAAGGCCTGCTTGTTGTTGATGATATCGACCAGAATGCTGTTTGTGTTAATCTCGGGTATAAAGGTGGGAGTATGTACGATTTACCCAGTCCTGGATTACTACCAACTAACCAAGCTTATTGGACAGCTACAGCAAAAGATGGTTCTTCATTTTCATCCATAGAAAGTTCTGTTAATAATGATTGGCAACGCGTAACAGGAAAGGTGTTGGGTAATCTGAAGATAACAGTCTGCTACAACACAGGTTGTTAATCTTAATCTATCATTTAATTTAGTTAATGCCATTACTATGAAATATTGAAGCACAAAGAATAAACAAACACCACTTTACTATATATAAGAAACCAAGTATGACGTCATCGCAGCCATCTTGGAATTTTCACGGAGATCTTTTAATATCTCTGTTACAAATGACTGTTTCGACACGTGACGTCACATCACGCGGCGTAAATCATTGGCTCAATAGCGCGTGCATTGTTTACACTAAATAAGAAATGATTTTTACCTACAAACAATTTAAACGTCTTTATTTATTTTTCGAATAAATGAAAAAAAAAATGTTTTAGAATTTAATTTGACAGAAGAAAAAAGTTAATATTTGGGACTCATTAAGTCGCGTCGATGTCATCCTTACCAATGATTGTAGCGACCTAGCGAAAATTCACTGCTGATCAGTGTGCCCCCTTTTCGAAGTGCCTGCTCCCGGTCCACAAATACCATCACAAAAGGTTTTATTTTTACCAAAGAAATTTAAAGGGCATATGAATCTATAACATGTATGTAATATTGTGGTGTTTTATATTTGACAGCTTACCTACAAGGAAATGGTTATGCCGGTTTAGTTAAGTATATAGTGAACGGAAACCAAGGACTGATAAGTAAAGCATCATTAAACCAGGTCGAAATCAATCTCATCTGTTCACACTTGGGATTTAGTAAAGGTGGCAGTACTGTACCTGCAGCGATGTTTAAGTCAGATTATGATAATGGTGATATATATGACCTGAACTGTGACCAGACGCCTAAAAATTTAAGCACCTGCACCACAACTCGAGTTACTGATACAACGAACATCAAAGTTGCTGCAATTTCTTGTCGACTCGATAACGCATTACCAGGTAAGATAATCACATAGCATCGATCCTTAGCAGCAACTAGATAGTACAATACTGTCATTATAGTTTAAACTGTGTGGTCCAATACAAGGAGGATGGGCTTATATAAGGTCCCCTAAAGAAGTTGATACTTATAATCTCTTTCACGGTTTGCAGTCGCTGGAGGTTTGGTACAATCAATAATATATTCTGGAAAGCACCATTTACAATCAGTTTTTCAAAATTGTCTTGCATGCCAGTGCACCTAAGAGTAGAGACCCCTAAATGTGCCAGACTCAGCGCTCTCCGACTCAAGTCAGCCCCTGGTGCACTATTAAGTACAATCACATTCCAAGTCATTAAAACGATAAAATAGTATATTATTAATTAGTCCCATATTTTAGCCGTCGAATCCATAATAAAGAACAATCACATAAATACACAACAATAAAGTAGCAGATACCATTATATTCTAATCCGTCGAATTCACCTTCAAAGGCAATAAATACAAATTGGTAAATTAAGGTAATAATAAGCACATTAAGGATTCCCCGAATTTGGAAATAGGAATAAGGCTGTAGTAATTAACAGGTGATAAGAAAATGAACCTACAATGGTTACTGTCTGCTTAAAAATAACTATTTTCAGATACTTATATTATAAATAAAGCCTTAATATTTCAGTTGGAGACATGGGTATTTTCTTAAACAAAAAGGGTATTGTTCATGTAAACAAAGATGAATTACCAGGACGAATATGCAACAGTGATAGTTGGAATGATAAAGCGGCATCCGTCGTGTGTAAACAGCTAGGATTTGATACAGCTATACTCTCCACAGAACGTACCGAATACGACAATGGGAATCCTCCTGTTTGGTTTAAATCTGTCACATGCCAGGGAACAGAATCTTCCATAAAAGACTGCACGTTGGTTCCTATTTCTGAGACCGACCAAAATTGCGAAAAGGTTGCAGCAGTGATGTGCTATAACATGGCTGACAGTACGTACCAGTTTTACTTTTATTTTTAGCTTAAATAAAAAATGGGAGATTGTTTATATTAAATTGTACATTATGATTAAATAACATTATGTCTAAAACTCTAATGAAATCGTCTTCAAAAACGATTAATTGTTTTCCAGAGGCAACATTTAGTTTGGTGGACGGAAATTCTAGATTTGGTAGAGTAAAGATAACACGGGATGGTAAAGAGGGTTTCTTGTGTTTGGCTAAAATGGATGAAGAAGAAGCTGCTACTATCTGTAAGGAACTAGGATTCCAAGACGGTGACGAATGGTCCATGGCGCCTGTGGTGGCAGCCGGTACCTCTTGGTGGTCAGTTTCTACTAATTGTGGTGGTGATTCAGAAGTCATTGAAAGTTGTGAAGGACAAAATTGGGAATATGTGACACCTTCAAACCCTTCTACCAGTGACTGCTCCTGGAAAACGGCTGCTGTTTATTGTTACAGTAGAGGTATTTGAGCTGAATGTAATACTCATAATAACTTTCAAACATTTCCACATGTTTGGCCGTATGTATAGTTTCAACTGAATTTTAACAATTGTTTTCATATTATTTTGCATTTTCTAGCTGTAGTGTATGCGCTATATATTTTCAAATAACCAAGACTATTAAATATATAATCGTTTTAAAGAACGTAATTACGTATATAAAATCGACAGAGGACACTAATATAGATATTTTATTGGAAATCAGACTTGACGTCATAATTATTATTCTATATAATTATTTCCTTCTAGTCCGTTTGGAAACTGCACCGTATCTATCCTATGGAGTTGTGAGAAACTCGCTAACCAAAGCTAGATTTAGCTCTAACTCATTTGGTGAAAAGGAAGCTACGATTGGATGTAAAGAAATGGGATTTCCTAAAGGAGGTAAAGTGTTTCCCTCAGGAACCTTCAAGAAATCAAAGACACCCATTGCAATTCGCTGTGCTGGTACTGAACAGTCGTTATTGGATTGTCCTGTGATTAATGAAGTAACTGATGAGAATTTGTTTGCTTCTGTATCTTGTACTACGGACGAAGTTGTTCCAGGTAAGTACACTGAATTCAGCATTCCAAGACTTAATCAATTGCCATCAATCTGCGTTAATAACATTTCAAACCATTTATAATTCATGATTACTGCACAAATAACCGAAATTATTATGAAGTTCATCCATTAATACAAAATTATATACAATCATTTTTAATGATTTCTTTTTAATTACATAGCTGAAGGTTCAATGAAAATTAACGATGATTATCGATTGCTGATTGTGAGAAACGGTGTTTGGGGCGGCCTTTGTGCTGAAAGCTGGACAACCAACGATGCTGCTGTTGTGTGTCGACAACTCACGGGATCTGGGGGCAAGGCAACAAAGCGGGGCAAGTCAGATGTGAAATATGCCACATTTAAGGAACCTTGGACATGCAGTGGTAGCGAGAGTAAATTAAGTGATTGTGATGTGGATTCATCAGCAATAGATCAAGCTTGTGCTGATTATGCTACTGTGTATTGTGATAATCAACAGGTTACAGGTTAAACAAAATTTCCTTATGTTTTATGTTTAATGCCACAAATGCTATGTAAAATTAATCATAATTTGTGTATGAAATACCCACAAATGAAATACCTGATATTTAATGTAAACTAACTATTGTTAAGATTGTTGTGCTTCCAGTATACTCGGTCACAAGCATCAGAGCAATATCTCTATTCAGCAACACTTTCGTTTTGAATTTGCCAGTTACTTGAAACGACACAGCTGAATTCTCTATTTTTCTAAACCTAACAATGATTCCTGTAACCGTGTGGCAAACAAATATAAAACAAATCATTGGAATTGATTAACAACACGTTTAAAATATTTTTCATACCTAGAATCTCAAAAAGTAACTTTTGAGTTTTCCTGGTATATATTGAGCCACGTAGCCCAGTTGCTCAGTTAACAAATACAAATATTAGTTGTCGATCTAGAACAATTAATACCACTTCTCCGTTTTCTTGTCCTTATATATTTAAACAATTTATTGCAAAATAACCAATTTTACTACCAGTAACTACCAGATAACTCATTTAAATTTTAATGTTCTGTTTATACAGCGGAAGATAAAATGGTATATAACCTGCCACCAGGAGTCGTAATTAATCAAGCCACTAGTAGTAGTCCAGCAACAGGTACCTTATCTTCTATATTTACCCCAAACGGACCTCCTGAAAACGTTGTACCACATTTATTACTGTAGTTCTAGCTTCTCTTGTAAAGTGGATCCCTCAGTCCATGCTTCATCTGTAAAATAATACCAGTGATCCCTCTTAACCTTGTTTTATATTATCAATTGACGGGCAATTGATTGTATAATACAGATATACATGCATATAATAGGACGACTCTGATTGGATCATTTGTTATCAATTACATTTTCATACATTCCAGCCGCGAGTACACCAGTCTCGAATGCTCCAGTCACTAATACCCCAGTCTCTAATGTACCAATGACTAGTATACCAGTTACCGGTCAAACAGGAAAAGGAACTAATGACGGTAATGGCTCAAATCCAACTCGAACAGGTAAGTTCTTTTCATTGAGAACTATAGCTTCTGTTTTTAATATTATTTCAGTTTCATTTTACTCGTATTAAGATACATTATTATACATCCCAGTCGCGAATACACCAGTCTCGAATGTACCAGTCACTAATACCCAAGTCTCTATACGTACCAGTTACTATTACCCCAGTCTCTAATGTATTAGTCACTATTACCCCAGTTTCTAATGTACCGGTCACTAATACCCCAGTCTCTGATGTACCAGTCACTAATACTCCAGTGTCTAATGTACTAGTGACTATTACCCCAGTCTCTAATGTACCGGTGACTATTACCCCAGTCTCTAATGTACCGGTGACTATTACCCCGATATCTAATGTCCCAGTGACTATTACCCCTGTCTCTAATATATCAGTCACTGATACCCTAGTATCTCATGTACCAGTCACTAATACCCCAGGCTTCAATTTTACCAGTACAACAGGGCGGGGTACTATGATGGCAATGGCGCAAATCCAACGCGAACATGTATGTACTATTTATTGGGTATTTCAAGTTTTGAATAATTCTGAAATCATATCATCTTGTTCAATATTGTCCTTGTGAATATAACAACCCTTTTACCCTGGTTAGAACGGGCTAAATATATGTGTACACGTTTTAAGGTACAAATATCGTTACGGGCTGTCTCGCAACCGCAATTCACCCATAAATCTATTGTAACGTGGACCTGTTATATTGTAACGGAACGCTATTGAACCGGACAACGCCACATTGAGGTCATATTTAGTGGCGGGGTGAGTGAGGACCTGGTATCGATCCCTGTGTTGGCCGATAAAGCTCCTCTAGATTATTCGGCGTGTTTCCTCTTGGCAGTGTAGCCGGGCGTAGGGCTCGACAATAAACATGCCCTAGTCGTTCGAATGCGACGAACACCTTAGGTTAAGGGCATGGTGACTCTCATAGCACACAGTAGGACGTTAAACCCCGTTTCATTTCAATTGCTATGTAAATGTATTGTCCTTTTAGTTGTATTACCCCTCTCGGTTAATTGTGTAAAAAATATTGCATAATTCTGTGTTTCAGCTACAGGATTCTGGTTTATGACGATGATGATGGTGACGATAATGACATATCTCCAGAAATATATTTTGTTATAATTTAAAATGTTTATAAAAGTATGTCCTGGTGCGTTATTTGTATTCTGTTCATTGTAAGGCAATTTGTTGTATTTTAAATAATTTGATTTGTTTGATGTAAATATTGTAACTTTTCCAGTATGAATAATCTGTGAATCTTTTTATGAAAAGAATCTATGATATATACCTCATCAAAATATACTCTTCATTTTTAAAATGTGCTTATAAACGATAAGAGATACTTATCGAAACGTCGTGCTATATGTGTATAAACCAGTGATTGTTTTCCATATAACTTGTGTTGTCTTTTTTATGTTTAATGACTAATAACACCGCTTGACTCTATATGACATGCCTTATAATCCAAAGCGCACGCGTTAGACCCCGATCCCCGGGTAAACAACTAATAGAACCTACTATAAAAGGCTAGCTTACCAACGAAGGAGTTCCGTTTTCGATCCAGGTTTTGACCCAGAAAATTCATCGATGACGGGTCTTTTTTAGTCCAGTTGGTGCAGAAATCGATTGCTTCACATTTATCAATGATTTTAAAGTTTAATTTGCTGCTGAAATATTGTGAGCTAATTAACGCGGCACGGAGTCACTCCACTCAGTGATAGCAACCAAGCAAATATTTACTGCTGATAAGTTTGTGTCTACTGTACATGTCGGGAAGTTGTGGATATTTGTAAGAGGCGCGTCTTATCCCAACTGTTAAACAATACCGGCCTCATGTCTCATATTATCATTTTATTTACTTCGAGCACGCGTGGATATTATTTACTATGGCCACGTGTAAATATTTTTGTTTTGAATTTCTACTATCGACGGTATATCCTAATCTAATCAAGTCAGCTAACCACACGATAAATATGTGTGAGTATGGCAATATTTTATTCATTGATCGCCTTTAATATAATTATACTCTTCAAAAAAAGTAGGGGATATTGAAATGCAAATACCTATGCAGGTTGTGATATGATAAATAGTCATGGACACTTGACATGCTTTGAGAGAATGTTCACAGATGAAGAACTTATCAACCCAACAGAACCACCGAGTTGCATGTGCGACACGCGATAGCGCCATACACGTGGGAGGGGTTGATGAAAACAGCCGCTTGCTGGTTTATCCTATCCATGTTTGCTTTCCTATCGGTTCTTGCATAAGATTTACTGTTTAGCGTATCCTTGCTTTATTGTGTTACGTTTATTTTGATCGGGAGACGTGTTCGTGTACGTCAACGTCAACCAACAACACTGCAAGAATTGGCCGTGGCACTGCAAGAGGAGTGGGTCAGATTGCCCCAAATCGTGATTGGACGGTTGATTAGGAGTATGCCACGACGAATTGCTGAATGTCGGAGGTTTGGTGGAGCAATTACTCATTATTAAGACAAAAATCAAAAACGTCCATTTTCACTTTTCACAGTGTATCTCTTTGCGAGTGAAATGGGGTCGTCAAGTAAGCCGCCCATATGAACTGTTTATGTTCATGTGTAGGCAATTGGCCTGTTATTAACATACACTAATTATCTCTAATAAAAACAGCAGTGCATTTCCGCAGTTTTGTATTGTTTCTGAATATCCCCTACTTTTTTTGAAGAGTATATTTATGGTGGTTTGATTTGAACTATTCTTATATAGATTATATAAATAAGAGAATAATACACTATATTGATTCAGTTTCTATTACCAGAGAAAAGACAGGAAATAGTTTCAACATAATAATATTACGTACAATAGATAACAGACCAGTCTCTTTGAATATTCTCAAATATTGTTCGTACAGTTTGGGCACAAATACGTGTAAGATGGTCTGATTCAGCGTTCTTACAAAAATATATATTATGAGTAGTTCAATAAATTTCATACACATTGTATGTACTGAGATTAGCTTCACATATGAAATGAAATGAAATGAAATGTTTTTTTTAACCTCCTACTGTTCTGCTCCGACTGGGCTAATGAAGACGGGCATGCGCCATACCCGAATTCAACTGCCAAGGGATGTTTGACGTGCATGCCAGTGTGTACACGGGATCTTGGATTTTAGGCCCTCTGTTTTACACCTCTGACAAGGGGGAACCACGCCGAAAAATCCCGATGAACTTTGTCAGCCAACGCAAGGATCGAACATGGGACCTCAAGGTTAGGGAGCCAACATCTTACCTACTGCTCACTGAGTCACCGTGGCTCCTGTATGTGAAAGAAGTTTAAACATTGGTTGACCATAGCTTGGTATTGTCTGTTTTATTAAATGACCTGTAAATAATGTGTCAATGTGCAACAAATGTGTCTGTCATTGAGTCAATTGGCGTGGTTTCGATTCAACGATTGTACGTGACAAGGAATAGGGGGTTTTCCGGGTCCTCTGGTTTCCTCCCACAGCTAAAGACCCCTACGCACAAGCAAATTATTGAACTAAAATTGAACCATTTGTTAGTCCCAAAATGACCTAGTTTGTGTCGAGTGAACGTTAAACTTTCTCTGTGTAACAAAAGTGTATATTACCAGATGATCAAGACCACATCCGTTAAGAATAGGGATCTAAGATAGACGTTTTTCTCGTTCCTCAATCTCCCATTAATTTACAGTGAATAAAATATCTATTATCTATTTACAAAAAAGAAGCAAAAAAAAAACCAAAAAAAACCCCGTCTTGTACTGGTCCGCTCAGTTGAATTAAAACCGGTGTTTTATGGGGCCGAATTTCAGCGTGTTCCGTCTTTGCTGTTGATTTTCTGTTTTACATATTTAGTATAAAATGAAGTTTGCGTACTCAACTGTATATTGTACTAATATCTAACAAGTATATGACAAGAGACAGAAATAAAGTTAGTAAACAATACGTAACATGAACAGTATGATATTTTACTTCCGGATTCCTGATTATGGACATGATATTAACATGTATTGAATGGCGCCGAAATATTTAATATTATTATCGCTCAAGAGTCTGAGTTTGCCTATTATATCAGCTATAATTAACTCTCTAGACCATCGGGTGTTTTGGATATTGAGTCAATTAGACAATGTCCGCTATATCTGCATATAATTAATACTCTAGCGCATCGGGTGGTATGGATATTGAGTGAATTAGACAATGTCCGCGATATCTGAATCTAATTAACCTCTAGATTATCGAATGGTTTGGAGATCAAACAATATCCGTCATATCTGGGTTAAACGCTTAAATAGATATGCCGGACCAAGCTAAAATATTTCGAAAACGCGACAACAAAAGGCCGGACAACACAATTCTACACAATTCTCGGTAAGAATAGTAGCAATAGTAGCAAATGAGACATAATTTTTAATGTCAAATTAGGTGCCGGTAATAGGGTGGAGATCTAAATTTAAGAAAGACACCCAAATTTCACCAATCTATACGCGTGTTCAAGCTAGAAGGCCATGGGGATTAAATCGAGTGTTAGCCTACTGATTGTTTAGTATAGCATTACTCACGTCATTAAAATGTGAATAAAGAACTATATTTATTCGGTTTCTATTACAGAAGACATGGCAACCGGCTAATATAGCGCAATAAATATATCGATAACATATTTCGTAATCTAGAATATGTTAAAACCTGTCATATTTAAAATATGGAGGTATCACGTTCGGGCGTGTCACGCCAGCATATTATATAGAGACAGTAAATGGGTCGTGAACATTCGTTAGGTAAGCCTGCAAGAGGTAAGACATGTTTTTGTGAAAACTATTTTTACAGCCCCCAGTGAATTTTTACAGGCCCGAGTTCGTTAATTAGATTTACAGAATAAGAGACGAAATACAAAAAGAGTAATAAATTGGCCACAGGTTACGTGTTATTCAATTTTAAAACTCAAAAACAGACGAAAATGAATTACGGAAAATGACATTCAAATATCGGTATCGATAATAAATTACTGGTGTGTTACTTAATCACTACGGCGGGCAGCGACCGTGCCTGAAAATATCCCAGATGTTTACTATTAACATGCGTTTTGTTATTGAATGACGTAAACGTAAAGTTCATGGAAATATATACTGGGGGTCTGGTCTTAAGGGCACCTGCAGTTTTCGTCATGGTCGCCATCCGCGCTCTAATTGCAAACCCCAAGTTATATAGTAGATTGTCTAATAATGCCGCGAAGTATAGTGACTGTTACAACCAATATTGACTGAACGTTACATATGTCACATTCGGTCACTGAAATTGTGTGCAAGTCCCAATTCCAATTTACAAGCGCGTGTATGCGTCGTATAAATGACAGATATTTCCTAAAGGGTCAATTAAATACACAGATCAAATGTCAGGTATACAGGCAAGATTATATATATTTACATGTCGTGTGACATCTACCAAGTCGAAAGATGGGTAAATATCAACTCCATCATCTTTATTATAGACCTGTGATCATTATTATCGCAGTTCTTGATCATGATATAGGAAGGGAGAGGGGTTTAATATAGGCTATGCCTGTTCCCCAATTCCTATTCAGATACAAATCTGAATAAAATATTGCTTATAAAATATTGCAATGTGAAATTCTTTAGTTAAGATGATAGCTTGGTATTATTATATTAGATAACTAACAACACTTGTATCTCTACTAGAACAAAATATAAATTTACCAACATTTTTATCATCGCCTAAACTTCCATTCGCAATCAAACTATCAGTAGATTTACAGAGGCTGATTAATCTATTTCCAAAACCATTCAGAACCTTATCTTAAGATTTTCTAGGTTGAATAGATTAAATATTATCGTCTTTAGAAATGAAATGAAATGGGGTTTAACATCCTACTGTTCTGCTCCGGGCTGGGCTAATGAAGACGGGCATACGCCATACAGTGTGCTATGACGGAAATTTTGCCCGGACAGCGGCACTACGGCCTACTCTTATATCGATCGAATTCCAACTGTCAAGGGATCTTTTACGGGCACGCCAATGTGTTCACGGGAACTCGGTTTTTTGTCCCATCCGAACGACTAGACAGCTGCTGTCCTTGCCAGGCCCTCCGTCCTACATCACTGACAAGAGGGAACCTCGTCGAAATATCTGAATCAACATTCTCGGCCAATGAAGGGATCGAACACCCGACCTCCAGGCTAGCGCGCCCGCGTCTTACCCACTTAGCCACCGTGACCCCCTTACGTCTTTAGAATCAATGTTAAGTGACCCGATGTTTTGATCAAAATTTACGTGAATTTTATATTTTCGGGGTCGGATCGGGTTC